CCCCCCCCTCTGCTCACACGCGCCGCAGACACGCGCCCTGCTGCCGGCCCTGCGCGCCACGCCGTACGCCACGCCGTCGCGCGTCATCTGGACCGGCTCCATCGAGGCGTTTGGGCGCTTCTACAAGCCCGACGACTGGCAGTGCCTCGACCCCAAGCGCTCGCCGCACCCGTACGAGAGCTCCAAGTACCAGTGCGAGCTGGCGGCGCTCGGCCTCGAGGATGCGCTCCGAGGGCCGGTGCGCCTGCCGACCGCGCCGGGCACGCCGACGGGCGACGCCAGCCCGCGCACGGCGCAGGGCATCGAGCCGACGAGCTTCACTGCGCACCCGGGCGTCGTCGCGAGCAGCATCTTCGCCGAGTACCTCAACGTCTTCATGGCGCTCTGCATGAAGTTCGCCTTCTATCTGGTGAGCGCACGCGGCAGCTGCATCCCACCCCGCCCACTGACGCTCCTCAGGCCCGCTGGACGCTCTCGCCGCATCACCCCATCGAGGCGTACAAGGGCGCCGTCGCCGCGAGCCACGTCGCGCTCGCACCGCTGGCCTCGCTCGACCCCACGCGGCGCTACGGCGCGCGGGCCGACTTCTGGGCCCGCGAGTACGTCGACGCCGGCCGCATGGACGGCTGGGCGCAGCGGCGGGACCGGCAGGCGAGCGAGCAGGAGGGCGAGCATGTCCGCGCCCAGGCGCGCGACCTCATTGCGCGCCTCGAGGGCGTCGCCGGGCGCGTCTGGGAGGAGGCGCGCGACGGCAGCCTGCCGCCGTTCCGTGAGCTGGGCCCTGCCGGCGACTCCTTCTCCTCGGCGCTGCTGCTGCCCTCGAGCAAGCGCGCCGAGCCTGCCTCGCCCGCCGACGCAGACCGTGACTGGGAGAAGGTCGAGAGCGAGGTGTGAGCATTGCCTCGGCCCAATGACACCTCTGTTGCCGCTCTTCGTGCGCCTGGACCTCACGCATTGGCAGGTCGCACAACAGTGTGCCGTGACGGCAGAACGGCTCGCGTGGCGTGCCCTGGCAACGCTGCATGGCGCGTCGCACGCGCCCAGTGATCACTCTTCACTGCAAGTCTGTGCTGGCCATCCCGCAGGCTCTGAAGGCGTGCGTGCGGCGTTCGCACGCGGCGGCAGGGCGAAAACGCTGCTGCCACGCCGCGCTTGCAGAAAAGACGCACGTACAGCGCGCGTACAACGCGCGGCCCGCCGTCGATTTGTTACATGCCGCCTTGTCTCGCCTCGCGGCTCGCATGCCAGCTGCCAAGATAGCTGGTCAGAATGGTGCGCATCGCTGTTGCACCCTGTTGCTAACGCCCCTGTACAGAGCGCACATGGCCGACTCGCGCTCGTCGACTGGTTAACGGAACGGGAAGCGGCGTCAGCAGCACAAAACACGAGCTCGCAGAGACTCGAGCGCGCTCCGCCTTGTGTCCCGCTAGCTACGCCTGTGCGTTGACAGCAACGTGCCAGGCCGCCAGCCAACAGCCAGCCAAGCAGGCTCGCGGAGGCCCAAAACGCTGCCGCTGACGTCTTCGGTATGCCTGCGGCCCTGACAGTGCGGCTGGGTGGCGCGCCTCACGATCAGCTCTCAAGGGTGGCGGCCCAGCCATAGACGGCCACATACCTTCCTGTCACAACCACGCGTGATGCATGAGCGATCCTTGATGGCAGACAGGCAGGCCGTCTCCGCAGCGCACTGCCCTGCCGAGCCGTCAGATGTGTCCGCCGAGATGGGCAGGCTTACAGGCCCCGAGGTCGACCTGGGAGGCTTGTCGGCAGGTCAAGACACCATGAAGCCGCTCAGAGGCCAGCTGCGTGTCCGCGGAGGGTATGGCCGTGATGCGGACGTCGCGAACTAGTCTCAAGGCGGTCTGCGCACCTTGCGAGGCCAGCAGGATGCGCGCCTGCTGTTGTAGGCACGCGAGAGAGCGCGCGCGAAGGAGGTGCGCGCCGCGCTCCGCGTGCCGCTGGCCTGCCTAGCGTTTCACGCCCGCCGCGGCGCCGCGCGCACCGGCACGCGCGCCGGTGCAGGCGGCGGACACACTGGCGCAGTGCCCGCGCCGCGGCGCCCGGCACGGCAGCAGCGGCGCGGCCTGCACCCTGTCTCCGCCAACTGGCGCATGCACACCTCGCGTGCCTCTTGCTTGACCTCCACCACTCCGCCTCGCCCTCCTCTTGCTGGCTGATTGGAGCCACCACCTCGGCACCGCGCGACGCTGCACAACAGTCGGCACCGCGCTTCCTGTCCGCGCAAACGGCTCGCCTGGCAGCTCGCGCTCGCAGGCCACGCAGCGCGGGGTAAGACGCCGCCAGCAGGCGCCCGACCGGCTCTCTCCGCCCCTCGCCGTCGCACGATGGCGAACCGCACGCTGCGGACGGCCGCTCCGCCGGCGCTGCGTCGCGCAGCGTCGCAGGTCGCCAGCCTCGCGCCCGGCGGCCTCTTCTCTGGCCCGCTCTCGGACGCGCAGCTCGAGGCCGCGCTCGAGCAGCTCTACGTGCAGAACGCCGACGGCTCGCACGACCTCCTCGTGCCGCACCGCGGGCGCATCTCGCGCGTGCCGATCCGTGCGACCCGCCAGGCCGTCTTCGATGCCCACTGGCCGCACTTCAAGCTCGCGCCGCCCGTCGTCGAGAGCAGCGCCGAGGAGCAGGTCAAGGGCGACGAGCGCCGCCGCGTCGAGGCGCGCAAGGTCCGCGAGGAGGGCGGGCAGGCCGCTGCGGCCGCCAAGAAGGTGGGCGTCAACAAGGAGTTCTTCCGGCAGCTGCGGTGAGTGCCGTCGCTACCACCCGCCCGCGCAGCAGGACTGATGCGCCGGCTGCAGGGCGATCATGCGCATCCTCATCCCAAACGCGCGCGGCAAGGAGGTGTTCCTGCTGATCCTGCACACCGGCTTCCTCGTGCTGCGCACGTACCTCTCCGTGCTCGTCGCGCGCCTCGACGGCATGATCGTGCGCGACCTCGTCACTGCCAACGGGCGCGGCTTCCTCCGCGGCCTGGGTCTCTGGTTCGCCCTGGCGGTGCCGAGCACGTACACGAACAGCATGGTGAGCAGCGCGCCAGCGCGTCGCCCGGGCCATCGCTGAGCCCTGTGCCTATCAAGATCCGCTATCTGCAGAGCAAGCTGGCCATCGGCTTCCGCACTCGGCTCACGCGCTACGCGCATGACCTGTACCTGAACAACAAGGCCAACTTCTACCGCGTGCGTCGCAGACGCTGCCCGGCATGCGGGCGGGGTGCTGACGCGCACTGCAGATCATCAACCTCGATGGGCGGGTGGAGAGCGCCGACCAGTGAGCAACACGTCTCGTCTCGGCATCGAGCCGCGCAGCTGACCGCGTCCGCAGGTACATCACCACCGACATCGCACGCTTCTGCGAGACCCTCTCTGCGCTGTAGTGAGTGGCGCCTGCCGCTCGTCCACACACGGCCTACTCACCGTTCGTCACAGCTCGAACATCGCCAAGCCGAGTCTCGACATCATCATCTTCAACGTGCAGCTCTCCAAGGCCATCGGCGGCCGCGGCCTGTTCGGCCTCTTCTGCAGCTACTATCTCACGGGCAAGGTGCTGCGGGCCGCGGCGCCCGCCTTTGGCAAGCTCGCGGCCATCGAGGCGAAGCTCGAGGGCGACTTCCGCGGCGCGCACGGGCGCCTCATCACCAACGCCGAGGAGGTGGCCTTCTACAACGGCAGCGCCATCGAAGAGTCGATCCTCAACCGCGCCTTCAAGCGCCTCGTCAAGCACGTCGGCAGCATCTACCGCGTCCGCGTCGCGTACTCGATGACGGAGGACTTTGTGCTGAAGTATGCCTGGTGCGTTGCTGCGCAGACACGGGCCGCGCTTGCATCTCTGACGGCGCGTCGCCAGGTCGGCCGCGGGCTACGGCCTCATCGCCATGCCGTACCTCTTCCCGGCCGCCGGTGCTGCGGCAGCTGCGAAGACGCAGTCCGCCGATGTCGGAGTGGCAGAGCGGACCGAGGGTAAGCGATGCTGTTGAGCACTGCCCGCTGCGCCGAGCTGACGCCCTCGCCAGGCTACGTCGGCAGCCGCCGCCTGCTCCTCAGCGTCTCGGACGCCGGCTCGCGGCTCATGGCCTCGTACAAGGACCTGGCCGAGCTGGCGGGCTTCACCAGCCGCATCTACGTCCTCCTGCAGGTGCTGCACTCCCTCGACCGCGGACAGTACCAAAGCGTGAGTCCGGCGTCGCTTTGTCGCTGCAACGCCAGCTCACGTGCCCCGCCAGCTGCCGCGCCCTGCGGACCTCGCTCCCGGGCAGCCGTTCTACGACCTCGGCGATGTGAGTGCTCGCCGGCTGAGCCTGTGGGTCGTCGCCCGCTGACGTCAACATCGCCAGATCCGAGGCACCGTGCGGCACGGCAGCGGCGACGTCGCGCTCACCAAAGTGCCCATCGTCGCGCCGGCACCGGGCGTGGAGCGCGGCGGCGAGGAGCTCGTCAAGGAGCTCACGCTGCGCATCCAGCCCGGCATGCACGTGCTCATCTCGGGCCCGAACGGCGTCGGCAAGACGGCCGTGGCGCGCGTGCTGGCGGAGCTCTGGCCCGCCTTTGACGGCACGCTCGAGCTGCCCGACGCCAAGGACACCATCTTCCTCCCGCAGCGCGCCTACCTCACCACGGGCTCGCTCAAGGAGCAGATCATCTACCCGCACGCCGTGCCGCAGTGCAGCAAGGTCCGTCGGTCGCGCGCTGCTTGCCGAGGACCCACTGCTGACCATGTCTACGCCGCGCAGACCGACGACGAGCTCATGGAGATCCTCCAAGCCGTGCACCTGGGCTACGTCGTCGAGCGCGAGGGCGGCTTTCAGGCACGCAAGACGTGGACGGACGTGCTGTCGGGCGGCGAGCGGCAACGGTCAGCATGCGCCCGGAGCGCGATCGCCGACCTTGGCTGACACCCTGCCGGCGACAGATTCGCGTTCGCGCGCCTCCTCTACCACCAGCCACGCTTCGGCATCCTCGACGAGACGAGCTCGGCCGTCAGCACGGACGGTGCGTTGCCGTGGCGCCTCTGCCTCGGCGTCCCGCTCACCCCTGTCTGCAGTCGAGGGTCTGATGTATCAGGCAGCAAAGGAGCGGTGAGTAGCAGCGGCCGGCCTCCGTAGACGCGACGTGCTGACGCGACCCCCCTCTCAGCGGCATCAGTAGGTTGCGCCGGACGCGAGCAGCTGCGCGCCCCAGCTGACACGCCTCTCCCTCAGCTCTCATCACCATCTCCCACCGGCCCTCGCTCATGCGCTACCACACGCACCTGCTGCATCTCGGCGGCGAGCAGAACACGTGGCAGCTCGAGGAGCTCGGCGGCGACGGCTCGGAGGCGCTCTCGTTCGAGGACGAGATCCGCGAGCTCGAGGCCAACCTCAAGGACGTCGAGCAGTGGCAGGCGCGCGTCGACGAGATCAAGCGCGAGCTGCAGCCGCAGGCACTGCAGGCGGGCGCCTAGTCGGCAGCGTGCGGGCACGGCCGGCAGCATCTGCTCACCGTCAGCGATCTGCCGCAATTCGATAGCATTACACCGCGCTACGACTGCGTGCCGATGCGCTGCGGCAGCGCGTCCCAGAAGCGGCGCACGCTCTGGTCGCGTGCCGCGGCCAGCGGCATGCGTCTGAGGGCGGCGCCAGAGAGCTCGGTGCCGGTCGCGGCATCCTGCGTCTCATACGTCCGTGCCGCGGAGAGCTGCGCGAGATGCTCGATGCGGCGCTTCGCGCCTCGCAGTCCGTGGTCGTCGGCGGCGTAGCCGGGCTGAGGGGCGGTCGCCGGGTCAGTCATCCGGCTGGAGCGAGCCCGGGCCGCGCGTACTCACAGGCTTGAGCTCGACGCTCTCGACCACGAGGCTCACGCCGTCGTGCGTGTTGCCCCAGCTGCGGCTCTTGACGCCGGCGCGCTGGCTGCCCTTGTACGCGATGAGGCGCGGCGCGACCCGCAGCGTGACGGACAGGTCGCAGGTGCGCTCCCGCCCCGCACCGTGCAGTGGAGCCGCACGGCTGGCGGGGGCGCTGGTGGCGCGCGTGTCGCGCTCGGCCTGCGATGAGGCCGAAGCCGGCAGCGCTGGCCTTGACGGGCTGGACCGCTCGGACGCCTCGTGCATCTGCTTCCACGTCCAGAGCGCGCGCCCCGGCGGCACCCAGCCCGGCACGTCGTCGACGGGCGGGCCCTCGATCCAGCCGGCGTGGGCGCACATCGCGACGACGTCGGAGTCGTCCGTGTAGACGTCTGTGCCCCAGAGCTTGCGCCGCACCAGCGCTGCCTGGGTCCAGAACGCCTTGACTGCTGCGGTGGCCTCCTCCTCCGACAGGGAGCTGCTTGGCGACGTCGCAGCGGCGGACGGCAGCTTGGTGCGCGCGCCGCGAGGGCGATCAGCGGCGACCATGCGCGCGTGCTCGAGACCTCTCCAGCCAAGACTCCAGCGGCCCTTGCCGGCGAGAGCGGGACTCGGACCCTCGCTGCCGCGGGCATCGAGCGCATCCTCGCCTCGCAGTCGGAGTCGCTCCGAAGCCGCGCCCGCCAGCTCCGAGGCAGCCGGCCCGGGCCCGAGCCATTCGCCGCTGATGCGGACCTCGAGCGTGGCGCCGATGTTCTCCGTCAGAATCTCGCCGGGCAGGAGCGGGTCGATGCTGGCGTCGTACCGCCAGCTGCCCAGGTGGCGAGCCGGGCGAGGTGTGGCGCCCAGATCTCCGCCAGTGCTCGCGTCGCCTGACGCAGCCCTTGCCTCCTTTCCGACCTCGAGGAGCACGTCCTGGAGCGCGCCATGCTTGAGGGCGGGCGCGTCGGCTCCGCCAGGCGCGCGCGAGGTCGTTTCGCAGCGCTCGAGGTACTCCCAAACTGCCTCCGAGTCGACGCGCGGTCCGGCGTCAAAGTCCCGCGCAGGCACGCTCTTGTCCTGTGCGTCAGGCTGGCGAACAGCGACAGAAGGCGGCGCGAGTCCGGGTGCAGGGCCCAGAATCGGCGTGCGTGCTGATGCACTGGCCGAGACGAACTCGGCGCTGTCGTACGACTTGCCTGGGGCGCTCGCAGCTGCAGCCCGGACGTAGGCCGCCTGGGCCTGTGCCTGCGCCTGCATGTGCGCCTGTGCTTGCGCCGCCAAAGCGTACTGCTGCTGCTGCTGCTGCTGCTGATGGTGTTGCTGTGCGGGCTGTTGATGCTGCTGCGGAGGCGCTTGCGACGCCGTGTGCGCCGCGTGTTGCTGCGCGTGGGATGGCGAGAACATGTGCGCCTGCGTCGCCTGCTGCATTCCTTGAGCCTGAGCATGCGGCAAGTGCGCCTGTTGGGCCAAGCCACCTTCCTGCTCAGCCTTCAGACGCTTGTTGCCTGCGTTGCTGTTGCTGCTCCCGGCATGGCCGAGCGTCCCGGTGGCAGCAGGGACGCTCGAGCCGGCCTTCTTCTGGCGCGACGACGCACCACTGCGCTTGGATCCTGCCAAGGCTGCCGCTGGCGGCGCAGGGAGTGAGCTGGCACCCGCGCGCGAGCCCTGCGAAATGTCGCTGCCGGCGGATGACTGCTGGCCCGCGTGCGGCTTGCCCATGGCGGGCGGCGGCTGAAGTGCAGCTGGCCCGAGCGATGCGGAAGAGGAGTCGAGGTACTGCTCTCCCTCCTGAGCACGGCGATCGAAGAGATGAGCTCGCGCGCCGCCGGCCTGCGGGGCCGCGCGATCGCCGTGATACGGTCCGCCAGACTGTGCCCCATGCGTTGCTGCCGCTGACGCCGACAAGACCGAGTTTGCAGAGCGCCCGAGGTGCGCCGGAGGCGCTGCTCCGCTGCGAGGATCAAGACGCTGCGCCGCGGATGCACCGCCATACATGGCCGCAGCGTCGTCTGCACTGTAGTGACCGGGCCCGTCGGGGCGAGGAGCGGACGTGTCGTACGGCTCGTCGCGCTTCCGCTTCTGAGATGACATCGACGCCGCGGAAGCGGAGTGCTGCCGGTCGAGTGCAGGGCTCGGAGCTCGGCTGTTGCCGGTGCCGGGCGTCTTGCGCCCCGCAGGGAATCTGCCGGCTGCGCCAGGTCCAGGGACGCCGGGCAGCGGAGCACCTCCGCCAAACGACGGACTGCCAAAGGATGGGATCCGAGAGTCGCCCGAATGCGTGCGCGCGTGCCCGCCGCCGAAGCGACCCATCTCTTGCGCTCGCCAGGCTGCAGCGTGCTGGGCGGCCTCTTCCGCCAGCGGCCCGCTCCACTTGCGACGCGCCAGATTGGCAGCAGCCTCGCTGGGCGGCGCTTGCTGCGACACTGGAGGAGTCTTTCCAGACACGAGGTGATGCGCCTGAGAGGCCATCTGGTCCTTGGTCCCGGCGGCTGACGAGCCGGACGCGGCCGAAGAGTGTGCAGCTGCTGCGCCGCTGTCCTCGTATCGACGCCGACCCTCGGACTCGGCTGCGCGGCTCTCACGGTCGCGCTCTCGCTCTCGCTCGGCCCGTCGCTCACTGCCGCCGCTGGAGGGGCCCAGGATCGAGCTCATGCTCATCGGATCGCCACGCTGCGGCACGGTCGCTGCGTCGCGCAGGTGGGGCGCCCCGCTGGCAGCCGGAGACTCGCTGCGTCGTCGCGACCCCATGCGCCCGGCCGGTCCCGCGCCGGCTTGTGTCGCAGCGTCCCAAGCTGCGTGGTCGGCGCGCTCGCTTTGCGCAGCCTCGTGCCCGCCGTAGGAGCGCGGCACGTGGTGCAGCGGAGGCGGCGACGAGTGCCCGCCCCGCGAGGACCAGCTAGGCAAGCGGCCGTGCTGCGGCGCCCAGGCGGGCTTGCCCGAGGCGCCGGCATTGCCGTCCCAGTGCGACGGGCCGCCCCCGCTCGCGGCGCTCTGAGACGGAGGCAGACGTGGCGCTGTTGCGGGCGCAGAGAGGGGAGCCTGAGGCGGCGCATCCCAAGGCATCGAAGGGCGGTACTGCGCAGGCGGAGTCCGAGGGCGAGCAGGCGACGAGGGCGAAGCGAACTGTTGGCTAGCGTCTGTGTCGCGAGACGCTGTCAGCGCAGCCCAGAGCAGGTCATGTGCAGGCTGCGAGAGGCGTGCATCGAGGATGCCGCCTGCAGGCCTCTGCTGCACTGTGTGAACTCACCCCTCCGCGCAGACCCGCGGTGCAGCGCCGGGTCGCCCTCGTCTCTTCCAGCGGTGCGCGCCCGGAAGTGCGCCTCGCTGGGGTTGGCGCCCATCGCACCGGGCGAGCGGGCAGCGTGCGGATGCGCAGGATAGCCCGCTCCGTGTGCGGCGCCCGGGCTGCCGCTGGCGGTGCCCTGCGTGTTCATGGCGGCTGCACTGGCGTTCGGTGCTCCGGCAGCGGTCGAAGAGGCTGCGGCGGGAGCTGCTCCTGGAGCCGTGCGCGGCGGCGGGCCTGCGGGGATGCCAGAGGGGCGCGTAAGTGGCTGGACAAGCGAGGCGCGGCCGGCAAGCCCCGAGAGTGCACGCACCGTACATTATGGTAGCCAGCGCTTCGTGGAAGCGTGATGGTCGGCGGCGCGTGCACGACGCAGAGCAGGTGAGAGGCGAAGGTGGTGGTGAGGAGGAGGGCACGGCTGCCGGGCGCGGATCGTCGCGCGTGTTCCACACGCGCCAGCGGCGGTGACCGTGCGGCCGCCGGCCCGCTGCGCCCACACGGCTCTCGTGCCGGGGAGCAGCGATGGCGCGTCTGCTGACGCGCGCAGGAGAGCGGCGCGCTTTTTCCGTGCCGGCTGCAGCCGCAGAAGCATCAGCCGGAGCCCGCAGCAAGAAGCGCAGGCAAAGGCGAATGAGGGGCGCGTGCGTGAGATGGTGCCAGCAAGCACGCCGGCCAGTGCGCGGCGCTGCCTGCCTGCCCTGCATAATCCCACAGCGGCGGCCATCGCCAGACCTGCCAGGCGCTCTCAAGCAAGCAGAGCACGACAAGGGTTCATTGCATGGCCGATGCGGCACAGGGTATAGAATGCGGGGGAAATGCGGGGCCGGTCAGTGTTCGTGGCGCTCGGTCAGGGTCAGTGGGCGCCCTCCTCGCGCAGCATAGCCTTGAGGCGTGCAATGCGCGCCTCCATGCCCACGAGCGACGTCTGCAGGGCGCGGTGCCGGTTGCCCAGGCCCGCCGTGGCGCTGACGTCGCCGGCAGGCTCCTCTGTCAGCGTCGACGTCGTCGTCGCCGGCGCGGCAGACGCCCAGCGCGGGCGCGGCAGGGCCAGGTTGGCCTCCGAGTGCCGCTTCGACAGCGTGCGCCCCAGCTTGGCCGTGTTGCTGCTGCGCCGGCGCGGGGGCTGCGGCGCTTGCGTCTCGGGGACCTTCTCGAGTGCGGCGCCCTCCTGTGCGGGCGGTGACGGCACTCGCATGGGCTGGACGTTGCGCAGCGGCTGCAGCGAGGCGCGGCGCGGAGCATGGCGATTCTGCGCGGGCCCGTCGGCGCCGAACGCATCCGTGAGACTCGGCATGCTCGGACTGCCCGCCTGGCCGAGGCCGGTGCCGATGCTGCGCGATTTGGCTAGCCGGTGGCCCTTGTCCTCGCTGCTGCCGCGCACGACGCCCTGGCGGAACTCTGCCAGCATCTCGCGGCTGTCGCGTCGCCGCATACGGCCGGGGCCCTCCTCGGACCTCAGCCGCACGTGTTCTGGGCGTTCGGGCGCGCTGGGCCCGCCGAGGATGGGCGCGCCGAGCAGCGCCATGCTGCTGATCGGCGGACTGGCGCTTCGCGAGCCCTTGGTCGCCTCTGCCGAGCCTGCGAGCGAAGCGTCCGGCGCGATCTCGAGCGGCTCTGCCTCGGGGGACGGCCACCTCGGAGGCGCCGCTGACCGAGGCGGCGACAGCTGGTCGAACGACGTCACAAAGAGAGGGCTGCTGACCCGAGCGGCCTTGGTCGGAGTGGTCTTCTCCTGCGCCTTCAGGAGGAGTTGCCTGGCGCTGCGCCGCTTCTGCAGTCTCCCGCCGACGGCGGGGAGGGCCAGCGACGCGGACGTGTTGACTGCCGCGTCGCGATACTCTGGCTTGGCCGCTGAAGACGAGGGCATGCCAAGCCGTGCCGACAAGGGTGCGTCCTGGTAGGCGGGCGCAGGCGCGGGCGGTGGCGCAGAGCGACTCGGCGATGCCAGCGTGACCACTGGCTGCAGCACGGCCCCGTCGGCGTGATGGAGGAAGCGCGGCAGCTGGGCCACGCGCTGTGCTCCCATGAGCGCGGCAGAGAGCGACCTCACCGGCAGCTGCATGTCGTCCTTCGCCACGGGCGGCAAGGTACCGGCCGCCTGCAGCGCTTGCGTGCCCAGGCCCGACAAGCCCGGTGCCGTTGCCGAGTGTGGCAGCCTCGGCCGCGTCGGCGCGAAGACGGGCATCGGAGAGCGCGCCAGCGGCACCGCCGCCGGGCGGCGCGGTTTCCGCACACTTGCAGCCGCCGTCCACATCTCGTTCCACGCTTCACGCTCGCTGAGAGCGCGCCGAGCGTTGCTGCCTCCGGAACACTCCGAGCTGGCGGGGCCCAGGGATGCCTCGGCACCTGGCGTGGCTGACCGTGCACGGTCGAGGTCGTTGCGCCGTATCCGCACACCGGTGGCCAGCGGAAAGGGGTACGGCGAGGACGGCACGCCGGGAGTGGCGACGGACGTCATGGCGAGCGCGGCTGCCGAGTGCTGAGCGCCTGCGTTCGCTCGGAAGTCGGCGCCAAGGCTCGGCATGGACGTCTTGCGCAGCGGCGTGACGAACGTCGGCGCGTGGGTGTTCGAGACGGCGCGCCCGGCCATCTCGACAGCGCGCCGATGCAGCGGACGCTGCAGCGAGCCGTGCCACGGCGTTGACAGTGCCGGCGGCGTCGGCATGGCCCGAGCGGCAGAGGCCATCTTCCCGAATGGCGTCGAGGCTGTCGGCGCAGAGCTGTGCTCGTGGACTGCATCGGGCCAGGGAGAGCCATCGGGGCTTGCGTACACGTTCGCGGCTGCCCGATACGGAACGCCGGCAGGGGTGGAGGTAGGCAGTGCATCGGCGGCGAAGGTCTTGACGTTCCTCTTGAACGCATCGGCCTCCGGCAAAAGGGACAGACCAACGAAGTACGTGTCCACGTCTTGCCAGCAGCTCTCTTCGTCCTCGGCATCCTCGGCCAGGCTGGACGTGTGACTGTTCGAGCGCGAGATGGTGCGGCGTTCCAGCGCACGAGCCGTCGGCGACGAGTGCACTACCGTGTCCGAGCTGTCTGCCGCAGCGTAGTTGGGCGACTCCTCCCACCGGCCCTCCATGGCACGCTCCCATGCGTCAGCGGCCTGTGTCGGCGGCGACTCGTAGATGTCGCGTGCGGTCTCGTCCATGTGCGGGATGTGCGCGATGCCGGCAAACTTGCGGCTGCCGTCAAAGCTGCTCAGCAGCGAGGGCGACATGAGACTGTCGTGAAAGCTGTGGCCGCGCGCCGCTGCGCGTGGGCTGTGCACTACCGAGACCTCGGGCTCTGCCGTGGGGTCTGTGGGGCTCAGACGAGGCCTGAAGGGAGCGGCATGGGCGTATGGCTGCGCCCACTGCGTGCCGCGGAAGAATGGGTGCGCCTTGACGTCGTCCGACGACGTGCGGCCCAGGCGCTGCTCCGGCGGTGCAACGAGTGCGCTGATGACGCTCCACAGTTCGTCGGAGCGAGGAATGCTGCGGTCCACGCGGAATGTGTTCTGGTGGGGCACAAGTGAGCGAAAAGGCCTCGTCTGCACGGCGTTCTGCGGCGACGCACCGCAAAATTGAGCTTCTGCTCGACCACCTGCGTCGGCGTGCCTTGGAACGGCAGGACGCTGTGAGTCATCTCGTAGAGGATGAGCCCGACGCCCCACCAGTCGACGTCGGGGCCGTACGAGCCCTCCCCGTCGGCGCGCGGCGCATCTGCTTGCTCACGCGCCGGCGTGCTCTCCACGCTGCTGTCGTCCCATCGCTGGGACGGCGAGAGGTCGGTGAGCCCGGGCCGGTACGCGTCACGCCAGTTCATGCGGCTGTCGGCCGCCTCGGCGCGCTCCTGACGCAGCTGCAGGAGCTCCGGGGCGAGGTAGTCGGACGTGCCGGCGATGCAGTTGTGCGAGTGATGCACGCGACGCCGCGTTCCGCTCGCCGAGCCCTCGGACGGCTCTGCGTAGTGTGAGAAAGGCGCAGCAATGCCAAAGTCGCAGAGCTTCAGATGGCCCGAGTCTGCGATCAGCCAGTTTGCCGGCTTGATGTCGCTGCATACAGGCTGTTAGAGCTGGGGGCCCACTGTCCTGTCTCGCGCCACTCACCGATGCATGTAGCCCGTCTCGTGCAGCCAGCTGACGCCTGCGACCATGTCGCGCCCCCAGCTCCGCACATGCTCCTCTCTGAAGCGCCCGTGCGCGTCTGTGAGGTCGTTGTTCTCGCCGGCCTCGCTTGCGCTGCGCATCAGCATGTCGAGGTCGCCGGCGGGAAAGTACTGCATCGCGATGAAGACATCGTTCCGGCTTGTCCATGCCGCGTGGATCTCGGGCGTGGGCAGCTCGCCCAGGCCTTCGCGCGCGGAGCGTGCGAGCGTGAGGATGTGGCGCTCCAGCGACGGCGAGAGGTTCGACACGGCAAAGGCACCGACGACGGTGCGCTTGACCGCCGACTTGACGACGTACAGCTGCCGGTCCAGGCGGCAGCGCATGACCTCGCAGAAGCCGCCGCCGCCGGCAGACATGTTGCGGTTGAGCTCGACTTCGGCGATGAAGTCCTTCTCCTGCAGGCTCAGGGAGGCCAGCGCCTGCAGCTGGCCATGTGCAGCCCGTCGCAGGGCGTTGTCGTCGTCGTGGATAGACGAAGAGACGGGATACCACGCAGCCATGGCAAGATCGAGCTCGCTCGAGCTCGCGTTCGGCGGCGCGACGGACGTGGCCGGGCGTGGCACGGGCAGCTCGGCGCACAGCGAGTGCAGCATCATCTGCACGGCGGGAGAGCGCAGACATGCCAGCACTTGGGCGTGCCGCGAGGCCCACGGCTCTCGCGACGGGACGAGTGTGCCAACCATGCGAGGGTCCGCCCGCCCTGGCGTCGCCGCGAGGCCGCTGCCAGGCGCTGCTGCTGACGATGCCGAGCCGTGGTAGCCCCAAGAGATGAGGCCAGCAGACCGAGGCGAGGCGCGGAAGAGAAGTGGCGTCGAGGCGGCGCAGAGTGCTTGATGCGGAGAGAGGTGCTTGCTGGACGTCGAGTTGGGGAGTGAAAGGGTGTGAGTGAGAGTGAGAGAGAGGGAGCGGGAGTTTGAGCGCGCAGGTGCACCGCAACACCGGGTGCGCCAAAGTCGATTGAGCGAGCGCCGACCTCAGCCAGGCACAACCGGCCGTCCCGACGAGCAATATCGCCGAGCGTGGTGCCGCTGGATGCGCTGCGGAGCTGCAGCGGGTGCGGGCGAGAAGGGCAGGGCGCGCCCAAGCTGTTCCTGCCCGCTGCAGGCTGTGCGGCGAGCTAGGCTGCGGTGCGGCGCGTCGTGCGTGCAGCGAGGCGTGTGCTGCGCCGCGGCGGTGCTGCGTAGATGCTGCGAGGCTCGGCGCTGGCGGAGACGGTGCAGCAGCACGGCGGGCGGGATGGGGTGAGGAAGAAGCGAAGTGGGCAGGATGACTGAGCGCACCGGGCGGGCGGGAGAGCGGGGCGCGCGGCACGGCCGACAGGCACCATGCACGCGCTCGGCGCTCGGCGCGGGGCAGGCTGAGAGCAACACATGCGCACAAAGCGCGAGGTGGAGCATGCGTCAACCTGCGCCGCGCCCAGCGTGCAGCCGTCCCGCCGTCGCCGCCTCGCAAGCGCACGGCGATCAGTCCGCCGCATGCCGCATGCCCGGCGACGTCAAGCTCGCCCCTCGAGCCCGTCCTGGCCCATCGAGCGCTCTGCTGCGGCGAGCTACGTCCCTGCGAGGCTAGCCTGCGGAGCGCCGTGCCGGAAGAATGCTTGCTGCTCTCGCGTGCGCAAGCGCGGCAGCGACGCAGCAAACGCACCCGCACCCGTACCGGCGCACCGGTTCCGCCGGGCTCCCCGTCTTGCGTGAAGCATCTTTTGTGCTGCTGCGCATGGAGCGTCCTGTGCGGCGCTCTCTGAGCTTTGGCAAAAGCAGTTCTGTGCTTCGAGAAGCTGGCCGAGCGAGAGACGGCAGCGCTGAGAGAGGACAGCTGCAGCCCGGCGCAGGCGGCGGCAGCGGGGCGAGAGCAACACGCACGTGACGCGCCGCCGCCCGGCGCCCCTCTCGCCCGCACTCCGCAGGCAGTCTGTGCGTCCGCGCGCGATCCGGATGGTGCGAGATTATGCTCAAAATGCGCAGACAGGGCTCAGCGTAGGATTCTCGTGGCCCTCGCCGGGAGCGGCTTGCTGCTGCGCTCGCTGACCAAGTTCATGGGTGCACACGACGCCTCGCACCAGCACAGTGCAGCGCGCAGCGAGTCGCGCGGCGCGTCGCATGCGCGGCGCTATGCCGCGCCGCCGCCGCCTCCACCCTCACCTCATCACCGTCCACTCGTCGTCGTGTCCGCCGGGCGCTGCGCTCTCCTTCGCGCACCGCCGTCCACTGCGCATCTCTCGCAAAGCTTGCTGCACTCCTCTCTTGCCTCCGCGTACCCTCGCCGCTCTCGCACGCGGTGCGCACGGCGGCTTCTCCACACTCCTCCCATCTTCGGCTAGCGCGCTCAGCCTCTCCGCCACTGCACCGCAGCTGCGAAGGTCTTGCGCAGCTCGGCAGGCACGACACATTCCGAGCCCTGAGCACCTGCGCTCGCTCTGCGCTAAGAGCACACCTGGTCTGCACCAGCAGCCCGCCCGACGCCGCACGAGCTTCGCTGTCGCAGCCAGACATTCACCATGTCGCACGGTGCGCCGCCGCGCCGCCCAGGCGCCCGGCCCGTGAAGCTCAGGACGCCCAAGCGCGTGAGTCTCGCCTGCTGACCCATAAGGACAACCTCAGACGTAGCGCTGACACTCGTCTCTGCGCCGCAGCCGGGCCTGGAGCTCCCGATCGAGGACATGTGGAAGCGCCTGAGCAACGCCATTGCGCAGATCCAGAACCACAACATCTCCGCGCTGTCGTACGAGGAGCACTACCGCTACGCATACAACCTCGTGCTCGTGAGTGTCGCTGCTGCGTTGCGCCCCAGCCGTTGCCAGGCTCGTGTGGTGAGATGGCACGTTCTGATTCTTTGTCCGTGCAGTACGACCAGGGCGACCTGCTGTACTCCGGTGTGCGCACGCAGATTACCGCGCATCTGTCGAAGACCTGCTCCGACCTCATTGTGCCAGCGTTCCCGGCTGGAGGCGCCTCGGCCGCGCTGCCGGCCGGCATCATCCTGCCGAAGATGGTGCGCCCGGCATCCTCCTCTGCGACTGCGCCCGGAGCTGCGTCCAAGGGCAAGGGGCGTGCTCTCGATCCCGAGCAGCGCGAGGCCGCAGAGCCCGACCTCGTCTCGGGCCCAAGCGCCGGCACAGCTGCAGCACCGCAGGTGGGCGACCGCACGGACAATGTCGCCCGTACGCAGGCTGGCGAGCGCCTGCTCAAGGCGATCCGCGATGCCTGGGACGATCATGAGGCGTGCACCAAGAAGCTCAAGGACGTCCTGAAGTATGTCGTGAGTAGCAGCCGCCAAGCCAGGGGCACAGCGCCGGCGGCCAGCGCGGTCCGGACTGCCCAGGTCTCGTCTTGCTGATCCACTATGCTCAGGACCGCGTGTACGTCGGCAAAGCCGGCGTGCCCGAGATCTACGACCTTGGCTTGGAGCTCTTTCGCGACACGGTCATCTTCTCGACTGCCTTCCCGATCCACACGCATCTCTACACGACGCTGCTCGTGCAGATCCAGATCGAGCGCGAAGGCTCCGTCATCAACCGCAGCGCCATCAAGTCGAACATCGACATGCTCACTGCGCTGTCTGCGCCCAGCTCTGCCGGAAGCGGCCGCCTGGCCTCGTCCGCTAGCAGCTCGCGCCCGTCCTCGTCTAAGAGCGTCTACCAGACTGACTTCGAGCCAGCCTTCCTGGCCACCTCGACCGAGTTCTACCGGGCCGAGGCGACGCGGCTGCTCGACGCGCGCGATGCTGGCGCGTACCTGCGGCACGTGGAGCGGCGCTTCATCGAAGAGGCGGGCCGGGTCGCAGTGTACCTGCACAATTCGACAGACACCCCGCTGCGGGTGCTGCTCGAGGCCGAGCTGCTCGCGCGGCACCTGCAGACGATCATCGACATGCCCGGCAGCGGCCTGGTCACGATGCTGGACGAAGGGCGGCACGAAGATCTCACGAGGCTGTACAGTCTGTTCAAGCGCGTCACCGAGGGACTGCCGACGCTGAAGGCAGCCGTCAAGGCGTACGTGGCCAGCACGGGCAAGCAGATCAACCTCCAGGTGGCGTCGCAGGCTTCGGCGCCGCCTTCTGCCGCCACGGCGAGTGCTCGCTCGGATGGCCCGACCGTCGACGGCGACGGCTCGGCGAAGGCCACTGGAAGCAAGCCCACCACCGCGCGAGAGGCAGCCAGCGACCAGAACGCCGCGTCGACGCCACAGGCGGCCATGGCGCTGAAGTGGGTCGAAGACGTGCTGGCGTTCAAGCACAAATTCGACTACGTCTTGAAGCACTGCTTCAACGACGACAAGTCGTGCGAGACGGCCATCAACGAGGTGAGTGCCGCACACGTGCTGCAGAGGCGGGTTGCTGACTGCATCGCACAGGCATTCGAGACGTTCGTGAACAGCAACGCGCGCGCGCCCGAGTTCATCTCACTCTTCATCGACGAGAATCTGAAGAAGGGCCTCAAGGGCAAGACCGAAGAGGAGGTCGACGACGTGCTCAACCGCACCATCATCGTGTTCCGCTTCCTGCACGAGAAGGACACCTTCGAGCGCTACTACAAGGGCCACCTGACGAAGCGCCTGCTGCAGGGGCGCAGCGTGTCCGACGACGCCGAGCGGGGCATGATGGCCAAGCTCAAGATCGAGTGCGGGCACGGCTACGTGCAGAAGCTGCAGGGCATGCTCAACGACATGAAGGTGTCCGAGGACACGATGGGCGAGTTTGCCGAGTCGATACAGCGCAGCCAGCGGGTGAGTGGCGTGCGCGTGCGCCGCCCGGCCGCAACCGAGCGCTGACATCTGCCGACAGCCAATGCCGTTCGACCTCTCCGTAAATGTGCTGACGTCGACGTACTGGCCGATCAATGCGCAAGCGCAGCCGTGCACGATGGGCCCGGCCATGATCGACGCTCGCGATGCCTTCACCCGCTTCTACCAGTCGCGCCACAGCGGCCGCATTCTGACGTGGCACCCGAATCTCGGCAACGCCGATGTGCGCGTCGCGTTCCGCGCTCGCAAGCACGAGCTCAACGTTTCGACGTACGCACTCGTCGTGCTGCTGCTCTTCGAGGATGTCGCCGAGGACGAGCCGCTGAGCTACGCGCAGATCCTCGGCAGCACGCAGATCCTCGAGCCGGAGCTGCAGCGCACCCTGCAGAGCCTCGCGTGCGCCAAGTACAAGATTCTGCTCAAAGAGCCAAAGGGCCGCGACATCGGCCCGAATGACAAGTTCACCTTCAACGCCGGCTTCACCTGCAGCCTCGCTCGCATCAAGATCGCCCAGGTGCGTCGCCCGCGCCGCCTTGCTTTGCGATGTCACACTGATGCACGTCCCCGCAGATCGCTGCGCGCGTCGAGTCCGCTGCCGAGCGCAAGGAGACGACGGCAAAGGTGGAGGAGGAGCGCAAGAACCAGGTCGAGGTGAGCACCGGTGCCTGCGAGCTTTCCTGCAGGCTTTGCTGATCATCCTCTGCCCGTCCAGGCCTGCATTGTGCGCGTCATGAAGGACCGCAAGGCGATGACGCACAACGAACTCGTGCAGGAGGTCATCCGGCAGCTCGTGGCACGCTTCCAGCCCGCCCCGGCGCTGGTCAAGCGGCGCATCGAGAGTCTGATCGACCGAGTGCGTGCTCTGCCGGCCTCTGGAAGCCGACGTCCGCTGACATATCTCTTCCGCAGGAGTACCTCGAGCGCGCCGAGGGCCAGATGAACGTGTACAACTACCTCGCATAGGCGCGCGGCGCCCGCCTCGAACGACATAGGGTCCATCCGACACCACACACACACCGCCTCTCATTAGTCACACTGCCGCGCATGAATCTCTAGTCTCACGCCTCCCCCTTGCATGCCCGACGCTTAGCGAGCATGCGTTCATTCGTCGTCGACGCTGAAGGTGAGCATGCCCTTTGGCCGCTTGTCCTTGTCCTTCTTGCGCTTCTTCTCGCGCTTGGCGTCCGCGCCCTGCTTGCCCGCCTTCGAGTCCTCGTCGCTGCCCGACCCTGCGCCGACGGCCGTGCGCTTGGCACGTGGTACGAAGGCAGGCCGGAAGGCGTTCGACGGGTCCGATGCGTCTGGCCCAGCCCGCGGTGCAATGTCCACTGCAGGCTGCTGTGGCGCGGCTGCGCTTCGAGGGGCGGCCGGCGCTGCTGCTTTGGCCGCCAGCGGTCGCACTGGCGCCTCGTCGCCGTCCTCCTCGTCGTCCGAGGCAAAGACGGCCTTGAAGATGTCGATCGGCGGCCGCACGTAGGTCAGCGTCTCGCGGCCTTGGTTCTCGTCTTCGCCCAAGCCGACTGTCTCGAGAGAGCGCGCTGCGGCCTTGGCTGGCTCTGATTGGCCACTGCCGCTCGCATGTGCTGTCGGGCCAGCGCTTGCTGGAGCAGCGCCGAAGGCTGTCGGCAAGGCGGTCGGCGCCACAGGGTCAGCCGCGCCGCTCGTCCAAGCCCGACCCTTGGCCATCTGCTCGAGCTCGTGGCGATTGGCTTCCCAATGTGCGTTGACGCCGCTGGACGCGCTGGTGCCGGCGGAGGCGTCGTGCAACGTACTGCTCGGCGGAGGCACGCCGAAGCGCTTGCACAGCAACTTCTCGGGGGCCCAGCTGCTCGTTGACCGAGTGAGCGCGCCGAACATGCCAGATCTGGCCGCCTGCTGAGCGTCGGACAGGATCTCCGTCTCCTCGGGCTCCGGCGCGGGCTTGCGTAGATCAGCCCGCTCCGTCGGAGGCTTTGGCGTCGGTTGATAGAGGCCGCCAGCCACGATGGGTGCATCCGTCGCTGGGACACCGGATGGCGCGCTTGAGGAAGAGGTGAAGCGGCTCGACATGGCCACGCTCATCGGCCTGAAGATGCCGGCAGACTTGTTGAACTCGCGCAGCTCCGCATTGCTGGCTTCCACGCCCTGGCCGGGCGGCGCTGTGAGCGGCTGGGCTTCAGCAGGGTTGGCCTGCGCCGAGAGGTAGCTGCGATAGCGCTCTTGCTTGGCAGGATTGTCGGCGAAAGGCATGTAGCCTCGCAGCGCTGCGTTTGCCGTGACGCGATCGAGGAATGGCACTTCGAGCGCCGCGAACGGCTCCGGAGACGGTGGCCGTACAGCGGCAGGTCCAGCAAGCCCGGCTGCTGATTCTGCCTTGACGCGCTGCAGCCGTTCTCTGTCCTTGGCAGAGAGATAGTTCATGATAGACGGCGGCGGACCAGGGATCCGAGCTTCGCCCAAGATCGATGCGCGCTGGCAAAGGTGTGAGCAAGAGCAGGGCCAAACGCATGGCATCCTGCCACTCACATCGTCCGGTCGCAGTGCACCTGGCGCGGCCGGAGGCGCGACACCTTCCGTCGGCGGTGCGCCCTGGACAGCGCCGGCATCAGGCTTAGCGGCGCCTGCAGCATCGACGGCCCACACGCGCTGCGGGTCGGGAGACCAGTCCTTCGGCACGCTTGGCGGCGCATACCTGCGAAGCACAGCTCAGCTAAGGCTTGGCATCGCGGTGTTGCAAATCACTCACAGATGCTCCTCCCTGCCTCGCATCGAGTCTACGACCCGGAAGCCCTTCAGCACGAAAGATCCGTCGGACCAGCGATTGTCGGTGTCGCTGCGCGCTTGCACGTCGGGCGCCCGTTGCCCGGCTGCTCGCGCCTTGTCGCCAGGCACCGAGCGCCGGGGCTGCGTCTGTCCGAGTGTGGAGGAGTGGATCGAGTCTCTTGCTGCGTACATCTCGTCTTCGCCGTCCGAGTCCTCTTCCAGCGCACCAAGGCCGAAGCCACCTGAACAACGGGGTGAGCAGGATGCTCCAAGCGCTCTGGCAGCAGGCGCCAACTCACCTCCGCGGTCGTCGCGCATGACTACCTTGCCCTTGCCAAGCAGGTGCTGCGGCCCGTCGCGCAGGCCCTCCAGAGCAGGCTGGGCTGGTGCCGCGCCTAGTCCTCGGCGGCCCGACCAGGCATCGGCGGCAATGAGGCGGCTGTCGGGCGGCGGCACGCCATGTGTCGCCGCAGCGATGCGTGCTCCCTCGTCGAGCTGCAGCGCTGCGGTCCGCGGCAGGCCCGCAAGCTGCACCAGTGCGGCGTGCCGTGCGGGCGACACGCGTGGCCCCAGCCCTGAGCCGGCTGTCCAGCCCATGCGCGTCAGCAGGCGCTCGCCCAACGCCGAGCGCGCCGCTACGACACTGTGATGAGAGGTCGGCATGAGCACTGGTGTGCGACACGCAGCGTCCAGTGCGGGACTCCAAAAACCCACCCATCGCTCGAGCTGCCAGCCGCCAGACCGCCGTCGCTGCCCGTCGCCGTCGGCGGCAGGCCGAGTGCGCCGAGCAGCGGGTCGTACGCGGCGCCACGTTCCTGCGGCGCAGCCGCTGCGCCGCCGTAGGAGTGCGCCACGACAAGCTGTCCGCGCAGCGCCTCGCGGTCCTCGTCGTCCATGAAGTCCTCGGCCGTCTGCTGCGGGCGCGCGGCGGCGCCGGCACGGTCGCCATCGCGGCGGCTGCTGCGGAACTGCTGCGGCGTCCAGCCCTCGCGGCTGCCGACGGTGTTGTAGTAGCCCGCCGAGAAGCCGCCGGTGAAGGCGCCGTGCAGGCGGCGGCGGCCCTGCTCGTCGCGCACCTCCTGCTCCCACAGCGGGCGCCCCTCGTTGGGGTCGGCGCGGCGCGAGTCGAGCGGCGGCAGCGGCGTGCCGAGCACGACGAATGACTCGGTCACGCGCGGCGCCGGCATGCTGGGCGAGAGGCGCCGCCGCAGGCGAGCAGCAGCCATGGCGGCAGGAGCGGCGGCAGTCGCGGCGGCGAGGCAGAGGTGCGGCGGCAGGCGAGGATGATACGGCAGGAAGAGCGAAGCCGCGCCGCTCGCCAGGCTGTCGGCCGCACGCTGTGCGGCGCTGCGCGGCGGCGCGCGTCAAGTGGAGTCGAGCGGGGATCGCTCAGCGTTCATCGTGTCCACCGCCTCCCGCGCGCGCCATACAAATGGCCAGTCGCAGTGAAGTGCGAGTGTGGGGGTGCCGTCTGCATACCCAGAGCATCATCGATGGCCTTCCTGCCCTGCGACAGCAGCCGTTGCGGCATGGGATGCCCTTCGCTGGGGCAGGGTGGGAGCGTGGGAACCGGCTTGCTTCGGCCGGCCCCTCCGACGCTTGCTCCTGCTCTCAGGCGGTTGCCAGCTGCGGCTGAGTGCTGGAGCCGAGCGGCTGTGGCTTGCAAGCAGCTTTGTTGTGATGCTGCCGCCTGGGTCAAGAGAAGGAGGACTTCGGGCCAGCGGCACAGCGCGCTGCCGGTGCGGTGGGCGAGCGAGTGAGGGTCCCTGCGCCGATGGCGAGGCTGCCGCGCCAGCCACAAACACACGCGCGACGTCGAAGCGGAATTACCGCCCACTCCGCCGCCGCTCCATCAAGCGCAGCCGATCTCGCTGCGCTGCAGCGCAGAATCGATGTCCTGTCCATGCGTCCTCGCCCACGGACCACGGCATCTCGGCGTCGCGCTTGCCCAAAGTAGCGAGGGCCGAGACTACGCAGCGGCGCCGAGCGGGCAACGGGCAGCGGCGGTGCGTGTGGGCGCGGGCACGGCCAGATCGGGCAGGCGCTGCGACGTGGCGCAGCTACGAGGCGTCCGAGGCCTCGACCGGCAGCGGCAGAGGCAGCGTCGGCGTCTCGTGCTGCTGGCCGGCTGTGCACGTTGCATGGGTCCGGGCGGGATGCGCGGAGGGGCGCTCCCGAGCGGCGAGGGCAGGCGAGATGAGGGGTGACGCCCTGCTCGGCGATCACCAGGCAGCAGACTCATCTCGCTGCGCTTGATGATTTGCATGACTTGAGCGCCGCCCCTCTCGCTGCGCGGCTGTGCTGCTGCTGCGCCATACGTCCCGAGCTCAGCAGTGCTGAACGCTGCCACTCATGCGGCTCCAAGAGGCAGCCACCTCGAAGCAGCGTGATCTGCCCAGGGCAGACGCCGCGGTGCGCTCTGTGCCTCTGCGGGGCCAGCGGCGCGCGCCGCGGCGCGGGCGTTGCGGTGTGTGTTGCGCCGCTCGCGCGTGTGCCTTTCGCGCCCCTTTCGCACGTTTTGGCGCGCAGCAGGGCGCGCAGCGTCCCTCCGCACCACCACCATCGCCGCCCATTCCTACCCTGTCGCAGCCACACACACCCGCCGCACCCTCTCGTGCACCCTGCTCTGCGCCGCACAGTGCACCATGCCCGCTGCGGGCGTCTAGCTCTCTCTGTCGTTGCCACTCGTCCTCTCGCATGTCTGCGCCCTACTCGGTCACGGCCGCCGGCGCTGCGGACGCGGCCGCGCTGCTCGACGGCGCCGCAGACCCGTACGCCACGCTGCGCTCGTCGCGCCTTGCTCGCCCGAAGTACCGCTGGTCCACCTGGACTGCCGACACGACGCTCCTGTCGGTGGAGGATGAGGACACGGGCGCATGCCACGTCGCCGGCAAGGAGGCGCTCGCCGCCAAAGAGGCGCATGTCGCGCAGCTGTGGGACAGTGAGGCCGCGACGCAGCCCACACCCGCATCGCTGCACTGTCGCCGCTCTGCCAATGCCTCGTCTGGCGAGACCGAGGTCGACGGACCCTTCGACTCGTCCTCGTCCACCTCGGCCTCGCGCTCGTCCGCTGGCCTTTCCGACACGGAGGGGTCGTCGGCCGCACCCGCCGCGTCTCGACGCGCGGCCAGCAACGGCGCCCCTGACGCTTCTTCCAGCTCTCCGTGCGGCTCGCCGACGAGCGATGGCGCGTTTCCTGACCACCTACTCGATGCTGCGCTGGAGTCTACCAGCCTAGCTCTCGAGCAGGCTACCGCCTTGCTGCAGTCGACGATCAGCGCACGCGCGGGCTTTGCGCGCATGCGTGCCGCCGAGGCCGCGCTCGACGAGTCGCTCGACGTGCGAGAGGTCCGTCTGCGGCAGCAGATCATTGCCAGTGATGAGGCCCGCGGCTGGGTGGCTCGTGCATGTGCGGACCTGGCCGCGTTGGGAGTCGAGCCTCGCCGTGCAGTGGCACCGCGTGCTTCGTCGTGGCGCATGCCGAGCACCGGCAGCGCTGTCGCGCCCGTGGCCTCGACGGGCCAGAGTGCCGGCGCCGGCTGGCTCGACCACAAGGACGAAGACGCGACAGTCGGCAAGTCTGCCGCCAAGAGGCTGGAGCGCGTCCTCTCTACTGCGACAGTGCCCACGACACGACCAGCAGAGGCCGGGGACGGCGCTGTCGTGCCTGCCGCCCCTTCGCATAGCAGGCAAGCGAGCGGCGCGAGAGACGCACTCGCGCTTCTTGCTGGTGCTTCGGCCGCCGCACGCAGTGCTGGCGGCGCCGCTATGGATCGCTCCTCATCCTCATCGTCGTCCTCCGGATCTGTTTCGCCAGCCGCCTCTGCAGCATGCTCTCCGGCGCGGCCCAGCGCGGCGCGCAAGCCGCGCTCGTCGCTCCGGCTGCCCCTGTCTGGCCTCGGTCTCGGAGCAAGCGTGAGCGGGCCCACGGTGCAGACTTCCTCCGCGTACTTGTCTGCCGCGGAGGCGGGGCCGCTCTCGGCTGCCTCGACTTCGTCGGAGATGAGCTTCGCCTCTGCACAATCGCACAGCATGGCGCAAGACAGACTGGGCTTCCCCTTTACCTCGCACACGTCCGCGGCCACCTCATCAGAGCACGAAGCGGGACCGTCGTCCGCGACGAGGCCACGTCCTAGCTCTCGAGCGAGCATCGCTTCACTGCAGAGCCTGGCGAGCATCGACGAAGCTCACGCGGGCTACTTTGCTGCGGCCGCTCTTCCCCGGACTTGCTCCGATGCGACGGGCAGCGGCAGTCGCAACAGCAGCACGCGCCTTGTAGGAGAACGCGGCGGCTACCGCTCCGTCAGCGCCTCTAGCTCGACGACACTCTACGCCCCTCCGGCACGCGCCTTGTCTGCACTCAACGACAGAGCTGGTCTGCCATCTCGCGACCACGCAGAACAGAGCACTGCCTCGCTCCTCCTGACGCCTCCGTCGCAAAGCCTTGACGCCTTCGCGTCGCCCACGCCCAGCCTCGACGGGTCTCACAGTGGTCGAGCGCAGCTGTCTTCGGTACGCTCCCCGAGCCTGGCGCGGCCTCGGCGACCGGGGCATAGTGCGTCATCCTCGTTCTCAGACGCTCACGGCAGCGGCCGCTTCCGCTCGTCTAGCGCCGACGGCGCCTCGTCGTCCGAGGAGGAAGGCGCGGTGCGCAGGCGGCGCAAGAGAGAGAGCAGCCATCGCGACCGCGGCGCACTCGCTGCGCTGCGCCGCCTGAACTCGGTGCCGGGCGAGGAGGGCGACACCTCTACGGCCAGCGCCGCCTCTGCTGCCGCACAGACGCCAGTGCCGGCTGCTGCAGGCAATGGCTGGGGCGGTACGCTCGCCTCTTGGCTCGGAGCAAGCTCGCGCGCAGGCGCAGGCGACGAAGACGTGGTGTGAGGCCACGCTTTGCGCCTTGCCGATCCCCTACTACCCCATCGAGCCAGCTGCGCGGCACTCTGCCCGCGCCTGCTCTACCTTCCTTCATACCCTCCTCAAACCATATTGTGGCTCTGCGCACCGCCACGAAGACTGAGCATCGCGACGCGAAACAGGACAGAGCAGAACGTGATAATTGTGCACAGGGGATCAGGAAGCGGGGATAGGGGTCGGCGTGGGGGGAGGAGGGTCGGCTTCTCGGGATCAGTACATGCCGCCGACGGGTGCGTTCATGTACATGCCCGTCGGCTGCGCTCCGAGGGGCCCGTTGAGCCTGTGAAGGGACAGAGGTGAGAAGGGTATGCGCGACGCTTGCTTCGCCCGGCACTCACCCCGTGGCTTGCGGACCGCCAATCATGAGCTGGCCGCCCATGCCGGGACCAAGGATCGGCGCGTTGTCCTCGGCCTGCTCCTTTTCTGAGTCCTTCTTGGAGCGCTCGCGCACCTCCTTCTCGAGCGCCTTGAAGCGCGTGTCGCGATCGCGCATGCGCTGCAGGCGATACGGCATCAAGTAGTCGTTCTGCAGGCGAAAGACGTCAGCGTTGCGCGGTCGGCGCTTCTGCACGCGACTCACCAGAGCGTGCCGCCAGGACAGCTCCTCGGCAACGTCCTCGCGAATGAGCTGGGCTCGAAGTGTCAGCACCTACGTCCTTTCGACAGCTGCACGACGCCGACTCACGTCGTAGCACGCGAACAGCACCGCCGAGACGGCCTCCTTCATGCCGATGTCGACGAAGTAGCTGAGCAGGCCCTCGGCCACCTCCGTCTCGCCCGACACGGCCGCGGTCTCGATGGCGTCGCGCCAGAGCTTGTCGTTCTTGCTCAGGTCGATCTGCGGTGCGGGCGTGAGCAAGAGACGTGCTGCCAAGGGGCCGGAGCCTACGCACAGACTCCGTCCAGCGCGAGCGGGTCTTGTAAAGGTGGGCCGCCAGCCGTCTGAACTCGAGCAGCTCGTGGCGCTCCAGACGCTGGGCCAGCGAGATCGCGTCGAAGTTGTCGTAGCCGTCGATCGAGGCACGGAGCGTCTCGAAGTCCTCCTCCTCGATGAGCAGGTCCGCGAGAGCGTCATTGACCTGTGTGGCAGGGTGGTGAGCTTCCAGAATGGGCGACGCTGACTGTCGCCGGTGCTCACCTGCTCGATGTTGTGGTGCTGCACCGAGATGAGGTAGCCGCGGATCAGGGGCAGGTTGTCGTTGTCCTTGCGCGCAAACAGGCGCACGACGCGCGCGTGGTCGATGCGCGCGGCGAGCACAGTGAGCAGGTCCGTGAGCAGCAGCGGGTGCTGCTCAAGGTAGAAGGACAGCGCGCGGTAGTAGATCTCGATGTTGGCCACCTGCGCGAGGGACAATTGAGCAAGAGCAGGTCAGCGTCAGCACACAGCCACTCACCTTCGGCAAGATCGTCTTGAACAGATCATGCTCCCACGCGACGCCGCCGTGCTCCATGATGATGAGCGCGGCGTTGTCCGGCTCGTCGTACTTGAGGTGCAGGAACACAAGCTCGCTCCAGAGGTGGCACGCGTCGGCCGTCTTGATGAGCATCGGCAGGTTGCTGCGGCTCCAGTACAGCTTGAGGTGCTCCATGAGGCGCTCGGGCTTGTACTTGGCCAGCGCAATGCCCGCCTGGGTGAACACGCCCATGTGTGCGCGCTCCAGGCCGAGCGCCGCGTCGAGCAGCGTCATGAGCTCCTCGAAGAAGCCCTGCGCCTCGTACGCGCGGATCAGCGACGGCAGCTCCTCGGCGTGCGGGATCACGGCGAGGCCGGCAATCTGCGCCAGCTTGAACTCGCGCTTCGTCAGGCACGCGGCGTGCACCTGCTTCCAGACGCTCGTGTTGCCCGCCTTGCGCGCCGCATCGACGGCCGACTGGTAGTCGCCGAGGTAGACGAGCGTCGTGGCCAGGCGCGCGTAGTTCGACACGCTGCTGAAGAGCAGCTTGGCCGCCTCGTACAGCTCGTCGTTGAAGCACTTCTCGCCGACGTTCATGATGTCGGCGACGTTGGTCATGCCGAGGAACTCCTCCATGTCCGACAGGCGGTTCGCCTTGGCGAGGCAGTACGCGTACTCGGTGTCGATCTGCGGCTCGCGCGCCTTCTTGCGCGCCATTTGCAGGAAGCGGATCAGCTCCTCCTCGCGCCCGGCGTGCTCGGCAATCTCGATGACCTCGGCGTAGTTGCTCGGGTCCTCGGCCTTGACGTACGAGTCGATGGCGTCCTTGACGCGCAGGCCGTCGAGCTGCGCCTTGCCGAGGCGGCTCCACAGCTCGGGCTTGTTGAGCTTGTTGGCGTACTGCGTGCCGCGGTCGATCGAGACGATGTGCTCGACGAGCACGTTCATCGCGTCCGTGTGCTGCTCGGCCTTGCTGAAGATGCGGAAGGCCTCCTCGTACAGGCCGTGGTCGATGGAGATCTTGGCAATCTCGCCGACGTCGTAGCCGGCCAGGCGGTCGATGTAGTTCATCACCTTGCCCTTGTCCGTGCGCACGGCGGTGAGCATGAGCAGGTTCTGCAGGCTGCGGTTGTCGCTGAAGCTCGACGGCTCGAGGATGATCTTCTCGAGCAGCTCGATGAGCTCGTGCGGCAGGTCGGCGGCCATGAGCGCCTTGACGGTGACGGAGACGTCGTCCGGGTTCGTCGACTCGGGCACGGCCGTCGACGTGACCTGGTCGATGAGCTGGCGGCGGTTGACATTGTCGGGGCGCAGCACCGTGGCCCAGAGGTCGAGCTGGCGGCGCATGACGAGGTAGCGCGCCTGGTGCTTGAACATGGTGTTGTCCGTCGTGATGGCGATGAGCTCCTCGTCGCAGAAGCCCTTGGCGTAGGCAATGTACGCCAGGTACGGGTCGCGCTTCTCGCAGTACTTGCCCACGACGCGCGGGTCGTACGCGTTGTTCTCCTTGAGGAACTTCTCCGGGTTGTTGTTCGAGTCGATGTAGATCTTGGCGACGGCGTTGAACAGCGGCTGATCCTGCGCGCCGGCGTCGATGCGCGACTGGATCCACGGCAGGATGAGCTTGAGGCGGTTGCGCTTCTCGACCTCCTCGACGAGCTCGTCGACGGGGATGGGGCCCGTGACGGAGGCGAGCAGGTTCTTGATCACGCCCTCGTCGCAGTCGACGTCGAGCAGGCCGCCGATGACCTGCGGCGTGCGCGACGAGTTGACGCGCTGCACGTACACCTCGATGAAGTTGATGAGCATGTTCTGGTAGAGGTAGAGCACGAGGTCGTGCACAAAGTCGAAGCGGTCGCACACGATGATCAGCGGCAGCTGGTCCGCCAGCTTGGCCTCCTTGAGGAAGTTCTTGACCTTCTCGGCGTTGTAGTAGTTGCTCTCGCGGCAGATGCGCTCCACCTCGCGGATCTGGCCCGTGCGCGTGGCGGCCTGGATGTACTTGAAGTGCACCTCGGCGTCCGTCGAGAGGTTGACGACGGAGCCGAGGAAGTAGTACAGGCCCTCGTAGCTCTTGAATGACTCGAACATCTCGATGAGCTTGACGGGGCCCAGCAGGTCCGCGTACTTGGTCGCAATCTGCACCACGACCGACAGGTTCTGGCGGATGTTGACGCGCAGCATCTCCTTGAGCGCGTCGAGGCTCTGCTCGACGGTCAGGCGGCCAAAGTACTCGACGAGCCACTCGGCGTTGAGCAGGTTCGAGTGCACGACGACACGCTTGATGTCCGCGGCGTCCTCGTAGTGCTCGAGGGCGCGCTGCAGCAGGCCGGCCTTCTCGCAGAGGTTGGCGATGCGCGGGCGGTCGTAGTGCGTGAACATCTCGTTGCCGAGGATCGCATCGGCGACCTGCGGCGCGTTGACGAGGTTCATCTCGAGCAGGCGCGTCTGCAGGTGCGCCTGCTCCGGCTTGTTGTCCTTGAGCGCGTCGAGCAGGAAGCTCGTGGCCTGCTGGATCATGTTCTGCGACATGAAGATGTCCGTCACGCGCTCAATGTCGACGAGCGGGCCGGCCTCGTCGCCGACGAGGCTGCTGGCAAACTCGGCGCCCTGCTCGGGGCTGATGCGCACGATGTGCTGCAGCAGCGCCGCGTAGTCGGGCGAGTAGCCGACCTTCTTGGCATACAGCACGATCTTGTTGAACTGGCCCGTCTCGGCGAAGCAGGCGACGACCTTGTTCGGCACGTTGGCGCGCAGGTACACGCTCAGCGCCAGGTTCATGTCGTGCTGGCGCACAATGTCGCCGAGCTCCTCGCTGCACTCGATCTTGTTCTCCTTGAGCCACTTCTCGAGCAGGTGCTTGCGGCCCTGCACCAGCACCGGCTTGGCGAGCTCGAGCGACTCGTACTTGTTCAGCGAGCCCTTCTCGAGCAGAATGCCAAAGTACTGCAGGATGGGCGAGAGCGTGCCGGGCTGGTTCGGCACCTGCTTGAACTGCTCGATCGTCTGCGTCGTGCGCAGGATGCCGCGCGGCGAGTTGGCGGCAATCTTGGCCGCCTCGCCGAACTGGCCCGTGCTGAAGAGCGAGTGGAACTGCTGCATGTAGAGGTCGTCGGCGCCCGGCAGGTTACCGCGTGACGCGAGCTTGAACGCCAGCTCCGTGTTGTTGAGCGTGCGCAGGATGTACGGGATGATCGTGTTCTCGTCGACGGACACGCTCAGCACCTGGCCCTTGCGGTTGATGCCGATGATGCCGCTCGTCGTCTCGTGCTCGGCGGTGACGAAGATCGTCTCGCCCGAGATGCGGTTCATGTAGATGCACGTGCCCGACTCGAGGTCGTACAGGTGGATGAAGCCGTACTTGGTGACGAGGTAGACGATGCCGTAGCGCTTGCTGACCTGCATGGCCACGGGGAAGTCGTTGGTGGCCTCTGCGCGCGCATGTCTCAGCACTCTGCTCTCTGCGCACAGCCAGCGACCACCGCGGCGCGCCATGTCCGCCGCCCGCTCCGACACTCACCCGGCGGGAAGAACACATCGACTGCCTTCTTCGTGAACGTCGGGTTGCCCTGCTGGTGGTCGATCTCGACCACGTGCAGCTTGGCACCCGTGCCCGTCCGCACGGCAAACGTGAACAGCTTGAACGGGCTCGGCGCCGAGTCGGTGCGCAGCTCGGCGAAGCTCGCGGCGTGGCCCTCGATGGGCTGCGACACGCCCCGGTCGCGGCTGTACAGCTGCATGCTGCCCTTGACGCGGAACGCGCCGGGCGCCGTGTTGCCGCTGATGCCGATCAGCACCACCCACTTCTCGTCGGGCGAGACGCGGTAGTTGATGATCTGCGCGCCGGCGAGCGACGCGTGCCGGTCGAAGATCTTGGCCGGCGCGGCGTCGCCCTCCATCGACCAGTGGTACACGGCGCCCTCGGTCACGACGCCGAGCGTCGTGTTGGAGATCCACTTCCAGAAGGTGACATCCTCGTGCACTGCAGCATGCCGCGTGAGCCAGGGATGCTGCGGCCGGACAGCGACGGCGACTTACTCAGGTGGCTCTTGACCTTGGCCTTGGCCTCGATGTTGAAAATCTGCAGCTGCCGCGCCGACTTGAGCGCGATGATCTTCTGCACCGGGTTCATGATGGCCGAGTCTGCCGTGATGGGCCGGCGCATGCTGTGGGGAGCGCGCTGGCGTCAGTGCAGCTCACATAGCCGTGCAGGGCAGCCGCGGTGCGTCGTGCCAGTCCTGTCGCGGCTGACACGCGCACCCCGGGCAGCGACACTCCACGCTTGGCCCATCCCCTACGACTCACAGATTCGAGCTGTCGTTGAGGTCGACGATGGCCACCGAGTTCTGGCCGTTGATGCTCTCGCGCACGCAGACGAACTGCTCCGACTCCATCGTCACATTGGCGAAGCTGATCGACTCGGCCTGGATGCCGAGCGCGGTGAGCTGCACATGCTCGGAGAAGTTGATGGGCTTGTCACCCATCGTGGCGAGTGGTCGGGCCGCGTGCCGGGGAGGCCGGAGTGCAGGGAACGGGGCAGGACCGTGCGGCGACGGGACGGGGCAGCGCGCCGCCGGCGGGCAGGGGACGCGGGACGAGGCGCAGCAGCAGGCAGCGCAGATCGGCCAGCGAAGAGCTGCAGAGAGGGAATGGTTCGCGCAGGCCTGGCCGCGGTGGGCAGTGTGAGGCGGCGCGAGGGCGAGGCGGGGTGGATGCGTGTGGGAGAGGTGGTCAGGAAGCACGAAGGAAGCAGCGGCGCTGGCAGTCGACGGCGGCGCAGCGTGGCAGCGATGCAGGCTCCGTGCGCGCGCGCGCGCCGCGTGGCTGCGCTGGCGCAAGCACACACACGGCACGCCGCCGACACTGACTGCTCCAGTGCCCGCGCCGCGCGCCCCTGGGCTGCCGCCGCCGCGCGGCGATGTGGCTGCTGGCCTCTCGCTCACCGCCGAGGCGACAGCAGCACGCGCGTCCGAGGCGGTGCGCTCGCAAAGGCTCGAACGGCGACGCACAGCACACAGCATTGTCGGCTTTGAGACTGCAATACCCTCCGAAAAGCGTCTGACGCATGTCTGAGCGTACTCTCCCTGTCAGGTCTGCCGCTCCTGCTTCCTATGCTCAAGGACCGCGAGAGCTGTTCACGTCGGCACACACGCAAGAAGAAGATCACAGCAAATGGTCATTGAATAAGGGCGGACTAAGTAAGAGTAGCAGACAGGATATCTCATGCGTCGGGAACTTGGTCTAGTGGAATATTCAACGAGCCACGAGGCTTAGGCGACGGCCTGCGGCGTCGGCGGGCCGCTGGCGAGGCCGAGCTCCTTGGCCAGGCGCTCGGCCGTGCCGTCGACGGTGCGGTCGCACTTGGCGCCGCCGTGCAGCAGGCCGGCCGACGAGATGTCCTTCGTCTTGGCGCCGAGCACGCCGCCGGACGACAGGTAGTCGCTGCGAGACTGGGTGGGGAGGACGAGCGCCTCGTGGACCACGGGCGCCGTGTGGCGCACCTCCTCGGTGGGGACAACGACACGCGTGCGGCTGTGCGAGTGCTCGTGCTCGTCGACCAGCGGCACAACAACGTTCGTGACGTGGTGGTGCACCGTGTGGTTCGTCTTGACGCCCTTGTCCACGATCTCCTTCGTGCGGGCGCCGTCGATGATGGCGCCATCGCGGTGGCCGTGCGTGTTGGCGACCTTGGCGAGCAGCGCGGCGTCCTCGGCCGTCGAAGCGTGCTTCTCGTTGATCTTCGTCGTGGGCAGCACGCGCTCGTGCTGCGTCTCAGCGTGGTGCTTCTCGTCGCGGATGGGCTGGTGGTGCACCTGCACATGGTGAGTGTGCGTCTCGACGTTGCGCTGGCGCTCGACCTCCTCGATCTCGTGGTGGTGCTTGTGCGTCTGGACCTGCTCGCCGAGGTGCTTGACGCTCTGGTGCACCTGCCCGTTGCTCAGGTCCGGCTCGGGCACACCGTGGCCCTTGCTGTGCTTCATCTTGCCCTCGACGTCCTGCACAACCTCCGAGCGGCCCGTGCCGGTCTGGATGCCGTACGTCTCGGCCTTGGAGGCAGCGACGGGGAAGCGCGGCGTCTCGGTCGTGTTCTTCGTGGGGGCGGCCTCGTGCGAGTCGACGGAGGTGGTGGGCGACGTGTGTGCGACGTCCGAGGCCGACGTGTCCGACGAGGTCGAGTGGCGCTTGCCGCTGAGGACCTTCTTGATGCCGTTCATGATTAGAAGAGGTGGAGTGTGGCGGACCGAGGAGTAGTGGGTACCTTGGCTGTGAGTGTGTGTGTGAGAGCTGAGTAGCTGGATGAGGAGCAGGAAGAAAGAGGCGTTGAGGGGCCTCCTTATGTATGTGATGTCGAGCGGCCCCTCTCGCTGTCGGAGGCATGCGTGGAGCCAGCTCGACGTCATAGGCCACCGCATGACGCAGAGCAAGCATCCGCGCCGCCGCCAGCGGGGACGGCATGGACGTATTGCGCGGTGGTCCGAGCGGCTAGAAGGGACGAGCTGGATTGAGCGCTGCCTCAGCCAGGCGCTGGGCGGCGGAGCGGACCCGAGATCGCGATGACGGCGCGGCGAAGGAGCGCGAAAGGTGTTGGTTGCAGCGCCACGGGCTCTCGGCGCGGCGCGACTGCGGCTGCGGCGCACCAGAACGCAGCAGGTGCAGCGCCTGAGCAGCGCCGTAGCGGACCCGCGGCGCGCCGCTCCAACTCTGCCGGAGCCCGCGCGGCGACTGCACAGCATCAGGCGAGGCCCGGCGAGCGGCAGCATCAGAGCAAGCGGGCGCCCTACGCTCCCATCGAGCACCTTCTTGCTCGGCGCGGACAGCTCGTCCCTCCGCAACGGCTTAGCTTGGTCAGCGGCACGCGCCATGGCGACGGCCGGCGGCGGCGTAGGCTCGCAGGCGGGCGTCGCATGGGGCGCAAGACGCGCCGGCGCGCCGGACGCCTGTATCGCACGCCGGCCGGCGAGATCGGGCGGTGGCGCCAAGGTGCACGGGCTGCCGCATCTGACGGCCCTCCACACCTTCGGCTGTCGGAGGCTCAGAGCGTGGTGAGGGCCCCGTGCGGCAGGCAAAGCGAGCCGACGCTCGCGCTTGCTGCGGCGTGCCGGGGCTGCCTAGCGCGCGCCGGCCGCCGGTCCGCATCTGGCCGCCTGAGGCGCTACAGCGCCGGCTAGCTGGGCCGTCTCGTCATGCAGCGCCGGCACCCAGCGATGCCTAGACGCCGCCGAGCACGCATCTTCGCTCCGCCGCACCGCTCACACCTTCCTCGCTTAGAGCTGCGGCGCGCGACAGCGGCGGGCGGTTACCAGCGAGCCGGACGCGCGGCGGTTGCTCGTTGGCAGCGGCACCGAGCCACCGGCACAGCTGCGAAAACCGCTAGCTTCTGTGCGTCAACCCTCCCTCGAGGAGCCTATGACGCGCTGTCGAGACGAGCGACCGCTTCGCTTCGCTTTAGTCCAGCCTCATCCGGCTGCGCATCCCGACCTGGACTGTCCCCCATCGGCACGACTAGATTCACGGCCGCTCTTGAGCTCTGATGGCCATAGCGACCTAAAACGCCAGCTGCTGGTCTACGCTTGCACGACTGCTGCTGTCAGATGCAGACGCCTGCGCCGGACCAGGCCAAGCTGGCGGGCGAGGCACGCCCCGGTCTGTGCGTGGCATGCCACAAGGCTTCGGGCGCGCACAACCGCCTTGACATCATCTGCAGCGCTGCCCTCGCCAGAAGCGTACCACTCGACACAACGCACATCATGTGAATGGAGCAACGAGGCTTGCTCAAGCCGGTCAGACGAGCAGCTCCGCATGCGCAATGATCTCGGCTAGTGACGCCATGCTTCGTGGCAGGACCATGACGCAAAGTGTCGCTCTGGTATGGATGTATTGCTCCAGCGAGCGTGCGTCCGGATCAAGTGGGCGGCGCATGCTGCGGCCCACGCGCGCCTCGGCGGCGAGCCTCTCCTCCGTCGGGACTGCGGCTTCGGCTGGGCCGCTGTATGAGCGGACGGCTCTTCTGCAGAGCCGCGAGGCGGCCAGACGCGGAAGACATGCTCGGCAGCACATCGCCGTCTTCCGCAGCGCCAGGCAGCGACGGCAGAGCCCGCATCGGGACCGGCTTGGTCGGCGACAAGGATCTGGCATGCGCTCGCCGCACCGCGGGAGAAGCTGAGACGAGTGCGATCAGCTCTTGCTGATCGCCGTCGAGATCTGAACGGAGCGGCTGTCGCTGCGGCGACTCTAGCGTGCGACCGCGAGAGGCTGTTGCGACGACTCCAGCCGACGGAACAGTGCCGCCGCGGCGGCGCGGCGTGGAAGGCGCGGACCTCGAAGCGCTCGACTGCGCGGGCACAGCAAGACGAAGGGAAGCCGACTTGCTGCTGGGCATCATCGGCGGGCCCATCAGGGATGCGCCTGCCTGGTGGTTGCCGGCACGACTCGCGTCATTGCGCGTGCCGGTGTGACCGACTGTTCGCTTCGTTGGGGACGGTGGGAGCGCGAGCGTCGGGGCGGAAGCTGGCTGTCCAGCGTTGATGGAACGCATCACGACAGGACGCTTGGCACTCGATCGCGGTGTGGCGCCGGGTTCATCAGCCCGTAGCACTGATGCCTCGACCTTCGGAGGCGAGACCTTTCGTGGGGTGCGCTGCGCGTCAAACGAGGTCTGGTCCGTCGGGGTCTTGGGGCCGTCGTCGTCGGGGCCGCTGCTCGCTGAGGTGCTGCGCGAACTGCTGGCGTCCGAGCCGCCGCGCTTCGCTGGTCTGCGAGCCGAGCCGCGCAGTTCCTCGGCTGCCAGACGCTCGGCGCCCTCGCGGTCGGCCAGGTGGGCCAAGAGCTCGCCTGCGGCCGCTGCAGTCGCCTCTTGCTGCTCGCTGACAGAGCTAACCTGCGCGGTCTCGTCGGGCGCACGAAGCACCGTACGCAGCAGGGCCTCGCCGCGCAGCGTCGTAAAAGACGACAGAGACTCTGGCCGGGCCAGCAGCAGGACCGAGATGGTGGAGATGGCGTGCGCCTGCGCGTGGCTGAGGTCCACCGAGGTGGCAGGCGACCAGTACGGCGCCGATGCAAGCGCCAGCAGCAGCTGACGGGAGCGTCAGTGTACTGTGTGCCGGCCCGCCTCGACCTGCACTCACTTCTACCTCGGTCACATCGCCGCGCTCGCCAGGCGCCAGCAGCGCGAGCCCCTGCAGCAGGGAGAAGCACACGCCGGCCTCGGTTGCAAGCAGAGCGCGGGCCGCATCTGCGTCTCTCCTGCTTGAGCAAGAGCCGCAGGTCGTGGACAGATAGGAGAGATGCACGTGCAGGCGCGAAAGGTTGGCAAGCAGTGCGGGAGCAACTGGCGCAGGGGACTGTCAGACATGCAACAGGAGTGCAGGCTCGCTGCGGCGGGTCGACTCACCTTCAGCCCAACCGCCCTGGCTGCGCATGCGCTTGCGCGCACCTGCGATCGCTGGTGCATCGCACAGCTCGTCCTTGAGGCTGACCTCGAGCTCGTACAGCGCCGCAGTGCGCTCCTGGCACGAGGCGCGTGGCGACGCGATCTGCAGGGCCGCGCGCGTGAGTGGGAAGCCAAGTAAGGCGAGCGTGCAGCGATGCAGCGCTCAGCCACCAGTCCTAGTCACTCACCGTGCGGAGAAGGGCGGCCTGTGGTGACGAGCGGAGCGACGGGCCGGCGCTTGACGCCGGCGGCGCGAGGAACGGCAGCATGGCCGCGCAGTGCTCGAGCCGGCGGCTAAGGGCCGTGCGTGCGGACCGTTCCGTCAGCGCGGACTGCGCGAGATGTAGGCTGCGCTGCGAAGCTGTAGCCGCAATCACTGTCGGGGATGCGAGACTCGAGGAGCGGATGAGAAGGCTGTGTGGAGGGAGGCAGCGAGCGGAGGCGCAAGCGCGAGTGTTGGTTGCCCGTCCACCCGCCCAAGCAACACTTTACGCCGCCGCGTTTGGGCGGAGTCGCGTTCGCGAGCCGCCGTTGCGCACGGACTGCTCGCGCCTGCTGCTCCCCTCCACTTATGCTCCCCTCCCGACTCCATCCCCGCCTCATCTGCCCCAGCAGCCGCTCTACAGCTCACCGCAGCTTGTTCAAGCCTAGTCTCGCTGTAGCCGACCTGCAGGCTCGGCGCTTGCCACAGACGCTCAGCCGTTCGACACGGCCGCACCTGCTCGCTCCCACTCGCCCCTCGGCATCGCGCGTCAATCCCACAGCTCCGGCCGGCTGGCCGCTGTTTGCCGTTACATCGCTCGCCTACCGATCTGCGCGCACTTAGCCGCTGCGATTCGCCACTAGCATGTCCTCGCAGCTGTCCGACTCGACGCTGCATGCGGCGCCCATCGCGGCGGACCCGTCCAGCTCGTGGGTGGCAGTGAGGATCGGGGCCAGCTGCGCGGTCGTGCTGACCTCTCGTCCGTCTCACCCGACAGGCGTCCTTCGGCACATGCTCAGCGCTACGATCGGCAGCTGCGGCTCTGGGCCTCCTCGGGCCAGCGCTCGCTCGAGTCGGCCCATCTGCTCTGCGTCGGCAGCACGGCCCTGGCGGGACAGATTCTCAAGAATCTCGTGCTGCCCGGCGTGGGCCGCGTGACGGTCGTCGACGATGCGCCCGTGACCGAGGCGGATCTTGGCAACAACTTCTTCCTGGAGGAGGAGAGCCTGGGCCGCAGCCGGGTGCGCGAGATGACGCGCTTCGTCTGCGAGCTCAATCCTGACGTCGAAGGTCAGGCGCGAGAAGAGGTGAGGGACTTGTGGAGATGACCGGCAGGGAGCCTGCTTCCCGGACGCGCTGTGCTCTGCGTGACACTGACGCGATCGCGGCTCCCAGTCTCCTGCCTCGCTGCTCTCGGACAACGCGCCTCTGCTGCAGTCAGCAACGCTCGTGCTGCTGGTCAGCCAGGCGCCCGACGTCGTCGATGCCATCTGCAATGCGCTGTGGGACGCCGAGGCCAATGTGCCGGTTCTTGTGGTGCGGAGCAGCGGACTGGTGGGCGAGGTTCGAGTGCAAGCTCGCGAGTGCGGCAGTAAGTAGACATGTGCAGCAGGCGCGCGGCAGGCCCTGACGACGTTGGCACAGTCATCGAGACGCACCCCGAGTCCACGGATGATCTCCGCCTCGTCGACCCCTTCCCCGAGCTGCGCAGCCTCGTCGACGCATACGAGATAGACCGCGCAGACACGCACGCGTACTCGCACATCCCATTCGTCGTCATCCTGCGACGAGCGTTAGACAAGTGGGAGGCGCAGGTGAGTTTCATCCGAAGCATCATATTGCCCCAAAGCCTCCCAATCAGGGCACATGCCTCAGGAAGCTGAACATCCCGCTCTCGGCAGCATGGCAAGCTGCCGACTTCAGACGACCGCAAGGCATTCACTGCGCTCATCAATGACGAGCGCGACAGCAAGGCCGAGGGCGAGAACTTCGACGAGGCCATAGCTGCCATGGGCAAGCATGTCTGGCGAGGTGCGTCCGGCGTGGCTGTACTTCTTGCTGCATAAGCTGATGAGCGCGCGATAGCCCTATCCGCACCCAAGGTGCCGACTGCAGTGGAGGAGCTCTTCGACGCACCAGAGTGCGAGCAGATCGGGCCCAAGGTGAGCGGCTTGCGGCCGCTACCCGCGCCCTCGCTGACCGCCTCGCAGTCCTCCAACTTCTGGCTGCTGCTCCACGCGCTGCGCTCGTTTGTGCGCTCCTCGCCGGGCTCAACACCTCGCGGGAGCGGCGGTCGCCTGCCGCTGCCCGGCTCGGTGCCCGACATGAAGGCGCTGTCACCCACCTACGTCGCTCTCGTGGGCGCCTATCGCACGCGCGCCGCTGCAGACCTGGCCGACTTTCAGCAGCACCTGGACGCCACGCTGCAGCGTGCCGGCGTGCCCGAGCGCATCGACGCCGAAGAGGTGGCGCGCTTTGTCAAGTTGGCCGGCTACGTGCGCCTGACCAAGGGACGCAAGCTGCACGACGCCAAGAGCTCGCCGAATAAGGAACCCATCGGTGAGCAGCGGTCTGCTAGACATTCTCTCAGCCTCGCTGACCAGCGCGACCTGCAGCTGCCGCACTGTCGGATCCCATCAACCCCGTCGTGGTGCCGCACGCGCTGGCCTTTATGGCGGCGGACGAGTTCTACCTCGCGCACCGCCGCTTCCCCGGCTCGTCGCGCGCGTTTGCGTACTCGCTGCACGGCGGCCGCTCGCAGGAGTGGGCGCAGCAGGGCCAGCGCTCGTACGACGGCGGCGTGCGCGAGAGCAAGCGGCAGCGCAGCGGCGAGCCCGAGGACGGCGACGACGAGCACGAGCCCGACGCGGACGACGACGAGCGCGAGCTGCAGCGCCTGGCCGAGGCCATGTGCGCACGCCTGGACATTGTCGATGAGAGCGACACGAACCGTGTCGAGGATGCCTGTCTCGAGCTGTGAGTGGCGCGCACACGCCAGACGAGCGCCCAGGCTGACCCCTCTCCTGGCCAGTGTCCGCTCCGGCCATGCCGATGTGCCGAGCACGGCGGCGCTGCTGGGCGGCGTCGCGGCGCAGGAGGCCATCAAGCTCATCACGCGGCAGTACATCCCGCTCGACAACACGGCCGTATACGACGGCATCCAGCAGGCCATCGGCGTGTTCCGCCTCTGAGCAATGGACATCGTTGCCATGCGCCTCGCACGAAGTGACGCAGGTGTCTCTCGTTCTCGCTCGTGCCAGAGCGATGCTGAGGCGACGAGTCGGCTGGAGTGCGGGCCAGGCTCTCCCAAGGGGCTTCCGAGGATGGGGGGCCGCCAGGTTGCAGATGCAGGGAGCGGCGCGGCTGCTGCTGTGCCGCGCGGCTGAACGTATGGAGACTGCTGCAGTGCCGCCCTTCTGCCAGCCGCGCCGCGCTGCTGCTCTGGTGCCGCGCGTCTCTCTGCCGCGCCACGTCGCGCTTGCCGCAGCCGCAGCAGGGCGCATCACGTGCGCCTTTCTCTGCCGCTGCTGCAGTTCCAGCGCCGCCGCGCGCGCCGCCTGCGCCTGCTGCCGGCCCGCGCTGGCTGGGCGCCGCGCCGCCGCCGTCGCCGCGCGCTTCCGACCCTCACCTCGCCGTCACCTCATCACCCCTCCCCCTCCCCTCAAGCAGCATCGCCCGCCATGTCGCTCTCTCCTCCGGACCCGAGCCAGAACTTCGCGCACAGTGAGTGCCGCTGCGGGTGCGGTGCGCTGCCCGCGCCGAGCTGCGGCTGACCGAGCCTCTCTCTGTCCCTGCTTCCTTGCTGCGCCTGTCCTGCGCCGCACCCAGTCCTGCGTCTGCTCAACACCAATGTTGACGGCAAGGACAAGGTGATGTACGCCCTCACCCGCATCAAGGGTGTCGGCCGTCGCTTTGCCAACATTGTGTGCAAGAAGGCCGACGTCGACCTTTCCAAGCGGTGAGTGGGCACGGCGTCTTGGAGAAGGACGGTGGCACAGGCAGGGGATGAGTGGATGAGGCGGGGAGCAACGGCAGAGTTTGGCGGCAGGAGCTGGCGTGGGTGGACAGGCATGGAGGCAACGAGTGTGAGGGCCAATGACGAGAGAAGGAAGTTGTTGCTGTGCGCCAACGCGGGCCGCCGTGCCAACGGGCCAGCATGTGGTGACAGGCTACGGCGACATATTATGTTATGGAGACTGGACGGCGGCACGAGGAGATGAGACAGGGAGTGCGGATTTGAGGAATGGCGCTGCGTGCGCAGGCGTGGTCGAGCAAGGGTGTGGCATGCGGACTGCCTTCGCCCGTCGATGGCATGTGGGCAGCGATGGCCTGTCGAACTGTCGCTCATCGCTGTCCCTCTGCAGCGCCGGCGAGCTCAACTCCGACGAGCTTGAGCGCATCGTGACGATCTTCCAGAACCCGGCCGAGTTCAAGATCCCCGCCTGGTTCCTCAACCGTCAGAAGGACATCGTCGACGGCAAGAACTCGCAGCTCCTCTCCAACGGTGTCGACTCGAAGCTGCGTGACGACCTCGAGCGCCTGAAGAAGATCCGCGCGCACCGTGGTCTGCGTCACTTCTGGAACCTGCGCGTGCGCGGTCAGCACACCAAGACGACTGGGTGAGTGTCAGGGAGGGCGATGGTCGGACGGGTGGAATCAGTCGGCGAGGGGTCGACAGGACGCTAGCGATGCTGCACTAGGGTCAGGTCGCGCTTGATCACACGTCGCGGGAGAGGTGGAGAGCAGTATGTGGGACAGCATGGCTGGGTGCTCGTACTACCGGGCATCGTGAGAGGCCGCGCGGTCGCTCGCCGGCCATCTCAGCGAGGCATGCGTTGCCGCATAGCCTCGCGTTGGGACTTCAGGCACACTCGAGCAGTCGCTGACATGCTGTCCCTGCAGTCGTCGCGGACGGACCGTGGCCGGCAAGAAGAAGTGATCGCGGTCACGACTTCGATCCTGTCTTGGAGGTTGCCTCACGCCAAAATTCACCTTGTTTCAGTATGCCATCCACGCGGCAGGGTGTGCGTATCAGTGGCGCTAGTGGTGCTCCATGCGGGCAGTGGAGATGAAGGCAGATGCGGGGCAGGCTTAGCCGACGTGTCGACGTGGGATGCCCTCCGTTCTCTTTCGCTCGTCAGACTCATGGCTGCGCCTGGTGCGAATGAGGTGCTGGTCTGTCGCTGTGGTGGAACGATGACAGACGCTGGGCAGACTTGGCTTTCGTGCACGTCTCGAGGCGTGCTTCTCACATGCGTCGCCACGAGCGCCATGGGTACTGGGTCTGGACAAGCGTGGCACCTTCGGAGATGTCAGTGCAGCATCTGAGCATCACAGTGGCCGCTGGTTGGGCAAGGATAGATTGCTCAGGCAGACACTACTGGAAGATTAGAGGCGCCGGCGCAGGCATGTTCTCCGCGAACAGGGCTGCAGGAGCGTGGTGCGCTGGCTCCTCGATGCCGGGCCCGAGTCCAGCGTCGCGCGGGTCAGCCTTGCGGTAGGCGTCGATGTCGATCCAGCCGATGCGGCTCTCGTCGCCGAAGCCGCCGACACGGTAGACCTTCTGCGCGCGCAGACGCACCCAGCGTGCCTCGTGCGGGCTGTCGCGCGAGCCGTCGGCCCAGTGCCGGGCGTCGGGATGCAGGTGCAGGAAGCAGCGCGCTGCCTCGTGTGCCTCGGGCGAGCCGCGCGGCAGCTCGTGCACGTCGCCGTACAGCGTCATGCGCGGCTTGGACGGCATGCCGCGCCGCCACGCTGGCCGTGCTGGGCTCCAGTCGTGCGAGCCCGGCGCTGTATGCCGCGCATCGGGCGACGAGAAGGACGTGTCGGGCGTGATGCTGAACGTCGCATTGTGCGAGGCAGAGTAGAGCACGTTGCGCCAGTTCTGCGAGCTGCAACAGGCGTCAGCACGGCCGCATCACCCATGCAGCGGCCAGCGTGCGTGCTGCTCCAGGCACAGGCTACGGCCAGTCCAGCGAACCGAACAGCGAGTGAGCTGCGCCGCACGGATGGCACACTCACATCGTCAGCGCAATGAACACCAGATCTCCCTCTGGACCGCACGGCGCAAAGTACTCTGCGCCCGAGCAGACCGCGCCACGCAGTGCTTCGTCGGTGTGGTTGTCCGGATAGATCGTCGAGAGCACGCCGACGCCGTGGTGCGATGGATCGTGGAGCAGGGCGCGGGCGCGGGCGGGCACTGCAGGGCAGAGGCGTGAGCCACACGGGCGCCGAGGCTGGTCAAGCAGACCCAACAGCAGCCGAAACCGCGCAGTACGCACCACGTGCAATGGGCTCGTACTCCTCCTCGGCACGCACGCCGGCGGCACAGAGCAGCGCCGCAGAGCAGAGGCTGAGCAGCGCGTGTGGCGGCAGCAAGCGCATCGTGCAGCGAAGGGACTGTGCGTGGCAGTGCGGAGCGGCTCGGGTGTGCCAGATCGATATGCGAGGTGGTCTGTACTCGAACGGCGAAGACCAGGGCTCGTCTGTGAAAGCTGTGCTGGCGGGCGAGAGCGAGCGGCAGCGGTGATGGCGGTGCGGAGGCGCGGTCAGGAGGCCAGCATCGCCTCAGCGCCCGCCGCGACTGCCGGCGGCGCGCCACGCCGGCGTGGGAACAGCAGCGCTCAGGCTCGCCCTCCTCTGCTCCGGCCTTGGGCCCTGCATGAAAAGCTCTGTAACAGCCTCTGCCGTAACCTGAAGTATGCATGAAGGCTGCAGCACTGCAGCTGAGGAGTCGCTGTTATGACGAGCTCTCTTAAGCCCCATGCAGAGCACACGACGCTCACACCTGCCACTCTAGCGCACTCGAGGTCGCTGTCGTTTCTGTACCAACCTGTCACCACAATTGCTGCTCCAGCGTGAGATTTGATGGCCGTCTAGCACCGCATCGGCACCAGCTTGCTCCTGAAGCGTGGCATTGACCGCCGAGACACGGCGACGAAGGCCTGGAAAGGCTTGCCTCGAGACGCCCTTCTCGACGAGCAGCGGCAGCCGGGAATCGGGCACGGCGCCTTGCGGACGCGAGGGTCACTCGGCCCCCCAGCCGCCGCGTGCCGACAGCCGCACCTGCGAGAAGAGATCGGCTCCGCAGCGTCCGTCGTGAGCAAGTCCAGCTGCTGCGGCTGTTCTTATCGAGGGCGAGGTGCGCTCCTGGCTAAGGTAGCACGCGGGTGGGGCGCGCGAGACGTGGCTGCGGCGGGCGCGCGGTGCGGAGTGCCTCCGCGTGACGTCGACATGCTGCCTGCTTTCACGCTGCCTGCCAGACGCGGGGCGGGCGCGGCACGGCGCTTCTGCCGGCGGGCGCGAGAGCTTCGCTTTGGCGCGGCCGCTCCGCAAGGGGCAAGTCCGCCAGCGCCCCGCGCTCGCGGCTCCGGCACTCGCTCTGCTGCCCCGCGTTGGAGCGAGCGCTCTGCTGCGGCTCTGGATCTCAGCGGCTGGAGCTGAATGCACGTCGCCTCGCTGCTGCGCTTTCGGGTCGGCAGCGCAGCAGCAGCGGCAGCCCGACGAGGCCGGAGCCGCTCCTATATCAGCAGCCGGGGCACGCCTCGCCCCGCTCGCTCTCACAACCACACCCCTCGCCGCCCAGCATGTCTGCCGCACCCGCCAAGGACACGCACGCCGCGCAGCCCACGCTCACGCACTCGGGCCCGCCGACGTTCGACGACGTGAAGCGCGTGCTGAACCGCACCGTGCTCTCGCCGCTCGCGCTCGTCGGCATCCCGCTGCTCGGCTATCTCGCCGAGCGCCGCGCCTCGGCGCTGCCGTTCGGCGACGCCGCCAACTGGCCCTTCCCGACGCTCGAGCTGCTGCGCGCCCTCGCCGCGGCGCACCCGCGCCTGTACAAGCTCTGGCTGCTCGTGCTGCTGCGCACCTTCTCCCACACGGCCACGCGCTACGTGCGCAACCTCGGCGTGTACGGGCGCCAGCGCCCCGACTGGCGCAAGGAGGTCGTCGTCATCACCGGCGGCGCCGCCGGCATCGGCAAGGCCACCGTCGAGATCCTGAGCCACAAGAAGCGCGCGAGCATCGCCGTGCTCGACATGGCGCCGCCGCAGTACGCGCGGGCGCCGCCGGGTGCGCCCGAGATTCTGTACTTCAAGACGGACGTGACCGACCGCGAGAGCGTCAAGAAGGCCGCCGACGCCATCCGCGCCAAGTACGGCGAGCCGACGATCCTGATGAACTGCGCAGGTGAGCAGCACGGCCGCGCGATGCTTAGCGAGCCGCTGACGCCCAGTACCGCGCCCAGGCATCGCGCAGGGCTCTCTCATCCTCAACGCCGAGATGAAGAGCATTGAGCGCACCTGGCGCATCAACACGCTCGCCAACTGGATCACCGCGCAGGAGTTCCTGCCCGCGATGGTCAAGAAGAACCGCGGCCACATCATGACGGTCGCGAGCAGCGCCAGCTACAGTGAGTCGCCGCGAGGCAGCGGACCTGCTGCGCCCTGCTGACAAGCTCTGCACAGTGTCCCTGCCGCAGATGGCCGAGTACGCCACGTCCAAGTCCGCGGCGCTTTCCTTCCACGAGGTGCTCTCTGCCGAGCTCCTGGCGCGGTGAGCAAGCTCGAGCCATTTGCCACGCTGCGCCGCTCACGCTCTCCCAGGTACAACGCGCCGGCCATCCGCACGTCGGTGTGCTGCCCGACGAAAGTGCGCACCGCGCTGGGCGACGGCATGGAGGACCACCCGGACCCGTTCTTCACGCCCAACCTCATGCCCGTGCAGGTCGGCCAGGCCATCGTCGACGTGTTCGACTCGGGCCTGAGCCAGTACGTCATCATGCCCGAGATCATGCGCATCCTGCCGTGGATGCGTGCCGTGCCGGACTGGATGCGGCGGCTGGTCAACCTCGTGAGTGCTTTGCAGTGTAGCTGCCGTCGGCCGCTGCTGACTCTTCCCGCTTGCAGATTGCCAACACGGACAACCAGGTGACGGACAAGTCGATGAACCGCGCGCTGAAGAACGGCTACGGCGCCGACTGGGACGGCGAGGCCAAGGAGCTGCGCCAGAAGGTCGTCGACCGTCTGCAGCGCGAGTCTGGCGGCAAGTAGACGGGCACCCGGCGGCCCGGCACTTGCAGAGGCGAGCAGTGCAGGCCTCCCGTACACATGGATCGCGCTCGGACCCGGGGAAGAGATCACGCAAGCAGACACACGACACGCACCGAGCCATCTCAAGTCATCCCGTTGCTCTAATATAATGCATTATTCTGCCTGTGCGAGAGGGACCAGCGCGGCGGACAGAAGCTGGAGAGGATGGTGAGAGCAGTAGGGCAGCGCCATCGCCATGCCATGCTCCCTGCGCGTCGGGGCGGCTGCGCCGCTGCCGCTGCTCCCTCACCGCCTTGTTCCCACGGTCCACGAGCGCGCCTTGCCAGCGATCGTGTTCGCTGCGACACGTATCGACTGCTCCCGGCGAGAGTACTAGCTCCATGGTAGCGCCATGCTGCTGGATGGCGCACGGCAAGAGGGTCGTCAGGGTGCCCTTGGGCGAGGCGAGAGAGAGACACGGTGCGGGTGAGGTCGCGGCGGGCGGCATGGCGGCGACCGCCCTGGGCTTGCGGCCGCGCGTGCCTGCGCCGCGCGCAGAGCGCGCAGAGGCAGCTCAGGCCATCAGGCAGGCGGGCAGTCGACGGCAGGCGCACCGCGCGCGCCGCGTGTATGTAGGCTGGGCTGGCTGCTCTGCCGCTGCTGGCCTGCCCGCCGCCGCGCTGCCGCGCTGCCGTGCCCTGCCGCTGCCGCGCGCCGCGGCGGCGCCGCTCCGCCGGCTGCTCGTGCCCCTCTCCGTCTCCGTGAGCCGGCTCGCTGCCCTTCGCTCGTCCACACCCAACCCAGCGCATCCTTCTCGCCCGCACATCCGCCTGCAGCCTCGCACGGCCGTCGCGTGTGCTGCTGCTACACTCCCTCTGCGGCGCTCCCGACCGCCCGGCGCAGTCGCGGCGTCTCCCGCACCGCCCTCTCGCACCTCATCGCGCACCTTTCTGCGCCGCTCCCGCTGGCTCCGCTGCCTGCTGCTGGCATCGCTGCCGCCTCGTCGACCGGCGCGACGTTGCTTTGAAGCTTTGCGGCTAGCGCTGCCTCTGCGCGCCTCCGTGCTGCGCCGCCCGCAGCGCTGCCCACTCCTGCCGCACCGCGGGCTGGCCTCGACCCGCAGCGGCCATGCCGCCGCCGCACGCCTCGTCGTCGGCCGCGCCCTCGGGCCATGGTCCTGACAAGCGGACGATGGCCTACGAGTCCATCTTCGGGCGCCCGTCGGCCAAGCCCAAGGGCCCCATGCCGCCGCCCGGCGCGCCCGGCTACGGCGGCATGCACGGCGCGCCCGGGCTGCCGCCGCAGGCCATCGCCACGAGCCACTGGGTGCACTCGCAGGCCGGCGCCGGGATGCCACCGCACGCCGCGCCGTCGCCCATGCCGCCGCAATGGTACGGCGCTGGCGGCGCCGGCGCGCCGATGATGCCGCCGCAGCAGCCGGGCATGCGCTACCCTGGGCCGCCGCAGCACATGCCGCCGGTGGGCATGAACATGGGCATGGGCATGGGCATGGGCCCCGGCAGCAGCATGCATCCGGCCGGCGCACCTATGTACGACGACCGGCGCATCTCCATGGCGCCGAGCGCCGCAAGCGACCCGCGCATGTCGTTCTACGGCTCAGCAGCTGAGGCGTACGGCTCTGCCGCACCCTCGCCGGCGCCGTCAGCACAAGGCGCCTCGCATGGTGGCCACAACGGCGCGGCTCCGGCGCATATGGCTTCACCGGCCATGTCTGTGGCCTCAGCTGCACCGCCGTCGGCGAGCGCGCCGGGCAACAGCTACCCTGAAGTGCCGGGCTACCGCCACGCCTCCAACGGCTCCTACAGCATCGCTGCGCCGGGCTCGGCAGCAGGCTACGGCGCGCCGGGTCTGCAGCCCACGCCTCCGCCGCGTGACGACGACGTCTCTCCGCGTGCGCCGCCTCGCCTGCCCAGCATCGAGCTGGGCCCGCGCAAGAACGGCAACGGCGCCGAGGAGCTCGAGGATGAGTCGTTGTGGTTCATGCCGCAGGCCAAGCGCGAGAGCGTCGATGCCCGCGCCAAGGCAGCGGCAGCGGCGGCAGCGGTCGGCGCGGCGCTTCGCGAGGATGATGAGCCCGGGCAGCGGACACCGACCAGTCCGCTGAAGGACATGCGGGGTCTTGAGCAAGCCTTGCCTGCCCCTGTGCAGAGCGAGGCGGTGCAGGAGCATGTGGAAGAGGAGCGCAACGGTGAGTCGCACAGAAGCAGCCTGCAGTTTGCCGCTGCTGAGACCCTCGCTCGCAGACTACCAGGACTACCAGCGCCAGCTCAGCATGGGCCGTCAGTCTGCTGCCTCGTCGGTGTACGGCGATGGCCGCCGGAGAGGCTCGTTCGAGTCAGATGCGCCGTCGGTGAGCAACTCGCTCTACACGCTGCCGGGCCAGCCCAGCGGCTCGTCTCGCTTCTACACCGGCGGCCAGGGCGGACCCTCGGCGCAGCAAGGCTACTTCGGCGCCAGCGCTGCGGCGGCATACCATCCGCCCAACTTTTACGCTCCGCCGCCGGGCCAGTCGCGCATGCGCACCGTCAGCTCGGCGACACAGGCAGCGCAGGCCGCGCAGAGCGGCGGCTACGGCGCTGCGACGGGTCCCACCGGGCGCTTTGAGGCGCGAAGCATGTCTGCCGGGCAGAGCGCGCGGCCAGGCCTGCCAATAGCGGCCTTGTCGTCGCCGCATGGCAGCATTGGAAGCCAGCTGCCGGGCAGCACCACGCCGCAGCACCGGCGCGGCCCTTTAGTGTACCCGGCGCTGCTGTCGCGCGTCGCGGAGGCCTTCCGCACGCGCGTCACGCTTGCGGAGCGGACCAAGGACGGGCTGTCCTACACAGACGCCTTTGACGGCCGGGAAGCAGTGGACCGCATTGCCTACATCATCAAGACGACAGACCGGAATCTTGCGCTGCTGCTCGGCCGCGCGCTCGACGCTCAGAAGTTCTTCCACGACGTCACGTACGACCACCGGCTGCGCGACAGCCCCAATGAGCTGTACCAGTTCCGTGTGCGCCTGACGAACCCTTTCGAAAACGAGGGCGAGGCGTACGAGGACGCGCACGACGGGGTGCACACCCCTGCCAGCCTGGCGCATGGCAACTCGCTGCGAGCGCCCTCGCTGCGCAGCGCCAAGTCCCCTACGCGCGACAGCTCTAGTGCCAGCCTGCGGCTGCCGGGCTCGAGCGCGGCCAGTGTCTCGGCGATGACCACCGACACCTCGGCCCTCTCGACGCCGGCGACGTCGATGGCGCCGCACCATCGCGGCTCGACTCCCTCGCAGATTGGCGGCAAGGAGTCGCCTGCTGCGGCAGAAGAAGAAGATGCGCTGCCGACCGGTGTCTTCACTCTTCTCACCGACTGCTACTCGCCGACATGCACGCGCGACCGGCTCTGTTACTCGATCGCATGTCCGCGCCGGCTGGAGCAGCAGGCGCGCCTGAACATGAAGCCGCAGCCGGTGCTGAAGCGCAGCATCAGTCGCGAGAGTCTCGGCGATGTCAAGGAGCAGGGCGCGCTCTGGGCCGACGGCGTTTCGAAGGAGATTCTCGAGAGCGTTTCGGACCAGGAGCGCAAGCGGCAAGAGCTCATCAACGAGGTGATCTACACGGAACGCGACTTTGTCCGCGATCTGGAGTACCTGCGGGATGTGAGTTGCCTCCCGACGCGATGATGCTGCCGGGTGCTGACTGCGTTGTGCAGGCCTGGATCAAGCCGCTGCGCTCGCGCGACATCATCCCAGAGGCGCGCCGCGATGACTTTGTGACGCAGGTCTTCTGGAACGTCCTCGAGATCCACGCCGTCAACGCCAAGCTGTCAGAGCTGCTGAGCAAGCGCCAGAAGCAGCAGGCCATCGTCGAGCGCATCGGCGACTACCTGCTCGAGATGGTGCCGCACTTCCAGCCCTTCGTCAAGTACGGCGCGCACCAGCTGTACGGCAAGTACGAGTTCGAGAAGGAGAAGAGCAGCAACCCTGCATTCGCCAAGTTTGTCGAGGTGCGTCAGACCCGACGCGGCCATAGCGCTGCCTGCTGACCTCATTTCGCACCAGGAAACGGAGAGGCTGCCGGAGTCGCGCAAGCTCGAGCTCAACGGCTACCTCACGAAGCCGACGACGCGTCTCGCGCGCTATCCGCTGCTGCTCGAGAGCGTCATCAAGGCCACGCCAGACGACAACCCGGACAAGCAGGCGCTGCCCAAGGTGGTCAAGATCGTGCGCGAGTTCCTCACGAAGGTCAACACCGAGTCCGGCCGCAGCGAGAACCGCTTCAATCTCGCGCAGCTCGACCAGCAGCTCGTGTTCAAGCAAGGCGAGGCAGTCGACTTGCGCCTCCGGGACGAGCAGCGCGAGCTCGTCTTCAAGGGCCCTCTCAAGCGTCGCGGCGGCACGCAGAGCGAGAGTGGCGACCTGCAGGTCTTCCTCTTCGACCACGCCTTGCTGATGGTCAAGGCCAAGACGGTGCACAAGCACGAGCTGTACAAGGTGTCCCGCAAGGTAAGCTGCTCTGTGACCATTCTGGCGCCTCCCCTTCGCTGACGCAACACCTGCAGCCCATTCCACTCGAGCTGCTGATAGTGACGGTGTACGATGAGGTGCCGACGGGCAAGGGCAACGCGACGCGGCCTAAGAGCATCATGTCGCGCACCTCGACTGGCAACCGCCTGAGCGGCGGCGTGCCGACTGGCTCCGCTCCGAAGCAGGACCAGAAGACGGGATACGCCCTGACCTTCACCTACCTCGGCCGCAAGGGCTACACGCAGACGCTGTGGGCGAGCACCTTTGTCAGCAGGCGCAAGTGGTTCGAGCACATCGAGGCGCGGCAGGAGATCCTGCGTCAGCGGTCCAACATCTTCGACACGATGACGCTGTCGGAGGGCTTCTTCGTCGGCCCGAGCAAGGTGAACTGCTCGGTGCCGTTCGACTTCGGACGGCGCATCATCTACGGCACCGACGACGGCGTGTACCTGTCAGACCTGCGCGAGCGCGCTCGTCCGCCGACCAAGGTGCTCCCACTGCCGGGCGTCACGCAAGTCGACGTTCTGGAAGAATACCAGATCCTGATCATCCTCGCCGAGCGCTCTGTGCACACGTTCACGCTCGACGCCTTGGATCCGTCAGACCCCATGGGCTCGCTCAAGCGCGGCCGGCGCATCTCGTCGCACACGTCGTTCTTCAAGGCGGGCCAGTGCCTCGGCCGCACGCTCGTGTGCGTGGTCAAGTCCTCGTCGCTCTCGTCGACGATCAAGACGCTCGAGCCCATCGAGCAGAATGTGCGCGGCAAGAAGCAGCCCACGTTCCGCAAGCTGCTGCAGGGCGGCCAGGAGACGCTGCGCGTGTTCAAGGAGTTCTACATCCCAACCGAGTCGTCGTCGATCCACTTCCTGAAGAGCAAGCTGTGCGTCGGCTGCACCAAGGGCTTCGAGATCGTCGACCTGGAGACGCTTGACACGCAGGGCCTGCTCGACCCCGCCGACTCGAACCTCGACTTTGTGCACCGCAAGGAGACGGTGAAGCCCATCGCCATCTACCGCATCGACGGCGAGTTCCTGCTGTGCTACGACGGTGAGTGCTGCGGTCCACTTGGTGTAATGTGACTGCGCGACTGACGCACGATGTCACGCAGAGTTCGCCTTCTACGTGAACAAGAACGGCTGGCGCTCGAAAGGCAACTGGATCATCCACTGGGAGGGCAACCCGACGGCGTTTGCGCTCCACCACCCCTACGTGCTGGCATTCGAGCCGAGCTTCGTCGAGGTCCGACACGTCATGACCGGTGCGCTGCACCAGGTCATCACGGGCTACAACCTGCGCTGCCTGTTCGCCGACGTGCCGCCGCCCACCGGCGGAGGAGGCTCATCGAGCAGCAGCGCCAGCAGCAGTCAAGTCAGCCTGCATGGCGGCGCGCCTGGCGCGATGTCGCCCTATGCGGCGCCCGGACGGCCATCGTTCGGTGGCGCTCCGGGCTACCCAGGGCCACCAGGCACGCCGCAGTACGGTCCCGGGCAGGTGCCCTTGAATCGCGCGCAGAGCTACAACATGATGGCTCCGCCGCCAGCGCCGGCGCCCGGATACGGCCGTTCCATGCCGGGTGCGCCGCCACCACGACCCGTCGGACCGCCGTATGGGCCGCCTGGCCAGCAGATGATGTACCCGCAAGGCCCACGGCCAGGCGTGCCGTTCGCCTTCACTGCAGCTGCTCAAGCGCCGCGGCCGCCGCCGCCGCGCAACCCAGTGTGGGAGAGCGTCAGCCAGTCGCGCGGCCAGATCATCTTCATCGGCGACACCAGGTGAGTCTGCTGCCGTGCGCTCTGACGGAGCGTCGCTGATCATGCTCCCTCCAGCGTCTTTGCCATCAAGCCGTCGGCGACCGGAGGCGCTGGCGCAACGTCACAGTCAATCAGCTCTGCAGGCTGAGCGCCCCTCCCTTGTCCCTCTCTCCCCTCCTTCGGGTGCCCCTCTGCCGCGCGCGCTGCCTGATCTCTCCTCTCGTCTCGTCGCACATTCCCCCGTTTTGCCGCGCCGTCATGGCGCGCCTGTATCACATCACTCAGCACACTTCCCGCTCTCTCGCGCCCTGCCGCTGTCACTCTCTGCCGCACGCACGGAATGAACAGTGAGCGCGCCACTGTTTGATCACACTCGGGCGTCAGCAGTGTCAGGGCTCGCAGATATAGGTCAGTGGATGGCATTAGACAGAGCACCGGCACGTCGCAGACGGAAGGCGCTCATGCAGCGGCGGCGGCACCGCTCTTGCGCCCACCCGACGGCCGCCCCTTCCGCTTGTCTGCGCGCCGCTTGGCGCTCTCGATGAGCTGCGCGTCCTCCTCGTCATTGAAGAGGCTGGTGTCGGCCGCAGTGGCGGCGGGCTCTGCTGCCTCGTCGTCGCTCTCCGGCTCAATAGCGGGCGCGTCGGACTCGTCGGACTCGTCGGCCTTCTTCGCTGCCGCTTTAGCGGCGGCCGTCGGCTTGACCTTGGGCGACACCTTGATCTTGGCCAGGAAAAAGCCGTCGACGTTGTGCGTGTGCGGGTAGACGCGGCGCGCCAGGTTCATCTTCGAGTCGAACCGCCGCTCGCGGAAGGACAGGAAGCCCTCGCGGCCAAAGTCGACGCCCGTCGGCACAAGCTTGCAGTTGGGACGCTGCGGCAGGGCGAGTGAGATGATGCACTGAGCTCAGCCGGACGCCTCGCTCACCTTCTTCAGCGCATAGTCGACCACCTGCTCGTCCTCCTCGGTCAGCACCGAGCAGGTGCTGTACACGACGTAGCCGCCCGAGCGCTTCACGCTGTCGATGGCGCACAGGATGAGCTGCTTCTGCAGATGCGTGAGGAGTTGCAGGTCGCGCTCCGACTGCCGTGGCTGTCAGCAGAGGCCCGCTGCAGAGGCTCAGTCACTACACGTACCTTGTTCGTCTTCACGGACTGGTCCTTGGAGATGACACCCGTGCCGGAGCAGGGCGAGTCCAGCAGCACACGGTCGAAGCCGCCGAGCACCTTGGGGAACGCGCGCGCGTCGTAGTTGGTGACAACGACGTTCTTGCAGCCCAGCCGGTGGACGTTGGCAGTCAGGCTCTTCGTCCGCGCCTTGTTCGAGTCGTTGGCAAAGACGACGCCGGAGTTCTGCATCAGGGCAGACAGATACGTCGTCTTGCCGCCCGGCGCAGAGGCCATGTCGAGCACGCGCTCGCCCGGCTGCGGAGCGAGGGCAATGCAGGGCAGGAACGAAGAGGCCGCCTGCAGCATGTAGTGGCCAGCCAGGTACTCGGCCGTGGCGCCGATCGGCACGCTGCTCTCGAAGACCTGCAGACCGACCTTGCTCCACTTGCCCAGCGGCTCGAGCGTGACGCCGCGATTGATCAGCGCCTGTGCCAGATCGCGGCGACGCGTGCGCAGCGTGTTGGTGCGGATGGTAACCGGGCGCGGCGTCTCGTTCGCCTCGAAGAACTCGATAGCCTGAAGGGTGTGTGAGCGGAGCGGGCCTGGCAGTGGCCGCACTAGACTCACCTCAGCGGGCGGGAACATCTGCAGTAACCGGTCGGCCAGGAACGCATTGTAGCCGTAGTAGCTGCACACGTCGTCGAGGAGCTGCTCCATGTACTCGCTGCGGCTGCGGCCGTCGGTCGCCAGCCGCTTGAAGTCGCCAAGGATCGCCACAATCTCCTGGATGCGCATCTGCACCACCTGCAGGTCTGCACCCTGCACCGCCTCGGCCTCACGCTGCTCGATCGTCGGCAGCATGAAGTCGTCGCCGCCCTCCTCGCCCGAGGCCGAGTCGCCGCCTTCCTCGTCGTCGCTGCCCTCCTCTCCGTCCAGCAGCATCTCGTCGTCTTCCAGGCCCTCCTCATCATCCTCGGAGCCCTCCTCATACTCCTCGCCGCCCTCCTCGTCGCTGTCGAGCGCGAGGCCCTGGCTCTTCAGCAGCTCCTCGAGCCGCTCGGCCTCCGCGCGCATCTTCTTCTTCTGCCGCTCGGTGAGCTTCGTGCCCTTGGCCGGCAGGTTGTCGAGGTCGATGCCGTCCTCCTCCTCCCGCTCTGCGTCCTCGACGAGCGACTCATCGCCCTCTTCGTCGCCCGACTCGGCCAGGCCGAGCGCTCCCTCTGCGTCTGACGCATCCTCGTCCTCGTACTCAATGCCGCTGTCCTCGCCCTCGGAGAGGATGGCAGCGTTGGCGGCGTCCTGCACACGGGCTGCTCAGCGGTGTCGCAAAGCAGACGCAGGCACATCGACTCACCGCGCCCTCGTCATCGCTGTCGCTGCCGAGGTCGAACTCATCGGCCGCGTCTTCGTCCTCATCGCCGCTCTCGAGGCCCTCGAAGCCGTCGCCGGCCTCGTCCTCGCTGTCGAACATCATGCTGCGCTCCACCTTCTCCTCGCCCTTCTTGCCTGCCTTGGCCTTTGGCGGCGCCGACGCGGCCTCGCGCGCGGGCGCTGCCTTGGCGCGCTTTCCCGCAGCGGGTGCCGCAGCCGGCGCGGCGTCGGTGGCCTTGCGCTTGCCCTTCGACGCCGAGCCGCTGGCAGCAGCGGCGCCGCCCGGGTTGCGCGGGCCGGCGGCCGAGAGCGGCTTGTTGCGGCCGCCGGAGCGCACCGTGCCGCTCGACTTGGCCGCGGCGGGCTCGAGCACGGGCGTGGGTGCGGCCTGCTTGTGCTTGGATCTGCGGCCCATGGTGTGTTGTGAGTTGGGTGAGAGGTGAGGGTGAGGGATGCGGAGGCAGGGCCAAGCCAGGCAGGCGCCTTCAGCGCGTGACTTCTCTTCGCGCGCGCGGCTCAGAATTTTGGAGCACTCCCGCACGAGAGGAGCCGAGGTCCCACGGCCCCGCGCCGGCCGCACAACGCCGACGTGCTGCAGCTGCGCGTGATCGGCGCGGTGCGCTTCCCGCCGTGTGCGCGCCTCCACGAGCCGCGCCGTGCACGAGCCTCGCCGAGAGCGACAAGACACGGCCACGCAGCGACGCTTGTCTGCGCAAAGCGGCTGAAGGCGCGGCGATAGCAGCGAGAAGGAACTTAGAGCAGATGCAGGCTCTGCTGTAGCATATTCCGACCTCGAGCAGCATGCGCAACAAGGCAAAGCCGCCCGCGCTGCGTGCTGTGCTGGAAGCTCGTGCGCGCGCGAAGGAAGCCTCGCGACGCGGTGACGAAGCCCGCCGCAAGAGCCAGGCGCGCAGCGGGGGCAGGCTCGCAATGCCGACTGTTGAGCAGCACAAGTCCGTCTCTCGAGCGTCTGTGGCTCTGATGTCCAGAGCCGTCGAGGCCGAAGGTGCTGGACGGTGGTGGGCCGTCGCTGCTGCGGTGCTGCATCATGCATGCGGCTCCGCGACCCTGCCTGCGCTGGCTGCGCTGCACGCGTGGAGTGCTGCGCTGGCGTGTGCGCGCGGCGCCGTGCCCGCTGCGCGTTACGAGAGCGCCGCGCGCGATGATGAGCGGCGGCCAGGCATGCCTCGCCTTGCCTGCGCTCCACCATCCCCTCTGAGCGCCTGTCGTCCACACAGCACCACTCACACACCTCACCTGGTCACTCCCACTCGCCACGCCTGCGTGCTGCCTTGCCGCACCTCTCACCACCCTCGCCCTCGTCGCGCCCTCCCGCCACCCAGCCCCCTGTCCGTGCCCTCCACTCCCTCGCCCGCCATGGCCGACTCGCAGTCGCAGCCCGACGTGAAGCCCGAGATCCCGGCCGCTGCCCCGCCGCCGGCCACGGCAGAGAGCAAGGAGGAGACCGCCACGGCCATCTTGCGCCAGAAGAAGTGTGAGTGGGTGGAGGAGAGGCTGACTGGCCCAGAGATTGCGCAGCCTGTGTGCAGAGCTGCTGCTCGCGAGGGCTCGAGATGCGCAGCAGCTGCCCAGAATGCTTCGGCTGACTCGCTCTGTAGCGCCCAACCGCCTCTTCGTCGATGAGGCTACCACCGACGACAACTCGGTCGCCTGCTTCTCCGCCGCCAAGATGGAGGAGCTCGGCCTGTTCCGCGGTGACACCGGTGAGTGGCGGCCCTTGCGCGGCTCTGCCTCGCGGCTGCTGATCTCAGTGCGCCGCCAGTGCTCCTGCGCGGCAAGAAGCGCCGCGACACGGTGCTCATCTGCCTGACGGCCGACGACACGGAGGACTCGAAGATCCGCCTGAACAAGGTGGCGCGCAACAACCTGCGCGTCAAGCTCGGCGACCTCGTCACCGTGCACGCGTGCCACGACATCAAGTACGGCAAGCGCATCCACGTGCTGCCCTTCGACGATAGCGTCGAGGGCCTCACGGGCAACATCTTCGACGTGTACCTCAAGCCCTACTTCCTCGAGGCCTACCGCCCCGTGCGCAAGGGCGACACGTTCACCGTGCGCGGCGGCATGCGCGCCGTCGAGTTCAAGGTCATCGAGACGGACCCCGCCGAGTTCTGCATTGTGGCGCAGGACACGGTCATCCACACCGAGGGCGAGCCGGTGAAGCGGGAAGACGAGGAGGCCAACCTGGCCGATGTCGGCTACGACGACATCGGCGGCTGCCGCAAGCAGATGGCGCAGAGTGAGTGCCAGCCTGCTGCCGGCGCCCTGCCCCTCGCACTGACGTCGCCCTGACAGTCCGCGAGATGGTGGAGCTGCCGCTGCGTCACCCGCAGCTGTTCAAGTCGATCGGCATCAAGCCGCCGCGTGGAGGTGAGCTACACCTGGTATGGGCTGCGTGGCGCACAGGAGCTCATCCCCCTTTGCAGTGCTCATGTTCGGCCCTCCGGGTACCGGCAAGACTCTCATGGCGCGCGCTGTCGCGAATGAGACCGGCGCATTCTTCTTCCTCATCAACGGCCCCGAGGTGAGTCTCGCTTGGCCGGCCTGCGCGCGAGAGCTGTCCTGACAAGCTCTTGGGCCGTCAGATCATGAGCAAGATGGCGGGAGAGTCCGAGTCCAACCTGCGCAAGGCGTTCGAGGAGGCTGAGAAGAAGTGAGTGCCGTGTGCGCACTCGTTCGGACGCGCGCTGACGCCAGCACAGCTCGCCTGCCATCATCTTCATCGATGAGATCGACTCAATCGCCCCGAAGCGTGACAAGACCAACGGCGAGGTCGAGCGCCGCGTCGTGTCGCAGCTCCTGACCCTCATGGACGGCCTCAAGGCCCGCTCGAACATCGTCGTGATGGCGGCCACGAACCGGCCGAACTCGATCGACCCCGCGCTGCGCCGCTTCGGCCGCTTCGACCGCGAGGTCGACATCGGCATCCCCGACCCGACTGGTCGTCTCGAGATCCTGCGCATCCACACGAAGAACATGAAGCTCGGCGACGACGTCGACCTGGAGCAGATCGCCGCCGACACGCACGGCTACGTCGGCAGTGACGTGGCGTCGCTGTGCTCTGAGGCGGCCATGCAGCAGATCCGTGAGAAGATGGATCTGATCGACCTGGACGAGGACACCATCGACGCAGAGGTGCTCGACAGCCTCGGCGTGACGATGGAGAACTTCCGCTTCGCCCTCGGCGTCTCGAACCCGTCGGCGCTGCGCGAGACGGTCGTCGAGGTGCCGACGGTCACCTGGAAGGACATCGGTGGCCTCGAGAAGGTCAAGCAGGAGCTGCAGGAGACGGTCTCGTACCCCGTCGAGCACCCGGAGAAGTTCCTCAAGTACGGCATGGCGCCGTCAAAGGGCGTGCTCTTCTACGGCCCGCCGGGTACGGGTAAGACGATGCTGGCCAAGGCCATCGCCAATGAGTGCCAGGCCAACTTCATCTCGATCAAGGGCCCCGAGCTCCTGACGATGTGGTTTGGCGAGTCGGAGGCGAACGTGCGCGACGTGTTCGACAAGGCACGCGCCGCTGCGCCGTGCGTGATGTTCTTCGACGAGCTCGACGCCATCGCCAAGTCGCGCGGCGGCGGCTCGGGCGGTGACGGCGGAGGCGCTGGTGACCGCGTCATCAACCAGATTCTGTGAGTGCTGCCTGCGCGCGTCGTCAGATCGACGGCAGCTCACCCTTCGTCCTCGACAGCACGGAGATGGACGGCATGAACGCCAAGAAGAACGTGTTCGTCATCGGCGCCACGAATCGGCCGGATCAGATCGACTCGGCCATCCTGCGTCCGGGGTGAGTACTGCGCGGCTGCGACGACGGCACGTCGACTGACGCGAGTCTTCACAGTCGCCTGGACCAGCTCATCTACATCCCGCTCGTGAGTGCTCTGCCTCTGCTCTCTGGAGCTCGCCGCTGACCCCACGCCACAGCCCGACGAGGTGTCGCGTCTCTCGATTCTCACGGCTACGCTCAAGAAGAGCCCGGTCTCGAAGAACGTCAGCCTCAGCTACCTGGCCAAGCACACGCACGGCTTCTCCGGTGCCGACTTGGCCGAGATCTGCCAGCGCGCTGCCAAGCTGGCCATCCGGCAGTCGATCGAGTTCGACATCAAGCAGCAGCGCGAGCGCGAGGAGCGTCGCGCCGCTGCCGGCGACGACAACAAGATGGAGGAGGACGCTGCGCCGGAGGAGGACGGCGTTGACGAGGTGCCGGAGATCACCGTCGAGCACTTCGAGGAGGCAATGCGCTTCGCTCGCCGCTCCGTCTCGGACCAGGACATCCGCCGCTACGAGATGTTCGCACAGAATCTGCAACAGTCGCGAAGGTGAGACGCCCGCTGCCGCACCCATGCCTCAGCCCATGCTCACTCTGCTCTGCCTTCAGCTTCGGCAGCTCTTTCCGCTTCCCGGGCGGCGAGGGCGGTGATGCTGCTGCCGGCGGCGCAGCTGGTGGCGCTGGCGGCGGTGCGGCGTTCGGCAACGACGCCGAGGACGATGAGTGAGCATAGCTGTGGCGACACGCCTCGCGCAGACCTTCTGACTGACACACTGTGCAGCCTGTATGCCTAAGCGCACGGAGCCTGCTTCCATCTCCACACGGACGCGGTGCACGTCTGGCGGGCTAGTGCCCAGCTCGCGGCCTGGCCCCCCTCTTCCTTCCCTCACCATGTAATGATCACACAGAAACACTTTCCAGCGATCCATTGCCCGACCAGGCGGGTCAGGTGAAGACTGCCGCCCAGACATCCATGCAGGCGATGCTCTTCGTCCTCTCGCAGGCGGCCGTCAGCGCATCAGAGTGCGTCTGCATGAGGGGCGTCTCGCCACGCAGCGCTCGCCCTGCTGCCGCCTCCCACTCGCCGTCGCGGAGGCTGGGCTGGGCAAGGGTCTCTTCGTGGCTGAGGGTCCAGCCGGCTTGCTCTGCCAGTCTTCGCAGCACGGCCGGCGAGACCGGGCAGCGGACATTGGCCTCGCTGTCTGGCCCGACGTCGAGCGACTGCGTGAGCACGGAGAGGAGATGCGGCAGGGCGTCGAGGTGGCCGATCGAGAGGCTCCACTCTGCGAGCGCGAGGTGCCGCACTCCGGCCTTGCGCAGCGCCACGAACGTGTCCAAAATAGCCGCTTGGCTCGGAAAGTACCAGAGCGAGTGGGAGAGCACGGCTGTGGCGAACTTCAGCGGCGTGCTGGCGAGGTAAGACGGCGCATCTGAGTGTTCAAAGGTGACACGCGCGCCAAGGGGCGAGGCAAGCAGGCACGCTTGCGCCTCTGCCAGCGTAAAAGGCGCCCCTGCGAGGGCATGCGTCAAGTAGGCGCCCGAGAGCATGCGACACAATCCAGCTCACCGTAGTCTGGCGGCCCCGGGTCGACACCGACGACCTCGCCCTGCTGCAGGCCGGCCAAGGCGGCGGTCTGGTCGCCCTGCCCGCAGCCGATATCGACACAGCGCGCGCTGAAGTCGGCGCCGCCCCTCTGCCATGCGGCGATGAGGTTGAGGCGGTGGTCGATCTGCTCGATCTGCGACGGCAGGCCGCCCGGCGGGACGGCGAGCTCCTTGGCGATGTCTGCGGCGTTGCCCATGCTTGTGTGATGGACGCTCGAATGGCAGCGGCGCTGTGCCCGCCTTTTGACCGCTCGCCCCGGGCGCCCCGCGTGGTGCGCCGCGTGCTCTGTCCCAGCGGCTTCCGCGGCGCGTCACGACGAGTCACGGGTCACCGCGCCTGTCAGCTGGCGGGACATACCTCTCCTGCTCCGGCATCGTCGACGCCGGACGGAGCAGCACACAACGGGACGGAAGAGGAGACAGGTATCCATCACATCGCATTCCAGGGTTCTGAGTTACTTGGCCGCCTGGCGGCTGCTCATCTCCTCGAGCGCGTCGAGCAGGCACGACGCCGACCAGGCCTGCGTCTGGCAGGAGTCGGCGCACTCGCGTCCGTTCTGGTTCGTCAGCTCCGGCAGGCCGGCCCACGGCGAGTCGCGGATGTAGCGGCGGTGCGCCGTGGTGAGCGACATGACGCGGTGGAACGTGTCGCTGGAGCTCGTCTTGCCCGCGCCGGCTTGCGTGTCGAAGATGATGAGGGCACGCAGGAAGAAGCCGACGGGCCACACCCACGGCGGACCTGGAGGAGCAGATGGTCAGCTACAGTCTCTGAGGCGCAAGCCGGCAGACGCACCTTCGTGGTAGTTGTGGCCCTGTGCGACGTAGAAGTCCGTCGAGTCGTCGGCGTTGTTGTAGTCCGGGCGGAAGTTGCTGTCGCTGGGGTCGAGCGTGCGCATGCCGAGCACGTCGCGCAGCACATTGTCCGCCGCCTGCAGCGCCGTGAGGGCGCGCGTGGGCGTGAAGAGCTCGGGCGCGACACACATGGCGATCGGCACGTTGCCGCGCAGCTGGTAGTCGGACCACTCGCGGCCCTTGCCCGAGCCGAACACATCCTTGTAGATGCCGCGGCGGTTGACGAGGCCAGAGTCGACGCGGAAGTCGGCATCCTCGGCGGGGTCGAGCGGCACCCAGTAGCACTTCTCGAACGACGCCTGGATCTTGTCGGCCCACTCCTTGTAGGTGACGAGCGTCTTCTTGCCGCCGATGACGGCCTCGACGCCCTTGGCAGGCCAGCGGCCCTTTGCGGCCAGGCCGGCGACCCAGCTCAGCGTGCTCTTCGTGAGGCCCGTGATCTCGACTGCGGCGCCGTCGCGCGGCGTGCCCGGGAAGCCACGGTTGCCCGCCTTGGTCGAGCTGCCGTTCTTGTCCTGCCACGTGCCGCAGTTCCACTCGTTGCCGCCGAAGATGATGCCCGTGCTCCAGTCGACCTCAATGTCGATGTTGAAGCCCTCGTCCTTCATGTGCTCGTCGATCTTCGGGCCGGCGTCGTGCTCGCGGAAGTGGATGCCGGCAGCGTGGCGCTGCAGAATCTCCTGGATGAGCTCGGCGACGGTGCTCTCGTGCGCAAACGCCTTGGGCGAGTCGACCTCGACAAACTCGTCATTGAGCGGGAAGCGGCGCTTGACCTTCTCCTGCAGCAGACTCTCGCCGCCCGGTACCATGCGCACGTAGTCCTGCACGTTCTGCGCGAAGAACCAGGCACCGTCACGGCAGTTGTAGCGCGGATTGCGCGTGCTGTTGAGCAAGTTCGGGATCATGCCGTGCTTGAGCGTGCAGCCGAAGGAGAGGATGTGCTCGCGTGCCGCTGCGTGCATCTCCGTTGTCAGGTACAGACCACGCAGAGAGATGAAGACGTCACGGCCCCACAGGCGTGCCCAGGACGCGGCGAAGAAGGGCAGACCAGCGGCCATCGAGGCGCTCGGGCGGTCGTGCCACAGAGAGGCCGACTTGACCTGGCCGTTCATCTGCACGGCGCAGAGCGCGAGCGCCTTGGTGAAGTCGTGGCCCTCGCGCACGAAAGGCGACATCTGAGCCAGCGCACGCTCCCTTGCGGCGGCATATGCCGTGTTGATGATGAGCGAGAAGTACTTTGGCCGCATGAACGAGGGCACGCTCTTCTTGATTGCGTCGACGCGCTCCTTGAACCAAGCAGCGGGCTCGGCGAGGCGCGGGAAGATGCCGACCTGCCGCTCCAGGCGGGCGTGGACATGGTCCAGTGCCCAGGGGCCCTTGCGCAGGTGAGCGCAGATGGCGTGGCCCAGGTCATTGTGCCGCATGACGTTGCGCAGCGGGCCCATCCAGCCCTCGAGACCGCAGTAGACGAGCTCGGCGTGGCCGGGCACCTTGTACGTGCCGTCGTCACCGCCCGTCACGTCGCGCTCCTCGCCGTCGGCGCGGTAGAGGATCACGTTGAGGTCGGAAAGGTCGAGCTCGGCCATAGCCTCATCGGCGCCAGTCGAGCACAGAGTGTCGAGCTCGGCGCCGAGGCCGTCCATCCACGTCTCGAAGAGCATGACACTGCCCGGCGGGAAGTGGTCGGGCACCACGAGCTCGGTGAACGTGCCGTCGTCGTCGCTGCCCTCGCGCAGCGGCGGCGCCGGAACATCGATGAGGCGCGACGGCAGACCGCGCAGCGTCTCGGCATCCTTGGGCGCCTCGCGCGAGGTGATCTCGAGCGTCTTGCCGAGGATGAAGCGCGCCTTTGTCCGGTTGAGCTTGATCGGATCGATGAAGCCGCGCTCGCCCGAGTGTGCCCGGAAGGCCGTGTGCGCAATGACGAGGTAGCCGCGGTGCGTCTGCGGGTGCACGCGGTGCATCATGATGTAGTCGTTCTCCTGGTGAGCGTGGCCCTCGCTGTAGCCGCCCGAGACCATCTCGGCGTGCAGGTGGTTGAAGACGCGCTTGATGTACGAGATGCCGCTGTCCTCGACGCGCTCGACAAGCGCGTACTTGCGGTTCTCCTTGACGACGTCGAGCAGGCTCGGGTAAAGATCGTCGAAGCCCTTGGTCGAGCCGATGGCCGACCAGGAGAATGCGACGAGAGCGCCCATCGTGATGGCATCCTCGGCGGTGCGCTTGTGCGCCGGCGTCTCGTTGTCGTGCGTCAAGTCCATGAAGAGGGCGTGCGGGCTCGAGCCGAGCAGCGGGATGACGGTGCACGGCTGGCCAGCCTTGCCGCCGGGCACATCGACAGTGTCGGCGCGCGCAAGGCACGCCTCATCCATCGAGCCGACCGGCTTGTTGACGCCGAAGCGGTACAGCAGGCGGCTCTCCTCCTTCGGATCGCCAGCGTTGTCCATCTCGCGGATGAGCGAGTTGATGCCGAGCCGGCTGACGAAGTAGACGTCCATCTCTGCGCTGCCCGTGAAGAGCTCGGCGCAGACGTAGAGATTGGGGTTGACGCGGCGCGCCACGTCGAGGAAGTGCTCGCCGACGTGGATCGGCGTCGAGTGACAGTTGTCGATGCGGAAGCCGTCGAAGAGACCGGCGAGCGAGGCGCAGTACGCCTCCATGTGCTTCCACAGGAAGGGCGAGTCTGCCGGGCGCGCGCCGTAGCGCAGCTTCACGCAATCGCCCCAGGCGATGACCTCGCGCCGCAAGTACACGCGCGACTTGCTCGAGGCAAAGTCCGACAGCGGGTCGGCCGCCCAGATCCAGCCATTGTGCGCGAGCGCGAGCTGCTTGGCATCTGCGCCGCTCTTCTTCACCGCCGGGTGCTTGGGGTCAAGGCGCGTGAAGTACGGCTCGCAGAAGGGCAGGCTGAGGCATGCGCGTCAGTGCTTGCCCCGCTCAGACGCGCAGACACGACTCACTCCTTTGTGATCGGGCCCATCTTCGGGCCGCCAGCCTCAACGCGCATGTACGTCAAGCGTCCGCCGAGGTTCTCGATGATCGCCTTGGTGTCCTCGTCGTACAGCGCGTACAGCGGCGCGTTGATCTCGTCGAGCGCTGCCTTGAGCGCCGCCACCGCGTCGTCCTTGCCCTTGCCCTCGTTCTGCGCAAGCGTGCGCAGGATGGCCAGCGTCGTGGCGCCGTCGAGGTGCGTCGTGAAGCGCTCGCCGAGCGACATGCGATTCCGCAGGGCGTGGCGCTGCAGCAGCGGCAGAGCGTCGGCGAGCGTCTTGCCACTCAGCGAGTCGTCGCCCAGCGAGTGCACCTGGCGCGACGAGGAGGCCTGGTCCCAGGCGCCAGCAAGCGCGCTTGTCTCGCCGGCAACGTCGACGACGTAGTACTGCCAGAGCTTGAGCGGGCCAAGCACCTCCTTCTTGACGCCCTCCATGATTGCAGTCACGTCGGCTGCGCTCTGCGGGTCTGTCGGCAGGCCGAACTCGGCCAGCCGGTTGGAGAAGTCCAGCAGCGCGCGGTCGAGCTCCTCGGCGGGCGTGAGATGCGGCGAGTTCGCCGGGCTGTATGCTACACGACGCGTGCATCAGGCTCTGCGATGTACATAGCGACGCGCGTGACTCACCTGCTTCTGGGTGCTCGTTCAGCCACTCCGAGTTGTTTGCCGTGTGGTTGAGCACCACGTCGACAATGCTGCCCAGCCCGTACTCCTTCTTGATCTTGCCCATCCACTGGCCCAGCGTCTTGCTACGCTCCTCGCGCGTCTTGGCCGGACCAGCCTTGGCGTCGAAGAGGTCGTGGGCAAAGTCGTTCTGCTCGGCAATCGAGTAGGGCGAGTTGCTCGAGCCGCGCACCTGCAGCGGCGGGTAGTGGAGCATGTTGTAGCCAGCATCGCGCGCGTACGCCAGGTGCGGCGCCCAGTCAGAGAGCGAGCCGGCCCACTTGGAGATGAAGGACTGGACCACAAGGCCGTCCTGCGAGATGGGAGTGGGCGCGGCGCCCGACACCTTGCCGCCCGACGGCTGCGGCGCCGAGGTGGAGGGGTCGAGGATGGAGGAGCGCTCGGGCAGCAGCAGCACGGGGTCGACGTTGAAGTAGCCGTGCTTGCTCTTCACGCGCGGGCCCGCCTTGGGCTGGAAGTGCGGCTCCTGCACCGTCGGGTACGGCGTCTCTGGCCGCGGCGAGGCGTGCTCGACGTAGAACTCGAACGCGCCGGGCGCCTCGATGTAGAGCGAGATGTAGCTCGGCTTCGTGAAGTCCGACGAGAGCCTGGTGTGCGTATGAGCGCTGTGTACAGCACGAGCATGGCGCCAGCAGACTCACTTGTGCTCGTAGAACTGCGAGCGGACAAACTCCTTGCCCTTGGGCGGGAAGTTGGTCCACAGCGCGCCGTCCTTGGAGGCGAGCGAGCCGGCCTCGATGGAGAAGCGCAGCACGTAGGCCGACGTGGGCGCCGGCAGGCGAATGTACTGCACACGGCGTCAGCAAGCGTCGCGCACAGGCCACAGCGGCGCCGCTGCACGCACCGCGGCATCGCCCGGCGAGCCGTCGTCCTCGAGGGCGACCTGGAAGACGCGCAGCGCATCGGGCGACGGCACCGTCGAGAGGCTCGCCGTCGAGGCGCCGCGCGAGGCGGCGGCAGGCCGAGCCGGCGTAGCGGCTGGCATGGTGGGTGGGCGAGGGAGTGGTGGAGCAGAGGGAAGCGTCCAGCAAGCTGGGATCGGTCTCTCCACAGGAAGGCAGCGGCAGCCACAGCAGCAGCAGCGCCGTCGAACTTCGAGCGCGGCAGGCGCGCGGCCTCAGGGTCGACACGAGCGGCCGGGCACCAGAGCAGCACAGGCACAAGCTCGCGCTCCACCGCTGCCGCTGGCGCGCACACCGCACCGCGCATCGCGGCGCTCCGTGCGCGGCGGCGCATCTCCTCGCCGCAGATCTTCCATCGGGCCCCGGCTGGCCGCGCTGGCAACGCACGAGAGACCTCACAAGCAGCTCAGCGAGCATGGCGAAGCCTCGCACACACGCTGGCCTCCCATCTCGTGCCCTGCTGTGCTCGCCCAAGGGCCCCCAGACAGACGCTCGAGGCCGTGCGGATTCGAGTGTCGCCGCACGCGGTGCCGACGCCGTGCGCGATGCGCGCAGCGTGCAGCGAGCTGCAGCAGAGCAACTTTGGCTCGGCGCCGGCGATCCCCCAGCCCCTTGAGCGTGATCTGCGCCGTGCCTGAGATGCGCATGCGCATTCTTATTGCAAGATGCTCGCTGCGGCACGAAGGGCGCCATCACTCGCTGCTGCTGCGCTGCTCTCGAGCGTCGTCGTCGACGACCGCCAGCAGCCGATGTAGCTCAGCAGAGCTCGACGTCGGGGTCCAGAGGTCTGTGCATCGGCGCGCGCACCGGTGCGGCCGACAGCCTTGGCGCATGAGCGCTGTCCAGCAGGGCGAGCAGCCACCCTCGCAGATCTCAAGCTCACACGACCAGCTCACTCGCAGCAGATAGACGTCTCAAGAGGTAGCATTGCAGGGTACACGAAGCTCGGACAAGCCCGCGCCGCTCACAGAGGCTGGCGCGAGGGCAGGAGGTAGAAGAAAAAGTGACCGCCGACTCATAAGAGCGGGGCACGGAATGGTTGGTTGTTCTCGACCAAGCAAATAGTACTCCTTCGGTAAAGACCTCACGAGGTAGTACACCTGCCCCTGCCTGTGGATGGGATGGCGGTCAGCAAGCGGTGCGACGAGCAGGGGTGCGCGGCGGCAACTCACATAAGGGTGCCGGACGCGCGGCCGGATGCGGGCGCCGCGCAGCCTCTTATACCGCGCCGCACGCCGCCGCCGCGCTTGCCGAGCCGCGCTGGCGCCGGCGCCGCGCGGGCGGGTGCTTCGCAAGACACGCGGCGCGCGCGCGCTGCGCCAGGGGGCACGCCTGCGGCCGCCTCGCATCGCATCATCCTTTCCACTCGTATGCAGCGAGAACAATGGATTGTCAGTCGCAGGGCTAGTGTACACAGGCGGCGCGCAGCAGAGCTAAGCGCGGACGCGGGCTCGCGGCGTGCTCAGCACGGCCGCTGGCGCAGGGATGAGGGACGCGGGAACAGTGATGTGGCGGGCGAGCGGGGGCATGTATAAAGACAGGGTCAATGAGAGTGTGATGGCGAGCCGATGTGCGAATGAGTGTGTGGTGCGTGAGTGAGATGGCGGGGGGACAGGTGAAAGCTAGGTGCGCGGAGCAGACGAGGACCAGTGTAGCGCTGGGTCCTCGGACTCGGGCGACTCGACGAGCGCGTGGCGCAGCGGCGAGCTGGGCCCGTCGGACAGGCGCGGGCGCGCAGGCGACGACACCATCGACGGCGACGACGCCTGCTGCAGCTCGACGGCGTGCTGCGCAGGCGGCGGCACGTTGATCGAGAGGCGCCGCGAGGCCAGCGCGTTGACGGGCTGCGAGAGCGAGCGGTTGTGCCGCGAGTGGCCGGTCCGCTGCGATGGCTGGGCGCGGGCGAGCGAGAAGCCGTGCGACGGCGCCGGTGCCGGCTCGCCGAATGCCTCGCCGAGCGCCAATGTGTGTGCGCGCGAGCCCTGCGACGGCGCACCTGCCTCGCTGACGCGGCGCAGCTTGTTGGCGTCGATGCGTTGCAGGCGGGCAGAGAGGTCGGCGACGTCGAGCGGCGGCGGTGCAATGTGCGCAGAGTTGCTCGGCACAGCAGCGCGAGGCGCACGCTTGGCGCTGGTGCGGCGGCTGGGCGCACGGCTGGAGCGCTTGAGGCCTTGCCGCGCCAGGAAGCCGAGCGTGCGTGCCACGGCGTACTGCGCCCACAGCGTGAGGAGCAGCGGCGCAGCCGCCTGCGCCACAAAGATGATGAGATGCGTCACCCGGCTCGTGAGGCCGCCGACGGCCGTGTCGTGGGCATGCACCTGTGCTGCGCCCTGCGAGGCATGTGCGGCAGCCAGCAGCGACGCGGCGGGAGCGGTGCCGGCGTCGAACGGAGCGCCCAGCGGGCCGAAGCGCGTCTGCATGCTGGGCACCAGGTCCATGACCCATGTCGACGCGCCGCCGAACGCCGTTGTCCGCACGTACGAGGCCGAGGCGGAGAGGTCGAGGAAAGCCAGCAGCGCGATGAGGGCCTGCGCCAGCACGTGTGCACGCATCGCCCGCGAGAAGAGGTCCATGAGGTTGCGTCGCCGCAGGCCAACGGCTGCGGCGCCCATGAGTGCAAAGCCGGGCTGCACGAGGAAGAAGATGAGCAGCGACGGCGAGAAGATGTCGGCGTCTGGAGCAGCAAGCGGTCAGCGGCTGTACAGAGCGTGAGGAACTGCGAGACTCACATGTGCGGTAGCCCCAGATGCAAGCGGTGGTGATGCCAACCGCAATGGCGACCAGGCCGGCCGCGACGTGGTCCGGTCGGTACGCAGCGTCGTCACCCAGAAGGCCAGGCGTGCCCTTGCCAGACGCAAGCGGCATGATCAGGGCAAAGTCATCGCCACTGCGTCGCCGCTCGGCATGTGCGGCAGCGAGCTTCTCGTCGAAGACACTCGACATCGCATCGCCCGAGTTGGCCCGCTGTGGTGGAGACATGGGCGGCGAGCGAGCGGCGCTGAGCGCTCCGCCGGGCACACGACGAGGACTCGGCGAGGCCAGCAGGTTCTGCACCGTCGGCAGAAGGCTGGCCTCAGCAGCGGCAGCACCCGAGCGTCGCGGTGTCCGCACGCTGTCGGAGCGGCACCGCGACCGTTCGCTCGCGTGCGGCTCTGGCAGGTGCGAGCTCGGCAGAAGCTCGCGCTGCGGGTGTGGCCGACCGATCAACGGCGAGCCGTCAATCGCCTGCTCGTCGCTCTCTTCGTCGAACGGGCTGGTCGGGATCGGGTCAGAGTCAACGTCGAAGATGCTGCGCAGCTCCTCGAGCCCGGCACGCAGGTAGGGTGACGCTGCTTGGCGGAAGATCTGCGCCGAGCGCGAGTGCGAGATAGACGCGGACCAGCGGCGCGAGCGCGACGCATCGTCGCCGTCGGGCTGCGACGACGGCCCGGCGGCGGCCGAGGCCTCGAAGAGCGCACTGCTGCTGCGCGGCGGCGCGGGCAAGGTGACACGCAGCGAGCGGCTGCGCGGCAGATCGCTGACCTGCACTGGCGAGCGCGGCGCCTTGTAGCTGTTGTGCCGCATGGGCTGCGTTGGCGAGACAGAGAGATACTGTGCGGATGCCGGTGCCGGAGGCGGAGAGGCAGCCTCGTCGGGCTGCACGAAGAGCGGCAGGGTGAAGCCAAGGGCCGAGCTGATACGCTGGCTGCTGGCGGCCTCGCGGCGTGCCGAGCTCGACGGCGCACCGGGCGACGGCTGCCGCGAGCTGGAGCCGCTCGAGATGCGGCTGCCGGCGGCGCTGTCGCGGCGGCCAGCAGGCATCGAGGGCACGGGCGGCGGCGGCGAGACGTGCGGCACGCCGAGGTGCGCTGCGCCGTTGGCGCTCGACGGGCGCGAGTGCCGGCTGAGACGACGCATGCGACGAGCGTGCTGCTGCGGTGCCGGCAGCGTGGCCGAGTGCAGTGTAGGTGAGGGTGCGAGCGACGAGCTCGGCGAGGGTGCGAAGAGGAACGCAGGTGAGGGCGAGAGGAAGGGATCCAGCGACGCCGCGTGCGGCGGGCTGGGCCCGCGCGAGGGCGGAGCGGCGAGCATGATGGCGTGAGGCGGCGCAGAGACGTGGGTGTTGGACGCAAAGAGTGATCGGCGCCTATGAGCTCGACGATGACAAGAGCAGGCGGCGGACCGGCAACGAGGACAAAGGCGGCGGCGCAGCGGGCGGGGTCAGGGCGCTGAGTGCTGCCTTGGGCTTAGAGTGGTGGTAACGCAAAGCCGTGGCGGGCGCGACAGGGGGTCGGCCGGAGCGGCGATCCGCGTTGTCCTCGACTCTGCTGCGGGAGCTCGGAGCCGGATCCCGAGGGCGCACAGAGCGCTAAGGTGGGCTGCCGATGGGCTGCTGCTCGCCGAGCCGCCGAGCAGAGGGCCAAGGCGGCACAAGGCGCGCGAGGCGGGCAGCAGCAAGACTGGCCAGGCACGCGCGGCGCTGCAGCGAGAGCGGGGCTGCAGCTGGAGGAGGGCAGCCGCTGCGGTCGGCCTGCCAGTGAGCGGGCCGTTGAGCGAGAGGTGGAGCGGGCGAGGAGAGGAAGGAAGAGGCGGTTGCGGACAAGCGAGAGGCGAGGCGGAGGCTCGGCAGACGCGCGCAGCGAGAAGCGCACGCAGCGGCAGAAAGCACAGCGAGGCGCAGCAGCGCGAGGCGCACGCGGCTCGCGGCTCGCGGCGCCGGCGGCTCGGCTCGGCAGCGAGCGGCACGAAATCGAAGGCGCGTGCAGCAAGGAGGCGTGTCACACGCCGGCCGCACGGTGACGCGGGCACCCGAGAGGCTGGAGCGGGTGGAGGAGGTGAGTAGCGGAGAGGAGCACGGAGGAGATGGTGAGGAGGCAAGAGAGAGAGAGAGAGAGAGGCCGACAGTGATGGAGCGGAGGCCCACGCGTGAAGAGGCCCCCGCTGCGCAGACGGCGAGCAAGCACAAAGCAGGCGCCTGTGACTCCCGCTCCGGACGCAGCAGCCCCCTCTCGCTGTGACGCGGCTCAGCGTCTCACGCTGCATCGCAGCTGCGGTCTGTGGCTCCCGTCTGCGGCGGCTTGCTGCCCTCTCGTCCTCTGTCCTGCTCCGCTTCTCTGCCCTCGTGCCATTCTGGCAGCACACGGCGCCGGATGCTGCGCGCCGGGCGTCCCGCGCCGCCGTGCCGTGGACCCGCGCGCATCTCACCGCCCGCCGCCGCATCTGCAGCGCGCGCCTTGGCATGCGCCGCACCGCCGTCAGCGCCGGCATGGCCCCACTCGGACTCGCCTCCCCCCCGAGCATCATCCTCGCGCCCGCACCCGCCCAGCGATCGCATGCATCTCGCCGAGCCCTGCGCCGCGTGCCTCTCGCCGCTTGGCCCTGCACGCTGGACATGCGCGCGACGATCATCCTCCGGGCGCCGTCCATGATGCGTTGTCGCCGCACCCGCATCGCACGCTTTGCTGGCAAGGCGCAGCGCGGCTGCTGCAGGGTGTGAGCATGTGCAGGACGCCTCGGGATCTCGCTTGCGCAGCTGCAGCCGGCGTGGCTCGGCCATGCGCATACCGCTGCCGTGCCGCTGCCGTGTTGGACGCGCAGTGCCGACGCCGCCGCAGCCGCAGCACCGCGCCGCACGGCAGAGCGGCAGCCCTCTGCCGACGCCGCTCTCGCGCACCTTTTTCATTCGGCGCCGACGACGGCAGCGCCAAAGCCCGCCTCCGACACGCTGTGCATGTGCTCTGCTGCCCTGCAAGCCGACAGCGACACGAAAGGGCCGCCCGCCCAGATTTAGCACGCTGCTGCACGGCACACGCTCGAGTCACCGCACCCTTGTGGTCGCCGCAGCAGCTGCAGCTTGAAGTTTTCGACACAGCGAAATGTGACTTGAAGAGAGGACGGGGCAACGCTGCCTTCCCCATGGAGTCATGGCACATGAAGCGGGATGGGCCGCGGCGGCGAGCTTGCGAGGCGACGATCGCGGTGGGCGGTGTGGAGCGGCGCATTTGCGCAGCGGGTGCGGCGCCAGCGCTGCGGGAGCGCATGTCTCTGAGGTCAGCCACATCTCGTCGAGGAGACCCGCACCGGCACCCGCACCCGGCGCCTTCTCTCCACATCGTCTCGCCGACTGCTGCTGCGTTGGCCGACGCTGCGAGCACGGCAGCGTTCGTGGGAGCGCTCTCTCTCTCTCTCTCTCTCTCCCTCCGTCTTTTCTGCGCTCTGGCGCCAGAAGCAGCGCCGCATTCCGCCAAGCAGCGCCTCGCCGTCAGAGAGAGCCTGCGCTGCGTCCATGCGGGCATCGGGTCGGGCGGGCGGTGCCGCCGATGCGCGCCCGCCAGCTTGGCAGCGAAAGCCACGTGCGCGCCTGTCGGCCTGCCATTCTACAGAGCCGCTTGGCACGGCTGTATGCGCTGTACCATACTTGACAGCATGGCCGACGAAGAGGAGCCCGCAAGGCCGAGCGCTGCAGGCGCAGAACAGAGAAAGCGCTGCATGCGATGGCGACACGCATGCACGATGGCGCGGCGGCGACGGCGCTGCCAAGCCTGCCGCTGCGGCAGCCGGCGCAAAGGCCGCTCGCCGAGCTCGAGCGAGGCATGCGCTGCGTCGGCACGCCAAGCTCACGCTGCGCCAAGGTGCGGACGTCTCCGCTGCTCCCTCTCCCTCCCAGATGCAGGGGCACGGCGGAGCTCCAGAGCAGAAAGTCTAGCGTCCTGATGCGCGAGCTTGGTCGTGCAGCATGATGCCCGATGGCGTCCAGGTGGAGGCTTGCACCCTGACAGACAACCAGACAGTCCAGCGAGCACACTGACAAACGCAGAATGAACACATCTCAGGTTTCCCTCGGGCGCAAAGTCAGGTCAGGTGCGGAACAGGGTAGGGGGCCATGGGGCGCAGAGATAGGGGCAGCGAAGAGGGACGGGTCAGAGGGAGGAGCAAGGCACTATGTGAGCGTATCGGAGGGGGATCAATGAACAGGTTGTGAGCGGAATGAGCGTGGAGACGACGAATGCAGAATGTGGACGGGGACGAGAGGAAGATGCTGGAGAGAGAGAGAGAGGATCGGGAGGTCGGAAGAGGATGGCGCGGAAATCGACGCTCAGGCGGCAAAGTCCCACTCGCTGCCGCTCTCGTAGAACTCGGAGCACGAGGCCGGGCTGTCGTAGCCGCACGGCGTCGATGGCGCAGTAGCCGGCGTGCTGCGCCCGCTGGCCAGGCTCGAGGGGCGGTCGCTGTACGTCGATGCCGCCGTGCTGACGCTGCTCTTCATCGTGGGAGGCGGCGAGGGACTCGGCGACGTGTGCGTCAGCGCCGGCGCTGGGGAGGTGCCGCGACGCCCGCGCGGCGTGTGGTCGGCATCGGGTCCAGAGGGCAGGGACAGGAAGCTGGGTCCGCCGTACGAGCTCATGATCGGTGCCGACGGCGACTCGCGACGGTCGTAGCCTGTGCCAGGCGCGAAGCGCGCGCGTTCGGGACTGATAGAGGCGCTGCGAGCGCCCATGAGCGTGCGCGTCGAGGCGTCGCTGCCGGTGCTGAAGTCGCGGCGCGAACTGCTGCCCTCGCCGTAGAGCGGCTCGTGCGGGCCGGGCGGCGGGCTGGGACTGTTGTTGGCGCTGCTGTTCGGCGTCGTGCCTGGCAGCGGCGGCGGCGGCTTCGAGAGACCGAAGCGCGCAATGAGCGGGTTCACGCCAGCTCCCGTGCCCGCCGGCCGCTGGCACTGTCCGAGCTCCGGCCGAGGCGTGCGGCCAGCAGGCGCTCCGGGCGCGCCGGCGTTCCAGTTGAAGCGGAAGCCAGCGCCCGTGCCGATGCCGGCATAGCGCAGGGCACGCTCGCGCTCGCGTGCACGCTCCTGCCGCAGGTGCTCGGCAGGCGACAGGCCCGACGGCGTCGAGGGCGCAGACAACGAGCCGTCGCCGCCAAAGCGGTTCTTGCAGAACGTCGACGGCGAGGAGGAGGCGATGCTGTCTGCGCGCTTGCGCTCGCCGAAGCTTGGCCCGGGGACGATTAGGTGGTGCGGATCCGGGTTCGTGGGCGTGGAGAGGAGCGCACGAGTCGGCTTGACGTCGCGCGACGGCCCGCCTTCGTCCTCGGAGCAGCTGGCGGTGGAGCTGCCGCTCTTGCATGCCGCCATGGCTGCCCACTTGGCCTCGAGCAGGCCCATCTCCATGTGCATGTCACGCATCTCCTCGACGTCCTCGGCGCTCAGGCGGTTGCTGACGGCGCAGGCCTTGCGGTCGTACTCGACTGGACTGTGCGTGCGCAGCTCCTGAGGCGGGGCCTGGCTGAAGCGCACGCGAGCGCGGCCGCGGCTCGTGTTGCTGGCGATGCTCTCGCTCTCCGAGCTCGAGTCGCGCGCCGACGACCAGGACGCGCCGCTAGGAGGGCGCACGAGGCCTTGTGCGGACTGCGCTGAGGTGCGGCGACGGAAGCACGGACGCAGCGGCACCTTGGGCTTCGGCCGCGTCGGCGACGAGGAGCGCCTGCCGCGCGACGACTTGCGCACCAGCGGCGGCGCTTCCGGTGTCGTAGGCGGAGAAGAGGCTGCAACTGACGGGATGGACTCGCTCGACGGACGCGAAGAAGTAGGCGAAGGCGGCGCAGCGGTGTCTGCGCTGGCAGGCGGCGTCTCGGCACCGGGTGCAACCGTGTCGGAGGTTGACAGCGGCGAGGCAGTCGAAGGAGCATGAGGCGAGACATCGCGCAGCGTCTCGACGCTCTGATCGATGCCGGTGGACGGCTCGTCAACAGGCGCCGAGACGCACTCGCATAGCGGGCTGGGCACGGCAGGCACCGTCTCGCTTGGACTGACACAGCGCGGCGGCAGTGGCGGCGGACCGACAAACTCGAACTCGTTCCAGCTGGTGCTGGTCGTGAAGGGTGTGGGCGTCGTGGGCGAGAGATCTTCCGGACGAGCCGAGACGCCGCTGGCCGCGTTCTGCGCCGCAATCGCTGCCTCGCGCGCTGATGCTGAGCCGCGGGACGAGCGACGCCGGCCGCTGAGCACGCCCGGCGTGGACATGTCGCCCGTGCGCTCCTTGGCGATGGGCGTGGAGTCGGGCGACGGCATGACAGTGGCGCCAGCGAGAGGCTTGGCAGGCGGCGTCGTGCTCGTCACCTCGCCGGCCGCGCCTTCCTCCGCCAGCTCGGCAATGCGGCCCTTGCGACGGCGCGCTGCAAGGCCGGCGGGTGCGCGCATGCCATGACGCGACATGGACGAGAGGCCGTGGCCGCCGGCGCGCGGCGAGAAGTGCGGCAGCTGCGGCGCCGAGGCTGTCTGAGTGGGCGCAAGGTGCTGCTGCTGTTGCTGCTGCGTTTGCTGCTGCATCTTGCGGATGCTGCCGCCGAGGCCCAGGCCGTGGCCGTAGTGGTGCTGGTGCGGCGTGCCCGGAATCTCGTCGGCATCGCTGTCGCCGAAGCCGGGACGGTCGCTGCCGCTGGCAAAGCTGCTGCTCTCCTCGTCGCACTCGCTCACCGTCTCGAGCTCGGGCTCGTGCACGCTGGCGCCATCGAGATCGAGGTCCTCGACGTCAGCCAGATCGCCGCGGCGCACGCCGGGAGCCACGAAGCTGTTCCAGCTCGACATGGAGCTCGGCGAGTCGAGCGGCTCGTAGTCGGACTGCGAGCCGCCCATCGACGAGGCAATGCTGCAGCTGGGCGACGGCGGCACGACGAGGTGCGGCAGCTCGTACGCGCCATTGTTGCCATTCTGGAACGACGGCCCGCTAAGACGCGTCTCGGGCGACGAAGAGAGGCCCCAGCCGAGCTTGGTCCCGCCATTGGCGATTCGCAGCTCGGGGTGCGAGCGCGAGCCGACGATGGGCCGCGGCGCTGCATGCTGGCCGCTGCTCTGGTATTGCTGCTGTGCGAGCTGGCGCTGCTGGAGCGCAGGGCTCGGGCTCGGGCTCGGGCTCGGGCACGGCGCGCCCGGCTCGTCGTCGTGCGGCTCGTCGTGCCGCAGACGCGTCAGCGTGGCGTCGCGCTCGTGGCGGATCGGCGGCTGCTCGTCGGCAGCGGTGTGCTTGTCGCCAAGTGCGGCGTGTGCGAGTGGAGAGCGACTATCGGCCGGCTCGTCGGGGCTGCTGCCGCCCTCGTCGGACGCGGTGACAGCGAGGGAGCCGGCAAGATCGCCGCCAAAGGCGGACCGCGCCTGGGGCGCTGCAAGGAGCGACATGGTGTCCGAGAGAAGAGACGGTCGGGCGGTGCGAGAGGCGCACGTAGAAGAGAGGTGCGAGGCGGGTGCGGGGCAAGGGTAGGCGAGGCGGCGCGACGCTGCGAGCGGGACGAGACGGCTGCGGCAGACGCCGGACTAGTGATGGGCGGACGGGGCAGGAGGAGCGCACGCGTCGCTTGTCTCCATCGTAGGCGCCCTCGTGGACGTGCAGCGGTGGGCGGTGAGAGATAGGGAGAGAGAAGGTGAGAAGGATGCTGGCCTGCGAGAGGGCCAGCTCAGGTGCCGGGAGCGCGCCTCGAGGCGGTGCGGTGCGGCCGCGCGCAAGAGAGAGACACTCGCGCCGCGCCCAGAAATTCGAAGGGCTTGGCCAGATGTATTCGCCGCCGCCGATTGTTGTATTCGCCGGCGAGCGGGCAGCGGCGCCGCCAAACATCGCCGTGCCGCTGCCGTGCCGCTGCTCCCGCGCCCCGCTCCCGCGCGCCCGCCCGCTGCCGCCGCATGCGACTCGGCTCGCCTCGATGCCGCACGCTGCTGCACGCGTCATGTCCGCCCGCCGCCCCGCAGCGCCGCGCAGCCACGCCCGCACCGCACGCACATCGTCCGCGGGCCGCTCTCCGTCGTCGCCGTTGCGCTGGCCGTGCCGCAGCCCGCACCGCCGGATGGGCAGCGAGACGTTCGACGATTGCACGTCCGCCGACGATTCGATACGGCAGCGAGCACCCGTGGGCGGAGAGCGGCCGGGCTGAGTGTCCAAGGGCCAGAGGGGGCGGCCGCCGCCCCTCATCAGCCGGCCCCTGAGCGGCGCAGCGCTGTCAGCGCGCAGCGTGCGCGGTGCCGTGCGAAGGCCGCTCCACACAAAGTGCGCCCCAAGCTCAAAGCCGCTCGCCTCCTCTGAGCTGCATCAGCGCCAGCACGCCACGAGAAAGAGAAGGAAGGCAGAGCCCAAGACCGAGAGTCGCCAGCTGCCGGCCTGCCGCGGCCATCGAGGGGGGCCAGCACGAGACGCTCAGGCACGGCGCAGCACAGCAACGGCTCACCGCCCTGATCGGCACGAATACATCTGGCACTACAGGCGCGTTTGTAGTGCGCGATTAGACGTGGCCGCGCCCACGCGACCTGCCACCACCCGCTGCCCCTCTGCCGCTGCCGTGCTCCGCGCGCACGCAAGCTGCCAGCGCAGCGAGCACGCAAACCGACCTCGACCCCTGAGCCCTTTTCTCGATTCTTCTCTTTCCGCAGGGCCGCTCCGCAGGTCGAGTCATGCCGCCATGCCTGCGATCCTTCTCTCGCGGCCGAAGCGGCTCGAGCACATGCAGGGTGCAGGGCATGGGCTGAGATGCACCAGCGCAGCGGCAGAAGGCCGAACGAGACGTGGCGGCGGAGCGGGATCTGCTGCTGCTGAGCGCTTGCGGTGCGGCGGCGGCATGCGCGTACCCCACACGCGACACGCGCCGCCGGCATCTCGCGTGCCGCCAGAATGGGGACCCTCCGCTCGCGAGTGGGGTGCATGGTGCTCAGCGCACGCGCATGCGACATGACACCCAGACGAGATCGCCGTGGCGATGTCACGTCCCCGTGCCCTTCGTTGCCGATGCCGTGGGCCACGCCAGCAGGAGCTCGGGCCGCTCATGGCCCGTGGCAAGCCCTTGACCCTGCGCACTACGCGTGGGAACGCTCTCTGCTCCGCTGGCCTGCTCCACCTGCTGCGATGAGCTCTTCGGAGCGCTTAGTTCGTGGCCTAGCGCATGGATTGGCGAGGCGAGGCGCAGATGCGAGGCCCGCGACAGAGTGAGGTGAAGAGGGAGAGACGCGGACAGTGGTGGTGCTACAAATATACACGCCGAGACAGGTCTGGAGCAATACAGGTGGGGAACAGAGAGGAGGCGGCACGCAGAGGAGTAGTGTAGCTGAGAGCAGAAGGCGAAGAGAGAGAAAGAGAAGCGGCCGGCTACGAGGCAGCGCCGTAGCTCGAGCCGAGGCCGTGCTGCTGGCCGTGCTGCTGCGGCAGCGGCTGCTGCGGGTGCAGGTGCGAGTGGCCCGTCTGGCTCCAGCCATAGATGCGCATCGGGCTGATGTCCATGCCCGTCGAGCCGTCGAGGCCGCCCATCTGCGCCGCCAGGTCGAGCTCGTGCTGCAGTGCGCCGCCGTAGTCGAAGGGGTCGTCGAGCCAGCTCGTCGTCGCCGCACCGCCGCGACTCGGCGTGAAGCGCCGCAGACCGGGTGAGATGCCGCTGCCCAGGCCGCTGGCCTGCGCCGCCGAGGACCAGCGCTGCAGGCCCGTCGAGCCGGGCGTGCCGGCAAAGTGGGCGCCGAGCAGCGTGCTGCTGCCGCCCGTGTTGCTCATGGGCCGGCTGGGCGTGTGAGCGGCGAGCGTGGCGCCGCCGGTGGGCTGCAGGCCCATGCCGAGCGAAGACATGCCTGCTCCAGCCGGCCCATCGACGGCCATCTGCAGATGCATGCCTGCTGGACTCGCCACGGCGCGCACCTCGCGTCCGCCGTGAGTGCCAAGGGCGCCGCCAGGACGCAGCGGCGAGCCGCGCATCGGGCTGCCGGCGCTGAGCGAGGCGCGCCGAGGACTGCGGCCCTGCATCACCGTGTCCTTGTTGGCTGTGCTGCGCTCGCTCGGCTGGCTTGCGGCGGCCGCGCGCGGCCCAGCGCCGCGCAGAGACGAGACCGGCGAGTGCATGCTGAGCAGGCGGCTCGGGCTGGCACCGCTGCCTGCGCCGGGGACCGGAGGCGGCACATTCTGACGCCGCAGAGGAGAGCCGCCGAATGAGGCGCCCATGCCCGCGCCGTGGACGCCCGGACGCAGGCGGCCCTGCATGCCCGCGAGCGGCGAGCCCTGCAGCGAATGGTGCGAGTACGTGAAGCCAGAGCCCAGATAGCCGCCGTTGCCGAGGAAGGTCGTGCCCACGTCGTTGTACGAAGACACCTGCATGCCTCCACCCAGGAACGGGACGCCGCCGGCCATGTTGCCGGCACCGTTTGCGCTGTGTCCGGCCATCGGGTCGGGAGCGAAGAGCGATGGCGCAGCGGAGGGAATCTGCTGTGCGTGGCCGCGGTTGCGGGCCGCCTTGCGCTTGCGTGCACTCTGCGACGAGGCACCGCCCGACGGAGGCAGCATACCGGCGCCGGCAGCACGAGCGCGATTGCCAAAGGCCTGCATCTCGAGCATCGGGCTGGAGGGCGGGCTGGAGGCACTGTCGGTGAGCATCGGCACGGCATTCGTGTGGGTGCTGCCGTGTCCGCTGCTTGCGTACACTGAGAAGCCGGGCCGACTGGGGGTCGTCATGTCGAGCGACTCTGCGAACGCAGCAGGCTCGGCCGCGTTTGCGGCGTCGGGACCGGGCGACTGACGCGTCTGCACAGGACGCAGCGGCGAGCCTCGAGCCTTGGCCAGCTTCACCTTCTTGCTGCTGCCGCTGCCGCTCGCAGTCGCCGCTTTGGTCCGCTTGGCGCCAGGCGCGCTGCCAGGCGCTGCAGCAGCTGCCTCGGGCGCGCGAGCCTCCGCATCGCTGCGCTGCTCGCTCTGTGCCGAGTTGTTGGAGGCGATGCGCTTGCGACGCTCCTTCGTGCCCCCGCCGTTGCGAGCGCGTCCGGGCGGAGCGTCGAAGGGCACGTTGGGGTCGCGCTTCGACCACGGCATCATGGCCTCCCACTCCGGGTCGTCAGGGCCGAGCTCCTTGGCTGGCTTCGTCGCGCTAGCTGTGGACGCAGCAGCGGCCTTGGCAGGCGGCTCCTTGCTCTTTGGCGCGACATCGGGGGTGCTCGCCTTGCCCTCGGGCGCGGCGATGTAGACGCCGGCGCGGAAGCGGTCCTCGTGGCCCGGCTTGATGGCCCAGAAGCCGCCCTTGCCCGGCATGTTCGCCTCACGCTCGACCTTGAGGAAGCTCTTGTTGAGGCTGAGGTTGTGGCGGATGCTGTTCTGCCATCCGCGGTCGCCGCGCTCGTAGAAGGGGTGCACGGCGCTGATCCAGTTGTACACCTCGTTGAGGCTCAGCTTGCCGTCGGAGCTGGACAGGATCGCCTGGCCGATGAGGCCGGCGTACGAGACACTCGACGGCTTGCCAGTGCTGGCGCCGAAGCCTGGCGGCAGCTTGTAGTAGCGCGACGGCGGCGCCTCTACGTCGCCAGCGTCGAGCGCAGCCTGCAGCTCCTCGGACACGAGGCGCACGATGCGGCTGCCGTCGGGCCTGTCCCACTCCGACTTGCCGACCTGCGCCTGCGCAGGCGTGACGGCCGCACGCTTCTTGTCGTTGCGTGGCTTCTTGGCGCCCGGCGGCCGGGGCGCGGGCGCGGCACCATCGCCGCCGGAGGCCGACGCCGACGCCTCCGCCTCGCCCTCGCCTCCGGACTTGCTGCCTTTGCCCTTGCTTGCACCGGCAGACTTCTCCCGTCGCTGAGCAGGCTGTGCCGAGCCGAGGCGCACGCGTCGCTCTTCGCTGGGCACGCCGAGCGCAGTGGCCAGACTTGAAGACGACGCAGGCATGACAAAGCGGCGAGGCGGTGCGTCTGCATCGCGCTGCGTGCCGAACTCCGGGCTGGACTCGTCGTTCGGGTAGCTGTTGTTGCGGCCGCGCTCCTGCCGTGCAGTCGCAGCAAAGCCCGCGAGGCGGTCGGCTGCGTCCATGCCTACCGCGGCCTGAGATGACGCGTCGAAAGGCGAGGTTGGAGGCATGCCGCGAATCGAGGATGAGGCGCGCGACACCTTGATGCTGACCTCCGGCGATGCCCATTCGTCGTCGCCCTCGCCGTCGAGGTCCGACTCGCCGACACGAGGCGTCGCCGCGTTCTTGTGCGCACGTCGCTTCGTCGGCTCTGGCAGCGGAGCAGGAGGCGCTGGCGGTGCCTTGGATGCCGAGGGACCCGACTCATCTGCGGCGTCCGGCTCGGGCACAAGCGGTGCGCCGAAGAGGGCCGCAGGCGAGATAGTGTCGTACCTGCGCATGGGCGAGTGACTTGCCCAGCCCACGGGCCCGCGTCGGCGCTCGCCGGCAGCGCTGCCGCTGGCTCGCTGCAGGGCTGAGCTAGCAACACGGCCGCGTGCGGCAAGCCCTGCGCGGTCGGGGCTCTCCCGAATGCCGAAGGGCGCAGCGAGCGAGGCAGCGCCACGCAGGCCTCGTGCGGGCGAGGAGGACGACCCAATGGGAGGAAAGCCGCGGGCCGGCGAGCGCGCAAGAGTGGGCCCTTGTGGAAAGGGCGCCGACAGCTCGCCGGGACTTGCGCCTTCTTGCGCGAACGCAGCGGCCAAAGCGCCTGCACTGCTGAGCATGTAGCCGCCGGGCGACGCGGACGGGCCGAAGAGAAGACCGCGGCGCGCCGGGAAGCCACCTGGCGTCAGGCGCACACCGCACGCCTCGGTGCCTTGCAGGTCGAGCGCCAGGATGTCGGGCGAGGCGGGCAGGTGCGCGAGCGAATGCATGCGCTGCGCGAGAGGAGACCCATTGGCAGCATGGCCGGAGCGCAGCAGCTGCAGCGAGCTGCCTGCTCCTTGCTCTTGCTGCTGCTGCGAGACAGCCCACGCCAGCATGTTCGACGTCTCCTCCCACGGCGCAGCGGCAGATGCGCCGTTGGCAGGCTCGGTGCTTGAACTGCCCGCCGCGGCATCCTCCAGGCCGGGAGTGATGCCGTGGAAGAGCAAGTCGTAGTGCTCGCGCGTCGTCATGCGCCGGTGATTTGTGTTGGCGTCCGCCCAGCGCACGCTCTTGAGGCCACCGCCAAGGCTGCCGACCGCGTCCTCCTCCTCCCCATCTTCCTCCTCCTGCACGTCAGCCTCCGTCTCGAGCTGCTCGTCGAGTCGCTGCGAGCGCGCCGGCTCCTGCGAGTGTGCACGTGCGCGGAGAGGGCTAATGTCCATCTGGCCCTCGCGCTCGCGGCGCTCGCGCTCCTTGGCCTCGCGTCTGCGGCGCGCCGGACTGCCCTTGGCCGCCATGATGCGGTCGAGGAAGCTCATGCGCGTCAGGCCCTCCTGCAGAGCTCGCTCGCTGGACGCGCCGCTGGTCGTGCGGCAGCGCAGCGGCGGCTCTTCAGCCCATGGATCCGAGGGCAGCATGGTGCTGGCAGGGGCGGAGAGAGTAACTGGCGGGTCCAGCCAGACGCCAGAGTCGTCCGCGTCGACGTCTTGCGGAGTGCCGGGCGAGAGTTGCACGGGGACGTCGAGCAGTGAGAGAGTGCCGCCGGGCGAGACACAGGCTCGGCGAGAGAGGTGCGAGAGGGCGTGGTGCGCTCCGATGCTGCTGCTCATCGTGCTGTGTGGCGACTCCTGCGGCGGAGCAGAGTAGGCACGGTGCAGCGTCGTGCTGCCAGACGGCGCAGGCGATGGTGTGCCGAGAGGCACGTCGAGGCCGAGGCCGAAGCGAGGCGCACTCGACGCACCGCTCGATGAGGCGGCACCACTCTCGGCCGAGCCAGGAGGCGCTCCTGACGTGGCACGCATCGACGGCGTCACGTTGCCGAGCGGCGTGCTCGTGGCAGCCGGCGCCGTGGACGTGCCGCCTGGAGTGACGGCCGCAGCCGCGGCAGCAGCAAGGCGAGCCTTCTGACGCCGGCGCTTCTCCTTGCGCATGCGCCGCTCGGACTGGCTGCTAATTTCATCGAGCGACGGGCGCGCACGCTCCGAGGCCGTCTCTGTCAGGGCAGGCGACGGCACGACGGCCGTGAAGAAGCTGAGCGCCGGGCTCGCTCCGCTGCCGCCTGCGCCCGCAGTGGCACTGTCAGCCGCGCTGGCGTTGCTGCCGCCGCCCGAGGAGCGAGGCGCCAGCCGTGCTGGCGCCGGAGCACTCTCTACATTTGGCGGCGACGAAGCTGGCGGCGCGGCTGCCGAGCTAGTGGCTGCCTCAGCGGACGGTGCGACGCGCTCGGCCTTGAGGAACGCGGCGACGCCGGCGCGTGTCCGCTCGAAGTCGGCGCGTGTGAGGCGCAGGCCCATGGCCTGGGCGCGCGCGAAGAAGTCATCAGCCGCCTGCTTCGAGGCGAGCGCATCGAGCGAGCCAGCCGAAGCGGCAGACGCCTCGGCAGACTGTGCGCTCGCGCTGCTGGATCCGCTCGAGGCTGGAGCGCTGGAGCTGCTGAGGCTCACGCTCGCTGCGGCGAGCTTCGAGCTGCTGGCGCTGGCGCGCGCCTGGCCAGAGGCCATGTTGGCTGCGAGCGAGAAGGTCAGTCTCTTGCTCTCCCGCAGAGGTGCAGCAGTGCCGCAGGCGGTGCCAGCGCGAAGCTCAGAGCGTCGATCGCGTGATCCACTGCAAGATGCCCTTCGCCGGCGCGCCGCTGGCTGCCCTCGTGCCACCTGGTCCACCTCACTGAGAGGCCAGGCCAGCGCTTCCGCGCCACGCTCACGGCTCTCTTCCCTGCCCCTGCGGTCCCTCTGCGATGCCTCATCGATCCCTGCGCTGGCGCAGCGTCGCAACGCACCTGGACGCGTCGCGCTGCGAGGGCGATAGGTCTGCGACACGGGGCCAGAGCTGGCAGGCCGCAGTGCGCGCGGTGTATGCGCAGAGGTGCGCGAGGTCGAGACGACGAGCGTGGGCCGATGCCGGAGCGAGAGGGAGCGTGTGGAGAGCGAGGCGCGAGCGGGGCAGGGAGCGGGCGGGGATGGAGGTGAAAGATGCAAGGCAAGGCACGCTGCACGGCGAGCTGCAGAACGACGCGTCGCGCGCGCGCGGCCGGCGGAGCGGGAGGCCGCGGCGGGCGCAGCAGGGCAAGCGAGAGGCGGGCAGCGGCCGAGGCAGCGGGCCGCATGAGCGCGTCGGTGGCGGGCGCTTGCATGCGCAGCGTGCAGCAGCGTCGGAGGCAGCATCGAGGCAGCGCAGCAGCACCGGGCAGCACGCAGCGGCAGCGAGCTCAAAGGAGGCAGCGGCTCGTCGTCGGCCGGCGGGTGCGCAGCAGCGCCAGGGGCCCGCATCGCAGAGCATGCCTCCGGCGAACGTCCTGAGCAGCGCCCCTCCGAGACCTCCGTGAGCTGCGTTTGCGCTCGAAATCATCCTGCTCCCTGGTCCTGCATGCTGGCTCAGCCTTGGCGGGCCGGCACCTGCGACGGAAGCTTGAGGAGGAGGCAACAAGCAGCGGCGACGACGCGTCACGCTAGTCCACTCGACTCGCTTTCGCTCACCCTCCGCACTCGACTCTCGGTCCTCACACACGCTCGCGACATTCTGAACAACAGCGGATCTTTCACGTTTCGTCGTCGTCGACAGAAGCTCACAGATGGTCGTCAGAGGAGAGCGTCGAAGGTCTTCCGCATCCCGGCGGCTCGCTGCTGCCCGCGTCGCCCTCGCACAACGGCACCCTCACGCGGTCGCGGCGAGTTCCTCGTGGCGCACCCATCGCTGCCCCTTGTCCTCGGTCGCACCTCCTTTCCTTTGTCCATCTCCAGCGAGCATCGAGCTGCGAGCGGCGCGGCCGATGCCCGACGGCGAGGGCGACGTCGGCGGCCCGCCGCGGCCGAGCCGCCGCCGCGTTTCCTGCAAGGAGGCTTTCCTCCGGCGCGCACGGCAGGAGAGCAGTGTGCTCGAGACCTTCCCGTTTCGACGGCTCCGCGCCTCGCTCGCGGCCCGCCTTGTGTGCATCTCGGCCGCGCATCCTCTGCTCTCGTGCCTTCGCGATCGTCCAACACTTTTGCCTCTCCACGCGCGACGTGATCATCACGCGCAGCATCCCGTGATTTGTCACGCCGGCGTGAGAGCAGGCCCGACATGGCACCGCACGTGACAGCAGCAGCCCAGTCGGGTGGCTGACGCCTGCAGCGAGGGTCTCACATCAGAGCAGCTGACAATCAGCATCGAGAGAAGGAATGGCGGCAGCTTGCGAGAGAGGGCAGAAGATGGGGGCAGCAGCGCAGGCTGCGTGGCTGTTCCCACGCGGTGCTCCACCAGCGCGATGCCGGGTCGCGTTCTCGCACGAGAGGCTGCGTGCGCGAGCCATGCTCTTGTGCTTGTGTTGCGGGCCTCTGACTCCGACTCGGCTTCGCAGCACCCGGCCTGCCTCTCCACTCCCACCACAGATCATCGCGCCGCCAGCGGACTTGCTCTCGAGCTGCTCGACTCTTCACTGGCGTCTCCTCTCGCCATCTGCCGCCGCACTGCGCCTCTCACCCCCGGCACGCGCCATGTCTGCGCCGCCGCGGCCGCGCGGCCGCCGCAGCAGTGCGGGCGGCGACATCGGGCTGGCCGACTTTGAAGACGTCGGCTCGCCGTCGATGGACTTCTCCACGTCGCCCAGCGACGGCGCAGTCATCTGGCGCAGCTCGCCCTTCTCCACGACCCCGGCCGAGGGCATCTCGGGCCACCTGTCAGAAGGCGGACAGAGCAGCACTAGCATCTCCAGCTCGTACTACTCGGCGGACGAGCGACCCACTGCGGCCTCACTCGCGCACTTGGAACCAGCAGTAGGAGGAGCTGGCAGTGCGCCTGCGGCGCCGTCAGCGCTCGAGGCGCTTGGCGACCTCGCCCTGGCGCCGCGCGGCCGGGCACAGCAGTCTGCGCCCGACATGGGCATGGACGCCGCCAGCAGCAGTGCTCTAGCCACAGGCTCGCCTGCCATGCCCGCTTCAGAGCTCAACACGCCGCGCCCGGGCGCATCACCTCGTTCTTCGCCCTCTGCCTCGCCGCCTGTGCCGTCAAGACGAGCATCGCTTCACTCCCGGCGGGCCAGCGCTGCCGTCAAGGCTGCTGCAGCCGCTGCAGCCGCGGCGACTGCCAGCAGCTCCAGCAGTGCCGCTGCAACGCCCTCTTCAGGGCTCGGCATCGACGTCAAGCCTACTGCGTTGCCGCAGCTGGCGCCTGCGTCTGCGCGTGCGCCAGCAGGTGCCATGCGAGAGAAGCTGCAGAACTGGGTGCTCAGCGTGGGATGCGTCACGTTTGACCTGGACCACGGGCCGGAGCTGGAATGCTTGTGTCCGCAGCTGGGCATCTCGCGAGAGGAGCGAGACATGATGTGAGTGGAGCGTGTGACACGACAATCGCGGCGGGAAGGCCATTGTGAGGAATGGCGCAGCGACGTGCGGTTGTGAGAGGTGCAGAGATCCTCAGCTGTGCATGCTCGCGGGAAGGCCTGCTCTCAGCTACATGCAGACCGCACTGCGAGGGATCAGGTATCCTGGCATGCTCCACAGCCTCTGCTCGTCGCTCCGGCACTGACGCCGCACCATCAGCGCATTCTCATCCTTCCCCGACACGTCTATCTTCGACACCGGCACCACGAGCTTCTCCTTTCGCCTGCGCGAAGTGCCCTTGATCGACCCTACACCTTCTCCTCCGCCCATGCCTGCTTCTGCACCAGCAACAGGCACGTCGAGAGCACGAATTGCAGGAGGCAAGGCGCGTGCGGCGATTGGCGCGCACTTCTTCGGCGACCGCAGCGGCAGCAGCAGTGCGAGCGGCACCGCCGCTGGCTCCAGTAGCAGCTCGCCGCGCGGCGAAGAGAACGACGTCGCTGCGGGGTACATGCCGCTTCATGCCGCTGCGCCGCGCCCAGAGTCGGACGACGATGAGCCACCGCGGACTGCGCCGCTGGACGGAGAAGAGCGCATGGTGCTCGGAAGAGGCAGAGGCAGGGGCGACAGCTCGAACTACATCTACGGCTACGCATTCTTCTGCCAGAAGCGAGACGCTAGCATCAGGCGAGGCTACTTTCAGGTGAGAAGGCCCCCGGCGAGAGCTGCAGCGACGTCGTCACTCACCTACCGCGACGCAGAAATCAATTGTCGTCCTCTCTCATCTTCCCTACGTTGCGCTCTTCGACCGCGTCATCAATCTGCTCGGACGTGAGTGCGTCGTGGCCAGCTCAGGAGACCTCGAGCTGAATCTGCTGTGTAGCGCTGTACTTTGCACACGGCGCGCCGATGCTCGAGGCCTTCTGTCAGGACGTCACGAATTGGCCAGCGCCGGAACCCGGAGCCACACTCTCGCTGCCAGTGCTGGGCTCCGTCCTGGATGTGGCCTTGCCGCTCGCAACACAGGGGCAGAGTCGCGAGACGCCTACAAGCCCGCTTCCATCGCCCCTTCCAGTGCAGCCGGGCGGCGCCGAAGCTGTGGTGAGTCCCGGCGCTCTGGAGCGATGAGGCTCTGTCTGACGTCAGGTACTGCCTCGCAGATTCTGGCGTCCATTCCAGCGACTCCGCTTGTCAGCTCCTTCCGCGAGCTCCTGCCCGACATGTGGCTGCTGTGGGAGTGTGTGCTGCTCGGCGAGTGAGTTACATGCTGTGACACTTCCGCTCGGAGGCTCTCGACTAACGCTATTGCAGGCCGATTCTGATCGTCGGGCCCGATCCGAAGCAGTGCAGCGAGGCGGTGTGGCATCTGCTCGATCTCATCCGTCCGATTCCGTTCGGAGGCGACTGGCGGCCCTTCTTCACGATTCACGACTACGACTTCAAGACGCTCGTCACGCGCAACAAGCCGCAGGCCGGCACGCTCCTGGGCGTGACGAATCCGTTCATGCTGCAGGCCTGCTCTCACTGGCCGCACGTGCTGCGAGTAGGCAAGGCGGCGGCGAAGCCAAGTCGGCACGGCAGTGGCAGCGGAGCCTCGTCTGGCGGCACAGGCTTGGGCAAGCGCGCCTCAGCACCGCCAGCGCCCTCGACGCCGGCATCTGCAGGCGGCGTTGCCGGCGGCAACAGTGCCGGAGGCGGCGGCCCAGAGCACCTTGCGGGCTTCACCTCGAAGCGCAAGCGCCGCATCTCAAAAGACCGGGCGCTGCTTAAGCGTCTGCTCGAGCTCGTCGAGCGGCCGAATGGCGGTGCCGCAGCCGATGCCACGGCCGACGCGCTGCTGCGACGCTACTTTGCCGACCAGACGTCGCGCTTCCTGGCGCCGCTCAATCGCTACGTCTCGTCGCTCATTCCTGCCACGTTCGACCTCTCTTCGCCCAGCGCAGCGCCGCAGATCCGGCCCTTCAGCACCACGGCCTTTCTGGCCTCGCTCAAGGCGCATGGCACGCCGCTTGCAGTGCGCAGTCGCTCGCTGCCTACCGGTGCAGCAGTGCGCCAGGCCCTCTACCTCGACTTTCTGCGCTCGCCGAACTTCGGCCTCTGGCTGCAAGAGCGCCTCGCTGCTGCAGAGGAGGAGCAGTGGCGGCGCAGAGTCGCAGTGCTGGAGCAAGGCGACGTGCGCACATTTGCGCAGCAGCGCGGCGAGGTCGAGGCGCTCGATCTGTGGACAAGGCTCGTGGCCGAAATCGTGAGTGCTGCTACGCTCTTGGCGCATGCACAGCTGCTGATGCTGGCCCTGCCACAGCGCTCCGTCGATGCCCGGCTCTCGTCGCCCTCGCGACCCGGCCCAGGCTCGCGGTGGCGCAGTGACACGCCAGCGCCCGACTCTTCTTCGTCTGATACGCCCGGCGCCACGCCTGCTGTCTCCTCGGCGAGCACCGGCACGCGTCACGCGGCAAAGACTGACTCCATGAGCAGCAGCACCAGCTTCAGCAGTGCGCTGGGCCCGGCAAGCGCCAGCCTCGGCAGCATGAACGGCAGCGCCAGCGGCTCAAGCAGCGGCTTCGAGGAGGCGTCCTTGCTTGCTCATCGGGCCAAGCTGACTGCGCAACTCGAGCGCCTGGGCCAGACGCTCTCGCCCGACCTGCAGGCCTCGCTTCGCCTGGCCGCGTGATGCTCTTCTCTATCCGGACGCCATCCTCACTCCCTGCGCAACAATTCTTGCGGCCCGCATCTTCCCGCCAGCACATCCACCGCACGGCTCTTCCTCATCCTCGCATACCCTGCGCCGCGGCAGCCCGCCTTGCGCACTGCACCTCTTCCCTGACCTCCGGATCGGAGGCGCTAGATCGGCTCTCATGAACGGTCGGCTGTGGCTATTACGCAATGCAAAGAGCACCTCCTCGGTGCAAAGTGTGTGGATGTGCGAGCTCACTTGGGCTTGGTGAAGAAGGAGCTGAGCTTCTGCTGCCCGGCCTTCTTCTTGTTGCCGGCCGATGCGGCGGCTGCCTTGGGCGGCGCTGCGGCAGCGGGCGCAGGCTTGGGTGCCGCAGCGGCAGCAGCGGCAGCGGCGGAGGCAGCCTTCGCTGCTCCGTTGGACGGGCGCGGCTTGGCGCGAGCGGTGGCACTGCTGGCCGCGTTGGGAGCCGCCTCATCGCCGGACTCCTCGGTGGTGTATTCCTCCTCGTGCGTGACGTCTCGCGTGACTGTTCGCATGTAGAGGTTAGCGACAGGCTAGGAAGCGGCCTCGAGCATGGACCGTTGCGCGAGAACAGCGACGACTCACCTCGGTAGCCCTTCTCGTTCTTCTCGGTGACCTTGCGCGTGACGGTGCGCGTCTTGCGCACGCGGCGCTTCCCTGTGCCGCTGCCGCCTGCGACAGCCGGCTGTGCAGCCGCAGCGCTTGTCGATGCTTTTGCTGCAGACTCCTTCGCCGGTGCGCTCAGCTGCGTGTCTTCGTCGTCTGGCGAAGGCGATCACGGGTGGGCACAGTTTAGCAAAGCGTTCTTCGACGCCGTGTCTGCTGGCAACTCACCATCCATGGCGTAGCCGATGCGCTCCTCCTCCTCGTCCTCGGCAGGCGCAGCATCGACGTCCATGGCCTCCACCGCATCCTCGTCCTCCTCATCAGACTCCACCACCATCTTCCTCTTGCTGGTGACCTTAGCACCCGCCTTGGCTGCGGGCGGCGGAGCCGGAGCCTTCGCACGACTCCAATCGAGGCTAGCCTTCTTGCCTGCTGCCTTCTGAGGCGCTGCGGCTGCCTCCTTCGCTGCGGCCGCCGGTTTTTGATCCGCGCTGGTCGAGCCGGCCTTGCTCTGCACACCCGCTGCGGGCACGGTGAGCGGCGCACTGCGCTGTGCTCCCGCCTGGTGATGGCGCTCGCCGATCAGCCTTCCGGCCGTCGTTGCAGACGGCTGCGCAACGCAATGACTCACCACCTTCTCCACTCCCTGCGCACGGATCACACCAAAGTCGCCCTCATGGTCCGGGCCCAGCTCATGCGCGCGGGTACGCAGGGCAGTGAGTGGACCAGCAGCGTCATGCTGCTTCGAGGAGGACGCAGCGGGCAGCAGGGCGTACAGCGTCTCAGACGGCGCCTGTGCGAACTTTGTGCGGGCATCTGTGGGCGCTGGCGTGAGCATGGCGAGCCGGCGGGGCGCCGGCCGGTCGCACGCACGCGCAAGCTGCGAGTCGGACACGAGGAGCATCTGGCGGGTGTTGGCCGCGCCCTCGACTGCCTCGGCCGCGGTGCCGGCGAGCAGCCAGACGGCCGGCGTCGGGAAGTCTTTGCGGTATGCGAGCATCTCGCTGTGCGGTGCTGCAGGATCAGCAGGCAGCTCCAGAGACGCAAGGCCAGCGGCGCACGCACGCGCGGGCATCGGCAAGCGGCAGGCGCAGCTGGCGCGAGAGGACGCGCACCGACACGGCCTGGCCGTCGTGCAGGCTGGTGCGCAGCTGCGAAGACGCCGCCATGCTGTGCGAGAGGTGGTGCAGGGAGTGGAGGGAGCGGCGAGCTCGAGGGATGGAGGCGGAGCGCAGGCAAGCGTCATCGACGGCGCGCCCCGTGCGGCGCTGCCTGCGGCCTGGGCGCGGCGCCCGCTGCCAGGCGCGCCACTTTACACGCTGCCGCGCGACGCGTCGTGTTGCTCTGCGCAGGGCTCGCGGTGCGGCGCCGGCTGCTCCTTCTCCACCCTCACATCCCTGCCGCGCCTCCTCTCCCACTCGTTCCGCCAGCCATGGCGCCCACGTCCACATCGTACGTCCATATCCGCACGTTTGAATTGCCCGCGCTGACGCCCCCCACAGCGATGTGCCCGCGGCGAAGCGCCAGCGCCTCTCGAGCACCGGTGCCGCCACGTCGAGCAAGGTGCCGCTGCAGCCCAGCAGCAGCGCCACGAATGGCGCCCACTCGCGCGCACAGGGCAAGGCCGGCGCGCCGAGCTTCGAGGAGACGCTCATCCGCATGAAGCACGAGGCGCAGGATGTGTGGGACGCAGGTCAGTCTTGCGATGCCATGGAGCGCAGCAGTGGGCCGCTTATCACTCCGCTGCGCAGAGCCTGCCGATCTGAGAGACACATGGCCACGGCCTGCGCTGCCGCCAATGGACCCGCGCTCTGACGAGCTCACGTTCCAGCAGATCGACATCGAGGAGCACCAGGTGCCGAATGCCGCGCCGCAGATCCGCATCTGGGGCGTCACAGCCACGGGCCACTCGGTGCTCGTGCACGTCTCGGCCTTCCTGCCGTACTTCTACATGCACGCCCCGCGCGGTTTCGTCGCCAGCGACTGCACAGCCTTTCTCAATCACCTCTGCGTGCGTGCTTGTGCTCCAAGCGTGGTGCTGCTTCGCTCGACTGACCCCTCTCGGCTGATCACAGACGCTCTTCGGCCGCGGCTCAGCCACCGCGGTGCAGCTACTCGCGCGCAAGAGCTTGATGCACTACATGGGCGACGCAGATGTGCAGTTCCTGAAGATCTCGGCGGGTGACCTGCGGGCGCTGAGCAAGATGCGAGATGAGTATCAGGCGCGGTTGTGAAGTGGCAGGGCCGCGGGATGGCGAAGGGCCGGAGCTCTGCAGTGCGCCGGTCAGACTGCTGCTGCGCTCGTCCCACTTCGGCAGGCAGGGCCGTGCGCGAGCTGCTGTGCCGAGTGCCCCCCTTGTCGCTGCGGCAGAGGCTGATACCGTGCTCCCCGTCCCCACGCAGCATCGAGCGCGGCGAGGTGTCCTTCCGCGACCTGCTCTCGGCGGGCGACTCGCAGCTGACGTACGAGAACATCGCCTACCCTCTGCGCTTCATGATCGACAAGGACATCGTCGGCATGAACTGGCTCACGCTGCAGCCCAACACGTACGCGCTGCGCTCGGAGAGCACCAAGATCTCGACGAGCCAGATCGAGGTCGACGTGCGGCCAGACGGCATCGTCTCGCACAAGCCAGACGGCGAGTGGAGCGCCACGGCACCGCTGCGCATCCTCAGCTTCGACATCGAGTGTGCAGGGAGGAAAGGCGTGTTTCCCGAGGCGGAGATCGATCCGGTCATTCAGATTGCCAGCATGGTCACGCGGCAGGGTGAGTGAGAAGCACCGCGCTGCACACTTCGCCGCACTGACACAGCTGAGCAGGCGAGTCGGCGCCGTTCATCAAGAACGTCATGACGCTCAACACCTGTTCGCCCATCGTGGGCACGCATGTGATGGACTTTCAGCGCGAGGTCGACCTGCTCGAGGCGTGGGCTAAGTTCGTGCAGACGGTCGACCCGGACGTGGTCATCGGCTACAACATCGCCAACTTCGACTTTCCCTACCTGCTCGACCGCGCCAAGGCGCTCAAGGCGACCAAGTTCCCGTACCTCGGGCGCGAGAAGAGTGCGTGCCGTGCGCCTCGCGCTGCACTGCAATGGTCTCTGACTCGCCTCCACAGACACAAAGACGGAGGCCAAGGACACGCACTTCTCGTCTAAGGCGTACGGCACGCGCGACAGCAAGAACACGGAGCTGCAGGGGCGCCTGCAGCTCGACATGCTGCAGGTCATGCAGCGCGACTACAAGCTGCGCTCCTACAGCCTCAACAGCGTGTCCTACGAGTTCCTCGGCGAGCAGAAGGAGGACGTGCACTTCTCGCTCATTACGGAGCTGCAGAACGGTGGTCCCGAGGCGCGGCGGCGACTGGCCGTCTACTGTCTGAAGGTGCGTCCTCAGCTGCGCTCTTGAGCAACAGGCGCTGATGATGTCTCATGCAGGACGCATATCTGCCGCAGCGGCTGATGGACAAGCTGATGTGCTTCATCAACTACGTCGAGATGGCGCGTGTGACGGGCGTGCCGTTCAACTACCTCCTCTCGCGCGGCCAGCAGATCAAGGTCGTCTCGCAGCTCTTCCGCAAGGCCAACGAGGACCACTACCTCGTGCCGGCGCACAAGGGCGAGGGTGAGTAGCTCCTGCGACCGTCATGCGGCTCGGCTGCTGACGCGGCGACGCAGGCACCGACGATCAGTACGAGGGCGCCACGGTGCTGGAGCCGAAGCAGGGCTACTACGACGTGCCGATCGCCACGCTCGACTTCGCCTCGCTGTACCCGTCAATCATGATGGCGCACAACCTGTGCTACACGACGCTGCTCACCAAGCCCACGATCGACCGCCTCGGCCTCGTCAAGGACAAGGACTACGTCATGACGCCGAACAACAGTGCGTCGGGCGACGCTGTGCGTGTGACTCTCTCCGCTGACGCATCACCACGACAGACTTCTTCGTGAAGCCAGGCGTGCGCAAGGGCCTGCTCCCGACGGTGCTGGAGGACCTGCTCGGCGCGCGCAAGCGTGCGAAGGCGGACCTCAAGAAGGAGACGGACCCGTTCAAGCGCGCCGTGCTCGACGGCCGGCAGCTGGCGCTGAAGGTCAGCGCCAACTCGGTGTACGGCTTCACCGGCGCCACCGTCGGCAAGCTGCCGTGTCTGGAGATCTCGATGAGTGTCACGGCCTACGGTCGCCAGATGATCGAGCAGACGAAGACGGCCGTCGAGTCGCGCTACACGATCGCCAATGGCTACGAGCACGACGCCGAGGTCGTGTACGGCGACACCGACTCGGTGATGGTCAAGTTTGGCGTCTCGGATCTGGCGCGCGCGATGGAGCTGGGCGCCGAGGCGGCCGATATCGTCTCGGCCACATTCGTCAAGCCCATCAAGCTTGAGTTCGAGAAGGTCTACTTCCCCTACCTCCTCATCTCGAAGAAGCGCTACGCCGGCCTGTACTGGACGAACGCGGAGAAGTACGACAAGATGGACACCAAGGGCATCGAGACGGTGCGCCGCGACAACTGCCGCCTCGTCCGCATGGTCATCGACACGTGCCTGCGCAAGATGCTCATCGACCGCGACGTCAAGGGTGCAGAAGAGTAAGTCGCACTGCCACGTGATGCGCTCGGTAGATGTAGGCTGACCTCCGGCGCGCGCTCTTCAGCTTCGTCAAGCAGGTCATCTCGGACCTGCTGCAGAACAAGATCGACTTGAGCCAGCTCGTCATCACCAAGGCGCTGGCCAAGGCCGACTACGCCGCGAAGCAGGCGCACGTCGAGCTGGCCGAGCGCATGCGCAAGCGTGACGCTGGCTCGGCACCGGCGCTCGGTGACCGTGTGGCGTATGTCATCGTCAAGGGCAGCAAGGGTGCGGCGGCCTACGAGAAGTCCGAGGACCCGCTGTACGTGCTCGAGCACAACATCCCGATCGACACGCGCTACTACCTCGACAACCAGGTGCGAGCGCTGCGAGGTGCGAGTTGACACGCGATGCTGATGTGCTACCTCCTCACAGCTGGCGAAGCCCCTGATGCGCATCTTTGAGCCAATCTCCGGCGCAGGCGCCAAGGGTCTGCGTGCGTTGCGTTGTCTGGCTCCAGAGAGGCATCATGCTGACAACTTCCGCTCCCTGCAGTCAATGGCGCGCACACGCGCAGCGTCCAGGTCGCCACCTCGACGGTCGGCTCGCTGATGAAGTTCGCCGTCAAGACGGCGCAATGCCTCAGCTGCCGCACGCCGCTGCCGGCCAAGCTTGGCGGTGAGTCTTTGCATGCTGCCAGCGCTTCGAGGCTCCGGCTCACACGCGCCTCGCAGATGCTCCCGTGTGCGAGCGATGCCGCCCGAAGCTGCCCGAGATCTACGCCGAGAAGGTGAGCTGCCTTCGCAACCCTCGCAAACGTCCGCTGCGCCCGTGACTGACGCTGCACCCCACACTCAGCTGATGCGCGCCTCAACACTCGAGGAGGAGTTTGCGCGCCTCTGGACGGGCTGCCAGCGCTGCTCCGGCACCGTGACGCAGGACGTGCTGTGCAGCAACTCGGACTGTCCTGCGTTCTACTCGCGCCGCCGCGCGCAGAAGGACGTCGAAGAGGCCGAGCGCGTGCTGAGCCGCTTCGACACGACATGGTGATGGCGCGCCGGCTCACACGCCGCGGCCGTGTCTCCCTTTGCCCCTCGTCCTGGTAGCCCTGCGTCACTGTCACTCTCTTTCCTCTGAATCTCGCCAGACCTCTACTTGTACTACCACCGCATCCGATCGTCGCGCACCCACCTCCCACGCCCAGGGACTCCTCAATGCACCTCGTCCATCATCGAGCATACGACGTCATCTCAGGCAAGCACGACAGGCAAGCAGTAGGTGCGCGAAGCTGGGTATCCATTCATGCGTGAGATGCTGCGTTGTCAAGATGGGGGAGGGAGGTGAAGAAGAAAGGAGGGGAAAGGTGTGCGGATGAAGGCCGCGCCTGTGCGCGACAGGGACACAGCGCCACGCTCGCGGGACCGGCGCAAGCAGGCCCTCGACGAGCGCGCGTGGAGAGAAGGATAGAGGGTAGAGGAGGAGGTCTAGTGTGTAGTGTGCGAAAGAAAGAGTCTATTGGATGTCGAGTCTTGAGATCGATGTGAAGAGGGTGACACGGGATCCCAAGGGTTGGTTTGAGTCGGACGAGGGCGAGGCAGCATGAGTGAGGCCTCGTGGAGACTCTTCTTTTTTCGCTCGTAGAGGAAGAGAGAGGGGGGTGCCCAGGCTCATCGGCCGGCCTGGGCTTTTGAGATGGGTGCTCGGAAGGGAAAGGATGGAGAGAGGGAGGGAGTCGCAGCAGGTTGATGAATGACGATACCGGGGCGAAGGATGCGAAGACGCGCGTGCGCTTGATGCACGCGCTCGGAGAAGAATGAGGAGGGCGCGAGAAGGCGAAGATCGAAGGCGAGGAAGAGGACGGATGGGCATGGGGCTTGCTTCATGAGATGCGTTGTGGGCACTAGCTTGTGCCGCACACCCGCTTACCACCACGACGGGCCGCCGCTGCCGCCGCCGTACGAGCCGCCGCCACCGCTGGCCGGCGGTGGGCCGCCGAACGCGCCGCCGGCGCCGCCGTAGCCACCGCCGTAGCCGCCGCCACCGCCGCCAGCAGCCGAGCCACGGGCGTCACGGCCAGCGAAGCCGCCGCCGCCGCTGGAGCGCATGGGAGCGCGCGACGAGCCGCCGCGGCCACGGCCGCCGCTGCGGAAGCCACCGCCTCCGCCGCCGAACGCGCTCTCGCGCGCCACGGCCTCAAGCCACGTCGGCACCTCCTGGTTGGCCTCCTTGAGCAGCTCGAGCATGTCGCGCACAATGTTGCGGTTGCCGCGGTTGAAGAAGGCCGTGGCGTGGCCGGTGTTGCCGGCACGGCCCGTGCGGCCGATGCGGTGCACGTAGTCGTCAATGTCCGACGGCAGGTCGTAGTTGACGACGTGGGTGACGTTGGGAATGTCGAGACCACGCGCGGCGACGGCCGTGGCGACCATGATGGGCGTGCGGCCCGTGCGGAAGAGCTCGAGGGCGCGCTCGCGCTCCTTCTGCGTGCGGTCGCCGTGGATCGACGTGGCGCCGATGTTGGAGCGCAGCAGGAAGTCGGAGAGCGTGTCGGCCATGCGCTTCGTCTCGACGAAGATGAGCGTGAGGCCGCCCGTGGGCATCGAGGCCAGCACGTCGAGCAGCACGCTGCGCTTGTCGTCGTCCTCGACGTACTCGACCTTCTGCGTGATGTTCTCCGACGTCGAGCCGACACGGCCGACGGAGAGGAACATGTACTCCTTCAGGAAGTCCTTGGCGAGGATCTGGATCTCGCGCGGGAACGTGGCCGAGAACATGAGCGTCTGGCGCTCCATGACGCCCGGCATGTCCTCGCCCTCGACGATGCGGCGGATCTGCGGCTCGAAACCCATGTCGAGCATGCGGTCGGCCTCGTCGAGCACGAGGAAGCGCACGTTGGCGAGCGAGATGCGGCCGCGCTCGATGAGGTCGACGAGACGGCCGGGCGTGGCCGAGAGCAGGTCGCAGCCGCGCTCAATCTGCCGCAGCTGCGAGCCAATGTCGGCACCGCCGTACACGACGGCGGGCTTGACCCAGGAGCGGTAGGTGAACTTGCGCGCCTCCTCGTGGATCTGCGAGACGAGCTCGCGCGTCGGCGCAAGGATGAGCGTCGTGGGGAAGGCCTTGCGCCGGCCGAAGCCGCCGTTGGCCATCTCTGCCGGCGGCGGCGGCGGGCCGTGCGTGAAGAGAGCAGAGAGGATCGGGAAGAGGAAGCCGCCCGTCTTGCCGGAGCCGGTCTGGGCACAGCCCATGAGGTCACGGCCCATCTCGACGATGGGGATCGAGTACTTCTGCACGGGCGTCGGCGTCGTGTAGCGCGCCAGCAGGATGTTCTCGAGCAGGTGCGCGTCGATCGGCGGCGACGTGAACTCCGTCACCGCCTCGGGCGCATCGCGGCCCGAGACGTCGACGGGAATGTCGCCGTACTTGTCGAAGTTGATGCCCGACGACTGGTGCTGGCCGTCGCCGGCCTCGCCGAAGAGCTCCTTCTGCAGGCGCGCGTTGGGCGCACCAATGACGTGCACGCCATCGCGCCAGGCACCGACGCCCGAGCCACCGCCGCCGCCGCTGCTGTACGAGTTGCCGCCGAAGCCGCCGCCACCGCCGCGGCTAGGCGCAGGCGCAGAGTCCCAGCCGCCGGCGCCGGCGCGCGAGGCCAGGCCACCGCCGGGCGCACGCGGCGGCGGAGCGGCAGCAGCGGCACCGCCGCCGTTGCTCTGGAAGGCCGCGGGCGCGGCAGGCGCACGCGAGGCGCCCAGCGCCGGGAAGCCATTGCTGGCGCCGTTGGCCGGAGCAGCCTGGTGCGGCGCAGGCGCACTGAGAAGAGCACGACGATGAGCTTAGGCCTGCGCAGAGGAAGAGTGCAGGATGACTCACCGAGGCGTGAAGGCCGGCGCCGTCGACGAGAGGCCGTTGCGCAGGTGCGGCGGCACGTAGGCCGACTTGGGGCGGCCACCCTCGCCGCCCGAGACGTTCATGTTCGCTGGAAAGGAGCGTGTCAGCAGGCAAGACGAGGGCAAGAGGGTGGCACAAGGCGGCGCGTGCGGCGGGAGAGCGCAAAGACGCAGCCACTCAGACCAGTGGGACTGGCATCTCGCCAACCTACAAAGCAGCAGCGCTATAGCAATGCACAATGGCAGCACAGCATGCCGCAGCGCTCCTCGCCACGTACAACCATCATACGCTCAAGCGACCCGAGCGCGTGACCCTTCGTGCCTCAGATCTCTTGCGCCGCTCCAGCACGGCACCGCCACCTCCATGTGCACTCTGCGCGGCTGCTCACCAAGCTTGCTGGCGGCACCATCGACGCCCTTGTCGGCCGCGGGCGCTGCGTTGGCAGCGGCGGGGGAGCGAGTGGCAGACTCGTACGTCATTCGTGAGGGAAGAGAGGAGAGGCGATTAAAGGGCGTGGCAGAGAGTGCAAGAGAGACACAGACAGAAGGACAGGACCGGAGAACGAGTGCTGTGGGGTGTGTGTGTGCGTGGTGGGTGGGGTAGAGAGAGAGGTGCGAGCGCTGCTGCGCTGCTCGTCATCCATGCCACCGCCACGCGCTGCTGCTGCGCACTCCGACTGGCAACGGCTCGCAGCCGCCGTCGTTTGCGCTGCGCCGCGCGTTTTCGCGACGCGGCTAGTGACAGGCACGGCACAAAGGACACTGGCGGCGTGCCCTCTCTTCTGTGCCCTCATGCGACGCGCGGCGCAAGGTCTGCCGAGGTGGCGAGGCAGAATTTCCAGGTCCTGCGCACGTGACCCCTCCTCTCATAAAAGTCTCGTCGAGTGAGGCCGTGGACAGGGACGCCGTGCCCTGCGTGGCTGAGCAATCTTTTGAGGCGCTGAGGTGGAGCGAAGGAGCCGCTCAGGCCTTGCGCCTCCTCTCCGCATCGGACCTCGCACAGCTCATCACCCAGCCTCTCTCTGCACGCGGCTTCTTTCCTCACCTCATCTCGTGTTCACACACCACTCGCGCTCTCCGCTCCTGTATCGATGGCGAGCTCATCAACGGCGCACGGCAGCGCCTCCACCGCGCACATCTCCTCCACCGCCGCCGCCGCCGCTGCCGGCAGCACGACGATGGCCACGACGCACTCGGCACTGCCGCCCGCCGTGCCGCAGCCGGAACGCAGGCGGGAACAGAGGGCAAGGCCGCACGGATGGGTCCACTTTGCTGCAGGAGGGTGAGTAGTGCATCGTGGCGAGAGCGAGTGCGTAGCACACACAGGACGGGATCAGACGTGGAGAGATGCAGCCGGGAGCCTCGCATGGAGAGAAGAAGACTGGAGCAGCTGCAACGCGCTGTGCACAGCTGCCAAGCGCTGCATCGACTGCCAAGCCAGAGCTTGCTGTCAGCGTAAGGCGCAGCCGGTGTCTGCTCGCGCTGTCCCGCTGCGTGAGCAAAGAGGCAACAGGCATGTGCGCCTTCAGTCGCCGAGACGCACTCGGCGCGCTGGGCGAGGTCAGCTGTTGGGTAGGGCATGCTGTCTTGGCGCCACCTGGCCCCGCTGCGCTGGTCGAAATGTGCCAGTGGCGCAGCTGGCTCTCTGCGTACTGCCGCCAGGCTTGCATGGACGGCGAAGTCGGCGGACCTCGAGCGGTAGACTCCAGGTAGCACTGGCATCAGAGCCAGGCGCTGCACAGATCATGAGCGGCACCTGCCTCTGCTTTCGGTCTGCTCGGGCCGGTCTTGTCGCTCCCAGGTCTACGCTGCCCGCTCGCCCTGCTGACGCCGTTCGCTTCATAGAGTGGCGGGCATGTGCGGCGCCATCGTCACGTCGCCACTAGACGTCGTCAAGACCCGTCTCCAATCGGACCTGTTCCGGCCCGTCACCTCTCCTCGCTCCACCGCAGCAGCCGCCTCGGCAGCTCGGAGTAGCGGCGCCTTCTCCCAGACACGGCGTCTCGCGTATCACTTTGTCGAGACGGCACAGCTGCTGCGCACCATCGCTACCCGCGAGGGTCCACGGGCGCTCTTCCGAGGCCTAGGCCCGACGCTGCTCGGCGCTGTGCCGGCGCGCTCCATCAACTTTTATACGTACGGCAACGGCAAGGTGTTCCTTGCTGAGCACCTGAATGGCGGGAAAGAGTCGCCGGCGGTACATCTGGGCGCGGCAGCACTGGCGGGTGAGTCATCGCGCCTGCGACTTCGCAAGGTTAGCTCGTGCTGACAATCGCTGCTCAAGGCATCGTCACTGCGACGGCGACCAATCCGATCTGGGTCGTCAAGACGCGCCTGCAGCTCGAGGCATCGGCCGCTGAGCGTTCGCTCGAGACTGCGCGCAACGCTGCTGTGGGGCGGCATGCCTCCTCATCAGGCGCAGCTCCCGCCGCCTCTCGCTCTCTCAGCACCTCTGCGCTAGCCGCGACCTCAGCCATGCGTGGCGCCTCGCTGCAAAAGTCCTTCTTTGCCGGCTCGAACCCGTCCGTGCCGCGCTCGTCCAGCACGCAGATGGTGCTGCACATCGTGCGCTCCGAGGGCATCCCCGGCCTGTACCGCGGCATGAGTGCCTCGTATCTCGGCGTCGTGGAGGGCACCATCCAGTGGGTGCTGTACGAGAAGCTCAAGCGCTGGGAGAGCAAGAGTGAGGGCGAGGAGAAGCGGCAGGGCTTGCGCACTACGATCGGAGCAGCGGGCACGGCGAAGCTCATCGCCAGTCTCATTACGTATCCCCACGAGGTGAGTCCTGCGCTACGTCGCATCCTGCTCTGCTTACTGACGCTCGCTCCACGCAGGTGCTGCGCACACGCATGCGGCAGCAGCCCTCGCCGGGCGAGGTGGCAAAGTACACGAGTCTGCGCAAGACGATCGTCTGCGTCTGGCGCGACGAGGGTGCCGCGGCGCTCTACGGCGGCCTCAGCGCGCATCTGCTGCGCGTCGTGCCGAACGCTGCCATCATGTTCTCCGTGTACGAGCTGGCGCTGTGGCTCGCTGCGCCGCCGCCGTCGTAGCCCCCGTGCCGCACCGCTACACCCTTCCAACACGCTATTATCGACCACCGCTCTTAAGCCCCCACTCGCTGGACCTCACCTCGCTCGTCTCTCTGGTTGCATCCGTCACCTATCTACACAGCCTCCGCGCAATGACACCACTTCGCTACTCAGCATCCCTCAGTGCATCCTAGTCTTATGAAATCGAAGGCCTGGCTGAAGTGGACTCAGCCCGACAACGGGGCATTTGCTCGCACCCGGCCCGCCCCGGCGAGGAGACGCTCCGACGCGGGCCGGCCCACGTGCTGGTAGTAGTTCAGGCGATGTGTGATGCGCACTGGCGAAGAGCTTCCCATGAGCAGCAAGAGGTGCAGCCGAATTTGATCTCGTATGTGCCTCCGTCGAGCAACTTTCCACCGTCATGGAGAAGGCGAAAGAATGCTTCTTCCTCTGTGAGCACACGGATGAGCGAGACGCCGAAGCAGGAAGAGGCGCCACTGACGGGCGTAACGATATTGCTCGAGGTCCGGTCCGTCCCCGTAGTCGACCAGCTCTTTGAGGAAGTGGTACTCGGTCTCACGAGTGTAGAGGCACACATTTTTCCTGTTGAGTCTGCTTCAGAGACTGGACGCAGTGGCGTAAAACAAGCCAGCTCAGCTAGCTTACCAAAACTGTGCGACAGTAATCGGACAGTCCTTCTTGTTGCTAATCTCGACTCTTGGGTTCTCGGTGTCGTCCGACGCAAGCCTATTGCGCACCATGCAGGACTTGTCAAAGCGGTCGAATGACTGTTGTATGTCACAGTCAGACAGGCGCTAGGGACATGCGTAGCGGAACGCGAGATTACCTTGCAGTCGCGAATGATCATCTTCGACACCCTGAGCTGGCTTCAGCCGATTTTGCACCTCAAATGTCGCCAATCTTGCCCCACTCACGGAGGCTCTGTTGCATTGTCGCCCACCGCGGCCAGCGTGTGAAGGTAAGGCATGCGACGTGCCTCTTGGAAACACGGGAAGTCACAAGCCGAGCCTGGCTCAGAACAGTACTCCTCGTTGTCCCAGTATCCGCACGCAGGGTCCCCAGAGTAGGCGTGAATGCGCTCGTACGGCGTTGCAAACATGAAGCCCATGCTGACGAGTGGGTGCAGCTTGAGCTCGCCCTCTTGCAGACCTGTGAGCTTTGCGACATCGACCTTGGCCGTGCGAAAGAGCTTCGCATCGAAGGCAGGATGAGTCCCAATGAGGTCTGCAAACGTCTTGCATGTGCGCTTGAGCAAGGATCAGACGTCGTGCGCAAGGAGAAAGAGCACATCCACTCACCTTGATTCCGCGCAGCTCACGCCCGTCGAAGTGCAGCAAGATCTCCAGCAGTAGTTCAAGCGGCAGCGAAAGCAGCAAGGGCATGGCTGAGTTGCGCGGCGGCAGGCGGGGTGTGGTGGTTGCGTGTGAAGTTGCTGCCGAAGGCCGGCGAGGCCTGCGTCTTCATCATCTGCGCACGGCGGCGCATGATGATGCCGCTGGCGGCGGCGGCACCCCTGAGCGCCGAGTTCCCACGGCGGCCCAAGCTCTCGCTCTGCTTTGCCTCGGAGCGGCCAGCTCGTCTTGCCCAGCCTCACCTCGGCTATGGCAGCAGGCTGCACGGATGGCCACAGAGCTGAAGCGATGGCAACTCATCTCGACACTGGCCTGGGACTGAACGCGGTTGCCGCATCGCACACGCGCTCTGCGCAATGAGTGTCACGCCTGTCACGCACGCGCACTGACGCTCTCTTCCCTCCCACTGTTCGATGACTCTCTCTGCCTTCGCTGCCATTGACCGAGAACAAGTGTGGACACGGGCGCTGATATGCAATGAATTTGCAGGGAGACTGGCGCGCAGGAGCATCGACCGACGCGACTAGCCTGGATCTATGGCCGACTTGGGCTCGATGTGGCTTCTCGAGTACATGTCGACACTCATGCTCGTCCTTCAGCTTCTCGAGTCTTGCACGAGATGGTGAGCCGTCCTTGCGAGCGCGGCTTCTGCGCGAGCAACGAGGTCGACAGACTGAAAGAGTACGGCAGCTCAATTGCGATGTCAGCACAGCCTCATTGTCTGAACTGGAAGAATGCACGGACATCTTCTATCAGGTAGTTCGGCAATTCATCCCAGTCGGCCTTGACATACTCTTTCAACTTTTTGTCTATCTTTGTTTTGACCTGGCCGGCGTAGAAGCAGTAGCAGCGCCTGTGGTGTGTCAGTTGGCAGCAACGGAGCCGAGCGCTTGAGCGAAGACAAACTCTCACCAGAACTGCTCGACAGAAATCGGCCGGCCATCCTCGTTATGGATTTGGAAGCGACCGACCATGCTCGACTTGCGAACGAGCTTGTAGTTTCTCGTCTCCAGCGACGTGCGCTACGGCGCGAAATTAGTATGACACTCAGAGGCCAGACGAGTGACCTACCGGGTCAGTGACCGTCATGTGCGAGACCCTGCAGCTGCGTCAGAAAGCCCATGCGCGGTTCTACAGGCGACTCGACTCACGGAGGGTCTGTGGCATTGTCGCCTGCCGCTGCCAAGGAAGCCAGGCGTGGCTTGTGCTCATCCTCGGAGCGGCTCGCGAGAAAGTCGCAGTCGGCCGCGTCGCTTCCTGCAGCGGGAAGTTCCTCGTAGCTGATCTCGAAGTGGGCTTTGATGAGGATGAGAGGATGCAGCTTGAAATAGTGCTCGCCGCTCCAGGTGCGGCTCCTCTCAACGGCCTTCACTTTCAGGAAGCTCCATCCCTGTGAGCGGAAGCACGTCAGCTGGCACTGGCGCTGAGACGTGCCTGGTGGTACGCACGAGCTCCGGGATCAGTCTGAGCGGGAGGCTAAGCGGGACTCGCGAGGTCTCTGTGGAACGCGCCCTGCGGGCCGTGTACAGCTCGAGGCCTCGTTGCAGGAGCGCTGCATCTACGTCCCTGGTGCGGAACATCAGTCCGTCGAACTTTGGCTCATCGATGAGCGCACTGAGGTGCTGGCAGGTGCACTGGGCGATGATGAGCGCCCGCAGGTCTCGTCTGGCGCGGATGATGTGCCGCACTCACTTTGAGGAGCCGCAGAGCGAGGGGCGTGCAGTACAGAAGAACCTCGATGCGCAGCTCGACAGGCAGCGAGAGCAGCGATGCCATGGCGCCGACGGATTCGGTAGCGAGGAAGCGGCAGTGTTCTGCACTGGAGCTGCACTGGAGCTGCGTGTGAGCGTCAGCATTGCGCTCTGTCGGCGGGCCAGCGTGACATGTGACGAACCTGCGAGCGAGCGTGGCACAGGAACACGACGGACGGGCGGTGGTGGGCAGAAGGGGGTGGTGGAGGACGTGAGCGAAGCTGTGGACCGCATGACGGGTCCGTCTCCGCTTCTCGGCTTGTGACGAGTCGGCTGCCTGCACATGCGCTGCCGACTCGACTGCCGTTGCTGCTTGCGGCACCGCCTCGAGGCGAGTTGACATGGCTCGCGCGCGTCTGCCTGCCGCTTTCGCCACGCGTCGCGTCAACACCATGTGTCCGAGAGCTGCGTGCTGAGCGTCCGAGCTCCTCTCGCGGCAACGCTCGCATCGCAGGGCGCCAGCTTTCGCTACGCAAGGCCGCTACGGCCGTCGCAACATGCCAACAACTCATGCCAAGTCGGCTGAGCGAGCGAGCGAGCGAGCGGACAAGCTCCCCGAATTCACGCACGGTGGCTGCTGAGTGTCCTGTGCGGCAGGACTCATCTCCCACATGGCGCGGTCTTGGAGTAGTAGAAGTACAAATGCTGATTTGAGACATGATGCGAGAGCTCGGGAAGTGAGGGCAGTCGGGCAGATCACCACTCGTAGCCAAAGAAGCCCGCTGTGTAGCCATTAGCGTCCGTGTCATCGGAGCCCCCGTCGGGGTGAATCCAAGCCTCATACTTTCCATCCGCCACCACCTTTTCATGCTCCAAGCCCACCAGCTTGAAGCGGAAATCTTGCTGAGATCCTGCGTCAGCGTCATCTTCAGTGCAGCTGCGAAGTGCTGCGCACATATGTTTCGAGAGCGCTCTAGACCGTACTGAGTGAGCTCTGGCTCGATGACACGCTCCGGGCGACACACCTTGTTAGCGTGCTTGGCGAAGAAGGAGAAGCATTTCCTGGGGCGTGTCAGTTGCGAGCACGTAACATGGGAGACTAGATGCCTGCCCACCAGAACTGCTCGACCGTGATCGGCTCGTCGCCTTCGCTGCGAATGACCATTGTAGAGTGCACACGGCGACGCTGCACTTTGCTCGTGTTCGTCGTGCGGATTGCAGCTAGGTACTGCGATTTGAGATGAGAGGTAAGCGCCAGGTCAAGCACAGAAGCACGCGGCGCACTAGAACGTCCTCAATTGTCATTTGAGCGACCCTGCAGGCGTCCGAGTCAGTTGAGTCTTCGCAAGGGAGCAGAACAACACTCACGGGGGATCGGTGGCATTCTCTTTTGAGGCCGCCAGGCAATGCAGACGCTGCCTTCCCTGCTCTACGCTTGCGTCCTTGTCGTCGTCGTCGCAGCGAGACACGCCGATGCCCTCATATTCACGATCGAAGCTTCCGTCAGAGCAAGCGCGGCTGAGCCCTTACCTTCATGATCCGGAGGACAAGAGTGTCGCAGTACAGGAGAACCTCGGTGAGGAGCTCAACAGGGAGCGACAGCAGCGAAGTTGGCGCCGACATGGCGAGGAAAGGACGAGGTGTCGAAGCACGGCGCTGCTGATGACAAGCAACGTGAGCACGACAGCTCGTGTAGAGGGGAAATCAACTCACATGTGAGGCGCGAGCAGCAACGACGCTGGCACGTACGCGGACTCGTCGACAAATCGGCGTTGATGGAGCGTCAAAGGACGTTGACTGCGCAGCGTGAGTTGGAGTACGCGGCGACAAGCAGGCGCGCGTCAACGTACACCACAAGGCTGCAACTGAGCGACGGCGTGCGACAGAGCGTGTGAGAGGTGCAGTAGACGGGACGGAGGAGCGAATGCGGTCGTCAGATGAGGGTGTGGTGGTCAAGAGCAAGTCCTGCGCCGCCGCATGCCTGCACGTCTAGCCGAGCGCGCGCGCCGCGCGAGGTCCCGTGACGCCACCGCACAGCGAATACATCAGCTCAGCCAGCAGCAGTCTCGAGCCTGCAGGTGCGTCTTGTAGGACGCATGGGCAGCAATGCCCTCCTGATCACGCTCGGTCCACCGTGCTGAAGTGCTGCAGTATTCCCGCCAGCGCAAGGCACGTCCCACAGCCCGCCGCTCGACGCGCTCGACGCGCACGACGCTCGCCGACTGAATCGTGCAGTGCAGCGCAAGGGATAGTTGAACTAGGGCGGCCAGGTCTCGCTTGCTTCAGCGATTGCGGGCGTGATGAGTGGGGGCAAGGCAGCCAGCAAAAGCGTGCAGCTGCTGCCACAGACCTCGTCAGGCTCCAGCGGCCTGGCAAGCGGCTCACGCCGTGGTCGGGCCCGACGTCAGATATGATGGCTGCTGAATCTCATTGCCGTTGCTGCAACATCTTCTCGATCTGCTACTCCTCTTCCTCCTCGACCATTCCATCCTCCCCTCCGTTCTCCGCTTGCTCGTCCCCTTCGCCTTCCTGTGCGTCAGACTCCGCATCCCCATCTCTTGCAAACCAGCGATCCTCATCGCTCTCGCTTCGGAACCAGCAGGCTATGCAGCCACAGTGATCTCTGTGCTTGCAGTAGCCGCACGAACACATCTTGGCGTCGTCGGAATCAGTCAGAGTCTCATCAAACTCGTCAACGCCAACCTTGCGGATGAGATAGCGGCCGTTTGCTTGCAGCTCAGCAGGAGACGTTGCAATGCTAGTCAGCCTCTTTGCCTCGCGGATGCGAACGTGAGGTAGGCTCTGTGGAGGTGATATAGTCAGTCAAAGCGTCAGACAGGGTGGCTGAGGGTCACACTGACGTCTGCGGTGCTCACCAGAACTGCGCAACGCTAATCGGCTTGTTGTCCAGGTTCTTGATCTCAAATTGTGCCCGCCTTGCGCGAGTCGAGATGATCTTGCCGTTCTTCATGACAAGCGTCTTGGGCACCATGCTGAAGGACTGAACGGCGCCGCAAGTGAGCAAAGAGATGTGCTGGCCGACGCAAGCAGACTGACGCCTTCAACACAACTCTGTGTGAGCTGGCGTCAGCGCGTAAGTCAGATGACGCAGGCTCTGGCTCACTGTGTCAACAAGCACAAGTTCAGAGACGCTGCAAGGCAACAGAGGTCAGAAAAGGAGTACAGTGTCAGCATCCGACTCACGGAGGCTCAGTTGCATTTTCATCAGCGGCTGCATGCATGTGAAGCAGTGGCAAGGGCTCGACAGCCTCGCCGCTCTTCTCCCTCGGCTGCGGGTCACAGCTGTCGCAGAGCTCCTCAAGCCGGGTGCATTCACTGCAGTGAGCTTGTCGAACGCGCATGTTGTGGTAGCGCTCGCCGAAGATGAACCTCATATTGAGAAGCTCGTGCTTCTGGAGCGGTCCGGTGAGATTGCTGAGCGGCTCGAACATGAAGTAATAGTCATCAATGAAGGTAAAACGCTCCATGCTCTTTTGTGTGGCAAGTGTGAGCACACGTCAGTAGTTGTTGAGCAATGCAAGCCGCTCACCGTATTCAGCTCCTTCAGTAGATAACACATGGCCGGCGTGCCCTGATGGCGCTGCACTGCACTCTCGAGCGCAGCCATGTCGACCGTCTTGGTGCGAAACAGAAGCTTGTCGAAGGCAGAGCTGTTGATGACGGTGTTGAAGGCCCGGCAGGTGCGCTGCGAGCCTGATCAGCACGCACTCCAGCTCTGCTGTGCACTCAGACTCACCCTGAGAACGCGCAGCTGGTGCCCGTCACCGCACCAGTCCGGCAGTATCTCAATCTGCAGCTCGACGGGAAGCGAGAGGAACGAAGTCATATCGCGCGTTGCGAGAAGGCTGGGCACCGCGGCAGTGGCACGCTGCGAGGGGCCGAGAGCACTCAGCAGATTGCGGCTACATGACAGATGCATGAACGCGCGCAACGCACCTCGCAGTCGGCAAGAAGGAGGCCGGCGCCTGCGCTGCTGCTGGCTCGTGCGCGTGTGCAGTAGCGCGACGAGGATGTGTGCGCAAAAGAGCGCAGCGGCAAGGAAGCGGCAGCAGATGGGCAAACGACAGAGCAGAGAAGGGTGTGGAGGTGGTAAAGCAAGATGGCTGCGCTGCGCCTGACATCATGGCTCGATGGCGGCGCCGGCACGCCTCCTGTGCCGGCCGAAGGAGGCAATTGTGCTCGACATGAACCCGTCGCGGCGCAGCACTGGGAACGCCACGGCCGGCCTGCCTCTTTAGTTTGGCCGCCGCGGCGGGCCACGGACACCGGCGCGTCGGGCGCTGTGCACATGGCCCCTGTCACGACGCAGGCAGCCAAAAGCTGACGCTGTCGCTTGAGCTTGCTGCAGCTCTGTGGCAACGAGCATCGAGGTGCAGATGCGCAAATTAATGCTTGCGGCTGATCGATGCGCTCAGACTGATGCTGGCTCAAGCGTGGGTGCGGCGCGTAGAGGGGCAGGGAGGCACGCCGCGCGTCTTGCGCGACGCAGGCAAAACACCAACACCGCGGCGGCGACGCGTGCCCGAATGCCGCCGCGCCGCCTCGCTGCTGCTCAGCCTGCCGCACCTCTCTCACACCTCCTCCTCACCGCTGCTCCATCTCACCCGGCGCACGCGCCCTCATGCCCACCGCCTCGTCTGCGCGCCGGCGATCCTCCGGCCTCGGGCACAGCGACTTTGACTCGCCCGACGTGCTCGCACGCCCACGCCGCAGCGACGCCGGTGCTCTCGCCACGCCCACGCCTGCCTCGTCGCGCCAGCCGCTGCGCAGCACAGCGCCCAACGGCGGCCCGCCAGCTGCGCCTGTGCGCGCCGCAGACGCCCGCAAGCGTGCCGCCATGCCGGCGCCGCGCAAGAGCGCAGCACGGAAGAGCGAAGATGCAGCGCCGCCACGTCGGGCTGCCGCTGGTGCCGCACGACGCGTCGTAGACTCGGACTCGGACGACGAGCTGGCGGGGGGCGATGATGCGTACGGCGAGGAGGACGAGGGCGACACGACGATACAGAGTGCGCCGCGCCGCAAGGCCGCAGCTGCACCCACGCCAGTCGAGACGAGCAGCCGCACGCAGATGGTGCCGCTGCAGACCAAGCCGCGTCTGCCCGGCGGCGGCGTGTCGGCGCTGGCACGCTCGCGCATGGCGTCGTCCGGCGCCGGCACGGCTGGCTTCGCACGGCGAGGCGCGCCCTCGTCCTCGGACGCTGCGCCGCATCCCTCTTCCTCGTCGGCCTTCACCGACACTTCGACTCGCTCGCGAGGTGGTGTCGCCGCACTGGCGCGAGCGAACGGGCCGCGCCGCAGCCTCGGCGCGTCGCTGCATGTGCAGGCCGGCAACGCCAGCGCCAGCCACGAGGCGCAGGCCAAGGAGGTGCAGAAGCTCAACGTCGACTCGACGAGCTTCGAGGAGTGGATGAAGATGGCGACGGACAATGTGAGTGCGCTGCTGCGAAGCACCTCTCCAGTTGCTGACACGCGCCGCAGAAAATCAACGCGAGCAACACGTGGAACTTTGCGCTGATCGACTACTTCCACGACATGTCGCTGCTGCGCTCCGAGTCGGGAGACGGCAGCATCAACTTCCAGAAGGCGTCGTGCACGCTCGACGGCTGCATCAAGGTGTGGACGTCGCGCGTGGACAGTGTCGTCGTCGAGACGGGCAAGCTGCTCTCAGGCCTGCAGGACGACTTGGACTTGCGCACCTCGAAGAAGGGCAAGGAGGCCGAGGACGAAGAGGACGGCGAGGAGGACGAGGAGGGCAACACCAAGTCCAAGAAGCGCAAGGGCAAGGCGCGCGAGGCGACGCTGGCCAAGAACTTCTCGCAGCTGGCGATCAAGAAGCTCGACGTCGAGTTCTCCGTCGACCCGCTCTTCAAGAAGACGTCGGCCGACTTTGACGAGGGCGGCGCCGGCGGGCTGCTGATGAACCACCTCGGCGTGGACGGCAAGGCGCGCATCGTGTTTGACGCCTCCGACGTGGCCGGCGTGGCAGACGAGGGCGACGAGCAGGATGCGCTGCCGGCCGACGGCGACGCGGACCGCGAGGCCACGCCGCTGGCAAGCGCGCAGCAGGACCACGAGATGGTGGACCTGACGAAGCTGCGCGTCACGCTCTTCGGGCACGACGAGGCGGCCTTCAGTGGCAGCGAGAACGCGCTCAGCGCACTCCTGTCGCAGCGCACCATCTGTCCCACGTTCGCCTCCTTCCGCTTCGCGCCCGACGACACGACGCCCTTCTCTGCGCTGGGCTTCGAGCATGCGCCGGGCAACGACGGCTACTCGGACCCGGCGTATGACGACTCGATGGGCGGCATGCCGGCGTTCGACGACATGCCGGAGGGCGACGAGGGCGAGGACTTCTTTGGCGCAGGCAACGACTACGCTGGCGGCGACGACGGCGACGACATCTTTGCGGCGCCGCTCGATGTGCGGCAGGGCTCGCACGATGCCGACGACGATGACGAGCTTGCGGCGATTGCACACGACCAGCCGCGAGGCTCGGCTGCGGCGCCCTCGCAGCGAGACCTCGCACTCGCATTCGTGGGTGTTGGCGCCGCGCAGGACGAAGAGGCCGAGGGCGGCGCAGATGGCATGTTCGACTACTTCGACCAGCACCTTGTGAAGAACTGGGCGGGCCCGGAGCACTGGAAGATGCGCAAGGGCGTCGGCGCCATGCCGGGAGCCAAGGGTGAGTGCTTGCGGGCGGGCCTCGAGGCTGACATCGCTGACACATCCACAGGAGCGGACGCAGACGGGCCAAGCGGCTCTTCCGCGCCCAAGGCCGCGCCTCGGAAGAGCAAGGAGGCCTTCGTGATCGACTTTACCACTCCAGCCGGCGCCATGTCGAGCGCGGAGCTCTTTGCGCCGGCCAAGGGCGGCGTGGGCATCATGCTGCCGCGCAACAAGGGCGCCGCGGACCTGCATCTGCTGCCCGAGGACCGCCACTTTTCGAGCCGAGAGCTGCTGCGGCTGGCGATCAAGCCGCGTGCTGTGGTGAGTGCCGTCTGCGGTGGGACATCGCCCCTTGCGAGTGCTGACAGTGTGGTTCGTCTACAGCTGAACTTGAGGCGAAGAGGCGCACGGGTGGCGCAGACCAACGACGTCGACATGGCGCATCCTGCCGACGTCGACGAGGAGTTCTGGGCGCAGGCGGCCGCCGAGCGGGAACAGGGCGTGGGCGGCGCGTACGACGGTGAGTGCTCGAGCTGGGATGGGCACCACAGGCCAGTGCTGATCGCTCACACCCCTGCAGAGCACGAAGCGCAGCCCTTCAACACCGAATTCTTCCACGACGCCGACGACGACGGCGCGTTCGACATGCTCGAGGACGGCGGGCCGAGCGGCTTTGGCGACGAGGGCGAGGAGGAGGAGCTGCCGACGCAGGCCATCCGCCGTATCCGCCCCGAGTACGTCAACTACGCCAAGCGCGCCAAGCGTGTCGATGTCAAGCGCCTCAAGGACTCGATCTGGAAGGAGCTGGCGATTGACGTCGATGCGCTGAGTGACGAAGAGGACGACGAGGTGAGCGTGACTGGTGTGTCTGCTGCTCTCCCGTTGCTGACGCCTTTGCAGCCATCAACACCCGGCCGCACCAAGCCAGAGCCCGGCAGCTCCGGGCCGCGCACCTTCTCGGCGGTCATCAGCGGCCTGAAGAAGTCGTACGCCAAGGAGAAGCTCGACGAGATCAGCACGTCGTACTGCTTCATCTGTCTGCTGCATCTGGCCAACGAGGAAGGGCTGGACATTCGCATCGACGACGCCGCTCCCTCGTCCTCGCAGAAGCGCGTGGCGAAGAACGAGGCGCCACTGGACAAGGAGCTGGGCGAGGAGAACATGGAGGGCATTTTCCGCCGTCTGGCCGCCAGCGCTGCGCAAGGCGTCCTCGACGACGAAGACGCAGGCGGCGAGGAGGGCGATGGCGACGGTGGTCTACGTGTTGGACGCCTCGAGAATCTCGTCATCGTCAACGACCGCAACGCCGGACGTGGCGCCTAGCCTTGCTTCTCCCTTCTCTCTGCCTCTCTGCTCGCTCGTGCCACGTCACTCGGAATGCGTTCCTCTCTCCCGGAGCTATACCTCACTCTTCCCTTCCCTTTCGCCGCTGCCGCGCTGTGTGCCTGCCGCTCTCCTCACCCCGCTCCATCTTGCCTGTACGATCCTGAGCCTCGGCTATGTAATCCGCACGATCTGAGTCTGCTGCTCGTCGAGTGCGCTCCCATCGCAAGCGCCGTAGAGCAGTCAAGCGTGTGCAAATGTCGAGGCGGCCGCACGAGCGCGAAAGGGGCGCGCAAAAAAGAGACGACAGGGGGTGTCCCGCGACGCGTGCACGGCCCTCTGCGCAGCGTCAGCAAGCCAAGCCGAGGCTCGCCCGACGCTCGCGCCTTGCCTTACGACGTCCACCCTCTCCCACCCTCCATCTGGTCGGCGCTTTACCCACCCGCTGTCCTCCTTTTCCTCCTCACCCTCGTCTCCGACTGCGCGTCGCACGACCCTTGCTCGCGTGCAGACGATCGCACAGCATCGCATCGGTGCGCCAATGCTCGTCCCGCTGCGGCACGCCGTCCACTGACGCCAGCGTTACACACACAACCCTTTCTCCCTGCGAAGCTCTGTGTGCGTCCTGCGTGCGCTCTCGAGAAGAAAGTCTCGATCGCCGGTGAGTCCGTCGGCGCCAGATCAGCTGCGGCTCGTCACCAACCTGCTAACGACGCTTCGCTTGCACGTCCTTTTCGCTTCGCTCGTCGAGCACTCTCTAGGCCGTCTTAAGGTCGACTAAGTCTCGCTACTCGTCAGCAGCAGCAGCATTCCCCCAGGCTTCGTCATGTTTCCGCTTCTCGAGCTGCCGGTCGAGCTGCAGATCGAGGTCCTGCGCTACTTCAACACGCTCGAGCTGCGAGCGATGAAGGTGAGCCGTTGCCGCAGCAAGGTAGCTGGTCATCACTCATTCATGATTCGTTGTTGCTCAGGGCACTTGTCGCACCATGAAGAACCACGTCGACAACAATTCAGTGTTCGACGGCGTGATGTTCCGCACCAAGAAAGTCGACATGGCTGCTCTGATTCACCGTACCCTATGCGAAGAAAAGGGGCGTGCTGACTGGACTAGCTATTGCGCTGATTCCAATCGCAAACGCCGAGGGGAAGTGCCGCTACGTGACTGGGTACGTTTTAGACAAGGGAGACCGATGCTCGTCAATTCGCTGACAATGCTGTACGAGCAGAGCGACATGGAGGCCTGCAGTTTCATGAATCCTCTGGAGCCCCTGGACATCAAGAAGCACCCGCTGATTGGGGTCTACTGCACGTACGGAGAAAGCTTTCAAAAGATTCGCGCCTACTCTGGCGAAGACCATGAGATGTGCTGCGAGAAACGCACGCACTCGAGATGCGCCCGCGACCCGGACGACATGCCGTTGCTTCATCTCCTGACTGCGTGGCGCGAGAATGCGACGGATCCACCGTGAGTCTCGTTCTCAGCCATCAGCTTCCTCCTCCCCAGCCTATGATCGCCCACACAGAGTCTCAGCGCTGCGTTACTACGATGCCGCGAGTTTCCTCTTCGTGCCACGTTCAGACCCAGCTGACCAGCTGTAGCAGTACTACCACACCCACCCCAACATTCTGCAAGTCTCGAACAAGAAGATCATCAAGAAGCATGACAGGTTCGACGAGGGCTACATGGAGATCGTCAACGAGGACGACACACCTGTCACAGTCGCGCAGTATTGGTTGGTATGCCGCGCGTGCCGCGTGTGCTGCTGCATCACACTGCTGATCGAAGCTGTCCAGGCAGCACTTCTGCCACTATGCGAGGTTGGTCATGGAGGAGAATGGGCCGCGGGCTGTGAGTCTCTGGTAGATCGGCTTTAGTTTATGCTAATCTTTGTTGCTCAGCCAGCACGTCGAGATGGCTCGATGTGGGCCGATGCCTGGTTCGTCGCCGAGGGACGCTGCGAGTTCCGCAACGACTTCCACGAATTTACGCCTTCCGACAGTGAAGAAGACGACTGAGAGCATCTCGATGCCGCACGATCATCCGGCGAACGCACTCTCCAGCGGCATGCACGCTCGTCTCGCAATCAAACAAAAACACACATCCAAGCTGTACCGCCTCCGCAGATTCAACCCGTTCATGACGCTGCGAACTTGCAGAGACGCCGGCTGGGCGCTGGACCGAGAGTGCGAGCTGTCCGCTCGCTGTCCTGCCATGATCAGCAAGCTAGAAATGCTCTGCTCTGCTATGCTGACGAGGAGACGTCCTCAGCTTGGAGGGAGACAGATTCGAAAAGGCCTCGATCTTCTCTGTGCAGGAACTCACGAAGAGCATACCGCAGCTGACCGCCGTCAGGGCCTTGCACAGCTTCAGGCGGCCGTGAGCGCGGCCCGAGCTTCTGCCATCGATGCCTTTGGTGTTCGCGCGGCTCGAAGCGCAGCTCAGCAGCTCATACGGTCTATGTACAGCCTCGCACACTGAAGCTTTTACTGGAGACTGCACCGACTGGAAGCGACGCACGCCTGTCCGACGACGATCCGCAGCGTCTCTATAGGGCAACGTGGACGCAGAAGCGAGGCGCGCTCATCTGTCCTTTGCTGAGTGACGTTGCTGCGTGATGCAAAGCTGAGTTGCGACACCGCTGTCGCAGCTGCGGGTGTTGATGTCGAGGTCGAGACGCAGCGGCGGCTGCAGCGTGCAACTCGCTGTGGCGCATCGGCGCTTGGCGCGCGCACGCAAGGCAGCTCTTGGCGCGTCGGGCTCGAGCGTCGTACCCGCTCTCTCTCGTGCTGCTTTCTCTTTGCTTGCTGGGGGTCGAACGAAAGCTCGCTCGAGCTCCACACCGGCTGGCACAGGCATGTGCCTCGGAGTCGGCAGGGTGTCGGCGAGCGGCTATGCGTGCCGCGGGAAAGCGGGGTCTCGAGCGGCGCGGCATGCGCGTGGCAGCGCAAGGCGAGGGCCAAGGGGCATGCCGGACGCCGCGGCGGACGTGGCAGTGCCGGCGCGCCGAGGCGCGCGCAGGCAGGAGAGCAGAGGATGGCCGGGCCGCGCCGCGCACGGGCGGTGCCGAGGAGCAACACCGCCTCGACAGGCCCAGATCCAGAAGATGCCGACCCCACTTCCCTCTCCTCCTCACCACCACTCTCGCGCACCAGCCTGCCGAGGCATCACTACGACCATGTCTGACCCTTCCTCGCCCGACACGCCCACCGCGAGCTCGCGCTCGTCCAAGCTGCCCGCCAGTCTGGCGCCGCTGCTGGCGCCGCTCTCGACCGCCGCTGCAGTCGCGAGCCGCGGCAGTGGCAGCAGCGCAGACGAGGAGCGGAGAGCACAGCCGCCGCCGCCTCTGCCGCCGCGCGAGGGTCAGGCTTCGCATGCGCAGGGACTGGCGCAGCAGGACGTGATGATGCAGGTGCTCGCGGGCATGCAGGACCTGCAGCGCGAGGTGAGTCGAGTTTGCGGTGGAGCAAGACGGGCTTTAGGAGGAGGAAGCGTGCGTGCTGCGAGCTGCCGTGCGGGCAGTGCATGTCCGGTCCCGTGCAGCCGCAGAGCGAGAGTTCAAGCGGCTGCACATACCAGCTCTCGGTGCCAAACGCAAGCCGCCTTGCCTTCGCCTCCCGCCGCTCTGGCACACATCTAACACGCTCCGGCCAGATCGCACGCCTGCACGCGCGCATGGACGACGTCGAGCACCGCGGCGCCTCGCCTTCTCCCATGATGCGGCCTCACGCGCTCGGGCGTATGCGGTCCTTCCGCAACGACATCTCGCGTTCCTCGTCTCCGGAGAAGGGGACCGTCTCTCTCCCACCTGCGCATCTCGACTACCTGCAGACCAGCACCGCACTGGCGCAGCCCGCACCATTGCTCGCTACCGAGCCCTCGCTGGGGCTCTGGTGCGTCGTGCCCGCTGGAGGAGCAGGTACGCGTCTGTGGCCGCTCTCGCGCGAGAGCTACCCGAAGTTCCTGCTCGATCTGATGGGCAGTGGACGTACGCTGCTGCAGAGCACATGGGATCGCCTGCTGCCCTTGGCCGGCGCACGACGCATGATCATCGTCACGGGCGCCGCACACGTCGGCGGCGTGATGGATCAGCTGCCCGAGCTCTCGGACTCCAACGTGCTGGCCGAGCCGAGTCCGAAGGAGTCGATGGCCGCCATCGGCCTGGCCGCTGCCGTGCTCGCGCGCCGTGATCCTGAGGCGGTGCTGGGCAGCTTCGCCGCCGATCACAGCATCTCGGGTCGCGAGGCGTTCGAGAGTGCCGTGAGCGAGGCAGTGGCCGTAGCCAAGGCCGGCTATCTCGTCACGATTGGCATTGCTCCTTCCTACCCGTCCACCGGCTTCGGCTACATCAAGCTCGGCGATCGCCTTGCCGTGGCCGACGCGCCGAATGCACGCCGCGTGACGGAGTTCAAGGAGAAGCCCGACGCGCGGACTGCGAGTGCATACCTCTCGACGGGCGACTATCGATGGAACGGCGGCATGTTCGTCGTCCGTGCACAGACGCTACTCGAGCTCCTGCACGCCTCCATGCCGGACCTGCACGATGGCCTCCTGCGCATCGCTGAGGCTTGGGAGACGCCACGCCGCGACTCGGTCATGGCAGAGGTCTGGCCGACGCTGACCAAGATCGCCATCGATCACGCCATCGCGGAGCCAGCGGCCAAGGCGGGACGCGTGGCAGTCGTGCCCGCGACGTTCGGATGGGACGACGTGGGAGACTTTAGCTCCTTGGCAGACATGCTGCCGGCGGAGAAGGGAGAGGCCAGAGTGCTCGGTGATCATCGGTTGGTCCTGACGGAGAGCCAGGCTGGAGGCCTTATCATACCCGCTTCGGGACGGACAGTGAGTCTGCGCAATGGCGCTATGCGCATGCATGGAGAACTGACATGCAGCTTCTTGCAGATTGCTTGCCTCGGAGTCGACGACGTCGTCGTCGTCGACACGCCCGATGCGCTCCTCATCACGACGCGTGCGCGCAGCCAGGACGTCAAGAAGATCGTGGCGCGGACGAAGAAGAGTGAGTTGCTCGGCCCTCGAGATGCCCACCTCCACCTCTGTCACCTGTCTCATCGCTCATTCAATCATTCAGGCTTCCCGCTGCTCTGCTGATCTCGCCGTCGATGGCCTTTGAGGACCTCCAGATCTCCCCACTCCGCCCGCTGAACCCGCCCTTCCACCTCGTCACTCGTCACGCAACGCGTCACACCTATTCCCCCCCCCCCCCCTGCGAGTCTACTCTACTGATGTTAGACATTCACTCGTCGACGATGGGACAAACGATCGATTAATCAGGCTTCGCAGCGACACACGACTGCTGCAGCAGGACTGGTGATCAGCTCACGTGCTTCACAGGCGAGGCACACGCACAGAGTAGGCCGATTCGACTGCTTCAGCAAGCGGCGAGACAGACGGTTAGAGCTTGGGCGCATGCGGCAGCTGCGCAAGGCATGTTGAGTCCGGCGTGGCGCCAGGTAGCACCTGCAGCGCGAAGTGTCAGCGGAGCAAGGCTTTCTTGGACGAGCTGTGGCAGAGCGGCAGGGCGGCAGGGCGGCGAGCGACAGTACCGGAAGAAAGACTGCTAGCCAGCAGACAAGCGACGTGTGCAGCACGGCATCTGCCTCGTCCTCGTCAGCGACCGCGCGCTCGGTGAGAGGCGACCTCACTCACGCGCTCTGACACGCCGAGGCGGCGCCCACGCTCTCGTGGCTACCGACGACGAGCGCAGGGAGGAAGAGCAAGGGCAGTACGAGGAGACGCATGGCGGCTTACGTGAGAGCTGCGCAGAAGAGAGTGGAGGAGTCGCAGCTGTTGAAGAAGACGTGGAACGGCGCCGGAGGCGTGGACGATGTCTGCGCATCCGAACGGCTAGCGGTGGCAATCTCTGCGAAGGTCAGACGACCGCAGGCAACTCGGTGACGGTGTCTGCGCATATGAGTTGTGGGCTGCTGCTCCGCTCCACGCTGTCGAGAGCATGCCGAAGGGAAGCTGACTCCGCTGGCGAGAGCGAGAGAAGGGCGCGCCTGCGCCGCACGAGCCAGCGGCGGCTGGGACTCAACGATGCCGCTGCTGGGCGGGCCGAGCTGTCCCATCCTCATCACAGACACACGAGGCGATATCGATCTGAAGGCTCTCTTATTGAAGGGCTCAGACTGTATGTAAAGGAGAGACAAGACACGACGAGGAGGAGGAGACGACCGAGAAGGGGCGGCGACGCGGCTCAGAGTGTAGTGGTCCTCTGGCGGCGCGCGGCAGACACGTTAGGGAATGTGGGGGGCCAAGACTGAGAAGCGGGACGGACTCGGGGGATGTAGGGAGGTGCTGGGGTTGAATGTAGTCCGAGAAGAGGTCGTTAGAGAGGGCGTGATGACGGGAGAGGAAGGCGCGCGGCGCGCAGAGCGCTGGCTCGCGGCGCCAAACCCAGGCATCAAGGCCAGAGGAGAGAGCGCCAGCGCTTTAGCGGAGCAGGCCGGGGATGACGTTGCCGCCGAGGAGGCCGCCCTTGCCGTTGTCCTTGTTGTTGCTCAGGATGTCGAGGCCGAGGTCGAGGCCGCTGGCGTCGACGAGGCTCGACTTGCTCTCGCTCTTCTGGTAGCAGCAGCGCTGGCCGGCGCCGCAGCTGGCGTCCTTGGCCTTGACCTTGCGCGAGTCGGTCACCTTGCCGTTGTCCGAGAGGATGCTGAGGTCAATGGTGATGTCGGAGAGGTCGATGAGCGTGCTCTTGCTGTACGAGCTCCAGCCGCTCGGGCACGAGGCGGCCTTGTTGGCGCGCTGCCAGCAGCACTGCTTGCCGCTGGCGCAGCGCGCATCCTTGGCCTGCACGGTGCGCTGCTCGGTGGCCTTGTTGCCGGAAAGCACGCTCAGGACGACGTCGAGGCCGGAGAGGTCAACGAGGCTGCTCTCCGAGTAGCTCGACCAGCCAGTAGGGCACGACTCGGAGCGCTTCCAGCAGCAGTTCTGGCCCGCCTCGCAGTTGGCGTCCTTGGCCTTGAGGGTGCGCTCGTTGGTCGGGTTGTTGCCAGAGAGGATGGAGAGCACGATGTTGGCGTCGGAGAGGTCCACGAGCGTCGACTTGGAGTACGACGACCAGCCCGAGGGGCACGTGTTGGGGCCGCGCTTCCAGCAGCACTTCTTGCCGTCCTGGCACGTGGCGTCCTGAGCCTTGACCGTCTTCTCCTCGGTAGCCTGGTTGCCGCTCAGGATCGAGAGCACAATGTCGGCGCCGGAGAGGTCAACGAGCGACGACTTGCTGTACGAGCTCCAGCCGGTGGGGCAGGAGTGGTGCGACGGGTTCGGGTTGGGCTGGTAGACGTGCGGCGGCTTGGGCTTGGGCGTCCAGTCGTTGCCGTGGTCGTGGTCCTTGCTGGGCTGCTGCGGCGTGGGCTTGTAGACGTGCGGGGGGTTGTAGTTGCCGCCGTTGCCGCCGTTGCCGCCGTTGCCGCCGCAGGTCGTGCGCTTGACGCACATGCAGCGCTCGTCCTTGGTGTTGCGCGCCCAGAAGGGGCTGTTGTCGTTGCCGCGGCGCTCGAGGATCTCCTCGTCGGAGCGCTTGCTGACAAAGTAATTGTTCTGGCTCAGAATGTCGACGAGCAGGTCGAGGTCCGAGGCGTCGACGAGAGTGCTCTTGCTGCTCGACACCTGCGTCACGTCGGGCGCCTGCTGGCGGTAGTGCGGCTCGCGCTTGTCGAGCACGTCGACGACGGCCGTGAGGTCGCTGAGGTCGATGAGCGACGACTTGCTGCTCGAGATCTGCGTCACGTCGGGGCGACGGTCGTAGTCGTTGTGGCGCCACGTGGGCTCGGGCTCGCGCTTGAGGATGTCGACCACAGCGGTGAGGTCGCTGGCATCGACGAGCGAGCTCTCCGAGTGCGAGATCTGCGTCAGCTGCGGACGCTCGTTGTTCCAGCGGCGCGGCGACGGCGCGGCGGCGGCCGACGAGATGGCGAGCGCCAGCAGGGAGAAGGCGGCGAACTTGGTCATCGTGAGGAGGTGTGTGGTGGTGGAGGTGCTTCGGGTGAGGTGTCTTGGTGTGGGTGTCTGTTGGTCGATGTCGATGTCTTGTTGACTGGGTGGTGCGGCGTCGAGGTCGGGTGAGGACGAGGAGGCTGGGTACCGAGAGAGAGTGTGAGGAGACAAGAGAATGTGTTGGTAGGGATACAGTTAAGGAGCCGAGAGCGAGAGACCGGAGACCTGGAGAGGGAGAGGCGAGAAGCTGGAGTGGATGAGGAAAAAAAGAGGGAGAGGCGGTGGCCGGGGCTGCCTTATGTATCTGTCGGAGCGGGCGCAGGAGTGGCCCATGCCGGGCGTGGCACTGTGACAGCGCTGCTGCTTGGGCCCAGGGGTCGCTCGTGGCATGGCATGGTGCGTGTTGCTCGCTGCGATGGCGGCCTGCGCGCCTGCGCCGAGCCGTTGAGCGAGCCGGAGGGCGTCTGGGCGGCGGCTGCGGGCTGCGCTCAACGGCTCGGGCGTGCGAGGGCGAGGAGCGCAAACGAAGGCAAGGCACGGCACGGCAAGGCATGACAGGCACTGGCGTGTGTGTCGAGAGTGAGGGCGGTGCAGAGCCGAGGTGCGAGCTGCAGGGCAAGCGTTGGACTGTCTCGCGCGCCGGTGCGAGGAGAGCGCAGGTCTGGGAGGGGGCGAGCGCGCGACCTTAGGCTGTGCATGGCGCTGCAACACGCCGGCGCCGCTTGTTTGCACACGAGGTTGGCAGGCCGCGGCGTCGACGCTGTGTCGCAGTGCCCGTGCTGCACCGCAGCCGCCGCTTGCCCTGCGCCCAGCCATCGGGAAGCTCGCGCCCGCTGCGGCCGGGATGAAGGAGCAGAGGCGGCGGCTGGCGGCTGGCGGCTGGCGGATGCGAGGGAGCTCCCTGCGCCCTGCGCCCTGCGCCTGAGGCACGCGTCGCCGCCAGCACCAGCGCGAAGGAGGGCAAGCAAGGACGCCGCGCTAGCGTCTCTTCGCGCCCCCCTGAGGCACCGCACAGCAGCGCATCCCTCCGCCGTGCGCCGTCGGGCTCTTGCCTGCATGCTCTGCCTGCCAAGGGGCCCACCGCTGCTACCGCTGCTGGACGCTGCTGCGCCGCGGGTGCAGCGAGGAGGCCGAGAGAGCAGGGAGGATCGCCCGTGCAGCAGCATCCAGCTGCAGAGCGTCGCGCGCATCGAGGCGGCTGCTGCGGCCGCGGCGCAGCACAGCATGGCCGGATGCGCCTCGCCACCGCGCAAGCCGCCGCTCGCCGTGCACGCCGAGCCGCTGCTCCGCGCAGCCTGCGCCCTTTTGCCGCAGCAGCAGCAGGCAGGACGCAGCCCGGGCGCAGCGGTGGGCGTGCGTCTGCGTCAAGGGCAAGAGCAGGCGTGGGTTGCGAGTCTGAGGGCTCAGCGTCAGGCAGCACCGCAGCCATCGCCGTGAGCATCCGCATGCTGCGCTGCCCGCACCCGGTGCATGCTAGCGCCGTGTACCTGAGATGAGGCACGCCCAGCGGCTAGTCGCGCATGGCGATGCGGACGTGGTGGCGAGGGCGAGAGGGCGAGAGCAACGCGCGCGCGGCTGCGGTTGCATGCTGCCATCTCGGGCGGCGCGCCGCCGTCCCGAGGCGAGGAGACCCGAGGCCAAGCACCAAGGGTGACCAATGATCGCCTGCATTGCAGCTGCGTGCTTCCTTCAGCCCCCTCGTGCTGCGGCCTCCCTGATGCCTCATGGCTGCCGATGCCTACTCGACTGGCTGCCGCTGCTTCCCGCTTCCCGCGGCCCCTGCGCCTGCGCGGTGGGCGTAGCGGCCAAGCGCTGCCGCGCCTCCTGCGTCTCGCGGTCGCGCGGTGCCGCGCCCGGTAGCGTGGGCCCCTTGCGCGAGGCGCGCGACGCGTTGGCGCTGCGGCCGCGCCGCCTACGCCGCAGCGGCTGTGAGAGCCTGAGCCAGATGCAGCCTGCATCTGCGCCGAGCCGCCGACCCGAGCGCCGAGATCGTCGCTCACAGCCAGCATCAGCACACAGCTGCAGCAGCAGAGACGCAGCGCCGGGCAGCTCTCTCTGTCTCAGCACACGCCTTCTTGCCCAACGCGGCAGGCGCCCTCCATCCTCCAACCCAGGCTACGCGGCACGCAGCTGTCAGGGCTTGCCTAGCATCGCACGAGAGCTTCGGCAGCATGCGTCTTCAGCGCTGCGAGGCATGTGCAGTGCAGTCACGCTTGCGCTCCATTGCGAAGAGCGTGGGCAAGTGCATGCGTCTAGCATGCGGCCAAAGCGTTCGCCAAGCGAATCGTCGGAGGCGCGCGCCCGCTCAAGCAGCGAGGAGCAGAGGCGGCCGACTTGCGATGAGCCGCTCGGGAGGCAGTTGCGAGCGGGCAACAGCGGATGCCGCAAGGGTTGCAACGTCGGCTCTCCAAGACGGCAGGGGGAGAGACGGGCAAACGTGCCGTGAGGGGAAGAGGGTCGGCACGATGCTGACTGCTGGAGCCGGCGGCATCGAGCAAGGACACCGCACGGTCTCAAGCTCAGCTTCCTGCGTCCACGGCAACGGGGGGAGCAGAGGATGCGGCGTCTTTGCTTTGCCGCGGAGGTGGCAGAGCGCAGGCTTCTCATGCGAGCGGGAGAGCGGCAAGGTGGAAGGGGCAGCATGCAGGCGCGAGGGCACGCTGCCCCGCTGCGTCCTGCGTCCTGCAACCTGCAACTTAAAGCTTCGGGCCAGACACGCCTCCTCGCTTCAACGCCCGCCTCCCCCTTCTCCTACGACGTTGGCATGCTGCATGCGGCGTGTTGACCTGAGAAAGACTCTCGAAAACCGCGGAGTAGCCTGCTTGAGCCCTCCATCCTCCTTCGCAGCTGAGCGCCGTGGGCCGCAGCCGAGGTCGGCGTCGTTCGTCTGATCCCGCTGCTCTCGATGCGTGTGCGCCGGGAGCATGTCTCAGCTTGCACGGTCCATTGCAGGCACGCACGCCCAACCGCTTGCACAAAAAGATCCTTTCGACGGTGCCGCAAGGCTGATGGAGTGACTGCGTCTGAGCCGTACACTTGTTGCATACATACGAAGGGGTACGCAGAGCGTGCGGCGGCTTGCTCCGGTCATTCAGTGTGCGGCCCTTCAGGAGCGCACATCTCGAAAGCAAGTCGTCTATCGCATGATCGACGAACATCTACCCATCGTCTGATCCCTTGACGCCGCACGAAGAGGAACACAAGAGACGCGGTCTTCTTCTGTGGCCAGGTGGGTATCTGATTACTCATATAAGCCCAAACAGCCACTTCGCATTCTCCGTCGTCCTCCTCGCGACCTCCTCCACTGGCACCGACTTCAAGTGCGCCACCACAACAGCAATCTGTCCCAATGCAGCCGGCTCATGTCTGCCCTTTACAGCGCGCTCGGCGCTCCACTTTTCCTTCTTGACTTGCGCTGGGAAGAAGGGCGAGTGTGGGTGTGCGGCTTTGTATGCGGCAAGGATGGAGGCTGAAGTGTGCGAGGGACGCGGTTCACACCACGGCGCATCTGCCAAAGGGGGGGCTTCGTCAGCGTTGTTGAGTGAGTAAGCAGGGGAAGGAGAGCGGACGTACCCGTCTCGATGAGCAACCTCTCGAGTGGAATGGCGGCAACGACGTCCAGATTCTCCTGCGTCTTCAACGAACAGCCGTTGACGCCGATGTAGAGGCCCATGTCCAGCAGCTCCTTGGCCTCTACCATCGTGCCGGTGAAGGAGTGCACCACGCCCCATCTCGCGCCTCTCCCCTCCTCTCTGCCCTCGCTGGGTGCAGCGAGAGGAGAGCCCGCTTGTTGCAGTGTCTCCAAGTGGGGACGCAGCACTTCGACGAAGTCGGCATGCGCGGCGCGCGAGTGCAGAAAGAGAGGAAGCGGGTACTTGCTTTGAAGGGTTAGTTGGAGGGAGAAAGCGGAGCGCTGCAGAGCGGAAGGGGCGAAATGAAGACGATCATAGTCTTCGGTAGGCAGCGTGAGCACATGCGAGCGTGCGCCTCGACGTCCCTTTCTGCCCGCATTTCGAGGCGAGAGGCGAGAGGTGTCATGCCTCCAACTCACCGAGTCCGCATTCACCAATCGCCCTGACCTTTCCCTCTCCCTTTTCAAGCACCTCTTCCAGCTCTCTCACCAACCCCTGTTTTCCCTGCGCATGCTCCTTGAACTCGCCGGCCCTTGTAGGGTGTACACCAACAGTAGCGTACAGATCGTCATGCTGCGCAGCCAACTCGAGCGCGGCACGCGATTCGGACAGGCTGCCGCCAGTGATGAGCTGAGCGACGACGTGCGAGGCGCGTGCGCGGGAGAGGATGGAGGAAAGATCGGCTAGATGAGAGTTGGAGTGAGCGGGAAGAAGAAAGAGGTGGGGAGAAAGAGGATGAGAGCGTTTGCACTCCGCACTCGCGACCCTACGACGCCGCCGCGCTGCTGACGACACGCGGGTGGCGCAACGTGCTCTGCACTCAGCCCTGAGGGTCTCTGAGCTTGCCCATCGATCTGTGCTGTCCCTCCGCGTACATTCGGCCAGGAAGCCAGTAAATACGTACGAGGATGAGCGTGTTTCCCATTGTACACGCCCTGGTACATGGGGTCGAGCAGGTTGATGGCTACATCGATCATGCCCGGCATGCCCCGCTGCTCGTCGGCAGTCGCACTGGCAGCGCTTGAAGAAGAAGAGGAAGCAGCCATGGTGCCCACGCGGCGGCGGACGAGGCGAGTCGAGGGAGCGAGGGACGCGACGCGCCGGGCGTGACTGCACGCCGTGCGCACAGGCAAGCGCCGAGGGAGAGGCAGAGACAGGATGACTAGCTGGGGGCGCACGGTGGAGCGGGGGACAGCGAGGCGAATGTGTGGGGGCCGATGGGCCAGCGTCGTCGAGGGTGTGGGGGTGAGAGGCAGAGCGCGGCGGGCGCCGCAAGCGGCCGCCCCGAGGTGGAGGCGGGGGCGAGAGCGCGTCACGTGCGCCTGCCGACGCTTTGCCCGGGGCGTGGCTTCTCTTCGTGCGCCGTTCCTCAGCACCAGCAAGGCCTCGGGCTGAGTACCCACCAAGAGTGATGAAGAAGACGTATGGCTACATTTTGAGCGCAAACCGCCGCTCAATGCTATGCTGTGCGTCTCACAAAAGGCAGAGAGCGACGCCGCCACCACGCGCCTTCGCGCCGCGGTGCAGCAGGCTCGCTCGTGTGCTGAACGGCGATGGCATCTCTTCCAAGCCGACTCGCAAGCCACCTGCTTTCTGAAACCGCTCCCTTCGCTCAGTACAGTCTGCTCTCCGCTTGCGTGTCGGCACGGCGAGAAGGAAGATGTGGGTGACACTCGAATGGCCAGGGCAGCGAAGCGGCCGGCGCCTGCCCTGCCTCCGCCAAGGCAACGCGCGATGCGACATTTGCTGGTGCTGCCGTCTGCGCAGCCTGAGAGCAGAAGGCCTCGCAGCAGCCTGCGCCGGACCGACGTCCGAGCGCCGAGCGCACAGCACGGTGCGCCGCTTGGCGCCGCGCTCCGGCGTCGGTGCGGATGCGGGCCAGCGAGACGAGGCTGTCGGGGCGCCGGCTTGCCGCACTGCCAGCTCGGACCGAGCGTCCGGCGCGCCGGTCCGAGCTCCGGCGCTTGCTTGCCCGGCCCGTGCTCTCACGCCCTGCGCCTTGGCCGTCGCCGGCGAACTCGGCACCAGGCGCGCCGCGAGTGTGCCGCATCATGCACCGGCGAGGAGCCCATAAAGCGCCTCGTTCTTGCCCACCACCGGCTCCGCTCTCGCCGCTCTTTCCCCGCACACTCTCCGCTTCACCTTCGCCTTCTCGCTGCCAGCCACCGTCGCACCCTCGCTCTGCGCAGCAAGCGCACTCCTCAGCCACTCCCTCAAGCGTCCCACTGCGCACCTCCTTGCATCGCCGCCCGCCCGCCCAGCCGACGCTCCAGCATGCCCGTCCCGACGCCGGCCTATGCTCCGCCCACGCTCGCGCCCGCACTTGCTGCCGCGCGGCGCGTGCTGGACGAGGAGAGTGGCAGCACGCGACGCACGCTCTTTGTCGTCATGGTGAGTGAAGGGCCACCCTCGCACCTCGAAGGGCGGCGCGCCGAGTGAACGGTGCAAGTGGCGGGCAAGATGAGCGCCAAGCGCCGGCGCTGCTGGCGAGGCAGAAGTGAAGCAGAGAGTGCGAGAGGGAGCAAGGGCACATGGGCGCGCCGACAGTGGCGCAGCGTCTGCACCGAGACGCGCTCTTCAGCTCAGACTTGCACGAGAGGCGCCTCACGAGAGAGAGCGCAGCGCTTGCTTTGCGGCGTTGCTGAAGGAACAGGAGAGCGGCGTGCGAGGCGAGGGCAAGAGTGGGCGAAGGCGCGCGCGTCCGACTCTTGCTCGCCTCCCATCGCCTTCGCCTTTTCTCTCTCCTTCTCTCTTCTTCTCTCTTGCCTGCCCAACACTCGGCGCTCCCGGATCCCTCTTCCGCACGCCTTCATCTTCTCGTCTCTGACGCGCGCCACTGCAGGGCACTTCTGGCTCCGGGAAATCCACGCTCGGCTCTGCGCTCGCATCCTCTCTCCGATGTCCCTTCATCGACGGCGACGACCTGCACCCGCCGGCCAACGTGCGCAAGATGGCATCAGGCGTCGCATTGGACGATGCAGATCGACTTCCCTGGCTGCGCCTCGTCAGAGAGAAGGCGCTGCAATTGACGGCAGGAGAGGGAGGAAGCAAGGAGAGAAGCGCAGAGGATGAGCCGACGAGGATGGAGAAGGAGAAGAGAGAGCTGGCCGAGGTCAGAGAGACGAGTGGATTGGGAGAGGAGCAGGCTAAGGCGCCAAAGGTCGACGCAAGTGCCGTGGAGGCTTCGACCGCCAACTCGAACTCGACGACAGGCACGACATCGGCATCGCAGAGCTCGAGAGTGGTGGTGATTGCCTGTTCCGCACTCAAGCGTAGCTACCGCGACGTTCTTCGCGGCTCTTGCTGCTCTCTCGCCTCCTCCTCCTCCCCGCCGTCCTCCTCCTCAGCCGCAGGCGTCGACTCGGCATCGTCGAACGACGCACTGCGAGTGATCCACATCTACCTACGCGTCGAGGCTTCGGAGCTTCAACGGCGCATGTCCTCGAGAGGCGAGCACTTCATGAAGCCCGACATGCTAGCGAGTCAGCTCGCGACGTTGGAGGAGCCTCAGCCGGAGAGCGAGGAGGGCGTGTTCGTCGTCGAGGACGCGCCGAGGGAGATGGAACCATCGACGATGGAGCAGGAAGTGGGAGCGGCTCTGCGCACCCATAGCGTACACGCCCGCTTCACGATTGCATGTCCGCCAGGCGCCGAGACGCAAGTCTCGCACCTGCCGACCCAAGGCTCGCGCTCATCGATCGTCGCCTATCCACTGCTAATCAGCTCTCCGCCTCGGCAAGTGCAAGAAGGCGGGCAGAAGCAAAGCCATAAGCAGCATCTGGAGGCCATCTCGAAGGCGCTGGGCGAGGTCAGGGAGATGATCAATGAGGAGCTGTCGCGGCAGAAGGAGAAGTTGGGAAAGTGGGATTTGGTGGTCGAGGCGAAGGAGGAGAGGCAAGATGAGGGGGAGGAGGATGGCGAGGAGGAGGAAGAGGAAGAGAGCGAGTAGAGGGTGGGGGATGGTGGAGGAGGCGGGTGGAGAGTCGTCCGCGCATCGCAATGTCACCCATGTGCTTTCAAGCTACGTCTGTTCCACGACTGCGATTGCTTCTAAGATCTCCCGTTCCTCGTCTCTCAGACATGTCCGCTGCGGCGCGGCAGCGATATGACGAGTCTGGAGCTTTCACGCGTCTATTCACCGCACCCAGCAGAGAGCCTGGCGGGCGGGGGCAGCAGTGGGACGAGGAGGCAGGTAAGGGAGACAAAGAAGGAGGGGCGAGGGAGGTGAAGAAGTATGTGCACAGAGAGGTAAGAGAACGTGGGTCAAGGAGCGGTTGCGTCAGACTGAACTGCAGTGTCATCGCGAGGAGCAAATGACGGACGGCGAGCGGAAGGCTCAGCGCGTCGTTGTTTTTGGAGGAGGAAGAGGGAGCGTGAGGAGCTCGACGAGGGACGCCGAGGCAAAACAGGAGAAAGGGGAGAGGGGGAGAGATCGGATGCTGGCCGCACTACGGCCTCGCTGGACTGGCCGGGCGCGACGATCATCGTCGCAGAGGCGAGCCTCCTGCTCCCGAGTCCTCACGCGGCCGCGAAGGGCGCTGTGTGCCCGGCGAGCCTTGGCGCGGAATGCCCTGGCCGAACTCGGACGCCGCAGGCTGCGGCGTCACTGCAGAAGGAAGGAGGGAGCGCGAGTCAGGTCCTGCCTTGTGTGCGCGCGGGAAGGGGGGAAGGACGCACTGAAAGGAGCACCAAAGCCCATCGGAGCACCGTACATGCTCATGTAGGGGTTGAAGGGCATGCCGCCTTGCATCGGCATGCTGCTCGGCGGCATGCCTTGCGGCGAGCCGTGCGGCTCGTGGCCTCCAATTGCCGAGCCTGGCGCCTGGGACATGCTGCACCGGGCGCAAAGGGGAGTCAGCAACGGAGAAAGGGCCGCACACCCTCACACATCGCAGGGCCACTCACGCCTGCATGTAGGCATGCTGGGCCGCCTGCTGTGCAGCAAACATCTGCTGCTGCTGCATCTGCTGCTGCATCATCATCTGCTGCTGCATCGCCTGCTGCGGGTCCGGCGAGCCCATGCCGGCGCCGCCGATCTGCGAGCCGCCAAAGCCGCCGCCCATCATGTGCGGCTGCATCATGCCCATCATCTGCATCTAGAGGGCGCAGGCAAGCGGGGTGAGCCACGGCCGCAGCACGTAGTGTAGAAAACAGGCAAAGCTCACCTGCTGCCACATCATCGGGTTGAAGCTGGGCATGCTCGGCATGCCGCCCCACTGGCCGCCGCCGGCCATCATCATCTGCTGCTGCTGCTGGCGCATGTTGTCCTCTTCGCGCTGGCGGCGTTCCGCCGCGACACGCTCGCGCTCGCGCTCCGTCAGCGTGGCGCCGTAGCCGCCGGCGGCCTTGCGGTCGCGCTCGTGGGCCGTGATGGCGCCGAGGAGGCCGGCTTGCGGCGGCGGCGGCTTGTTGGGCACATTGACCATGTGGTTGCCGCTCATGCGCGCATCCATCTCTTGGTTCTTGGCCGACCGCTCGGCCTTGTCCTGCGCGCCCGCCTGCAGCAGGCCGTGCGGCTGGAAGACCGTCGTCATGGCGCCCGGCTGCTCCTCAGCGGCCAGCTGCACGAATGTGTTGCGCCCAGGAGCAGGCACATCACCAGAAGCACTGCCGCTGTTCTGCGGACTGGCGCCGCCGTCGTTGTGGCTGAGGTGCGAATTGAAGACGGACATGCGCTGCTGCTGCGCCAGCAGACCCGAGGGTCCACCCGGTCGCGAAGCGCGCGTCTGCGCCGCGCCGGGCGAGATGGAGCGCGAGCGACTGTCGCCGCCGTACTGTGCCGGGTCGAGGCTTCCGGGCGTGCCGTATGCCGAGGCAGCGGCACGCTGCTGCTGCTGCTCGAGGTAGTACTGATGCTGCTCGGCAAGCAACTGCTGCTGCTGGGCCGAGTCGTTGCTGTTGTACGTGCTCGGCGGACCCGAGGCGACGGGCGTGCCGTTGCGCGGCGAGGGCACCATGCCCGTCGATGGCTGGCGACTGCGCGGCAATGGCACCTCGTCCTCCTCGTCCTCCTCCTCCTCTTCGTCGTCGTCCTCGCTCGACTCCTCGCCCCACGCATGGCTGCGCGGGCCCTTTGCCATCGTCTTCTTCTTGCCGCCGGCGCGGCCCGGCTTGTTCATGGCCTCCTGGTGCGCCAACGCCTGCAGCTGTGCGGCCGTCTTGCGCTCTGCAGCCTTGTTGTTGTTCTTGCCGAACGTCGAGGGGAAGTTGCCCGCCGGCGTGCGGGCGGCAGGCGCAGCAATGACGGGCGCAGCCACAGCAGGCGCGGCAATGCCCGCTCCCGAGGGCGACGAAGAGCCGCCTTGCAGGCTGCGCTGGCGCACGACGGGCGAAGGCGGCTGGTCGAGGAACGAGTAGGCAGCCAGCGCGTCCTCGCCGATGTCGTCGCCCGTGCCACGGCGTGCAGGTGCCACGGCCGCGGGTGCCTGCTGCTGCTCGCTCTGCTGCACGTGCTGTGCCGATGCGGCGCCGTACGCCGTCGAGTGCGTGCTGTGCGAAGACGTCGAAGGCTGCGGCGCCGCCGCGGCGGCGGCGGCAGGTGCCTCGACGGGCGAGAGTGTCGAGCGCTGCTGTTGCTGCTGCACGGCCGGCTGCGAATACGTGGGCTGTGCAGCCGGCAGCTGATCGCTCATGGAGTTCATGTAGAACAACGCGCCCTCGTCGTAAGAGCCACTGTCTGAGGTCTGGCCCGTGGGCACCGACAGCTGCGGCTGCGACTCTGCTCCACGTCCCGACGCCTCGAGCACACGAGGCTGCTGCGGCACCGCAATGGGCGCAGCAGCAGCGAGCGCCGGTGCAGCGGCCACCACAGGTGCGGCCGTGGCAGGCTGTGCGCTCGTCTGGCGAGAGTGCGCAGAGGTGATGCTCGCCGTCTCGTCTGCGGGAGCACGCATGGAGCGCGCCGCAATGGACTGCTGAGGAGACAGCGGCTGCTGAGCGGCCGACGGAGGAGCAAAGGAACGAATCGAGCTCGGCGGCGGGCTTGCAGCTTGAGCGGGCGAGTAGGCACCGTTCGCTTGCGCCGCCTGCCCTCCAGCCGCAAAGGCAGCTGGCGCAGCGGCAGCGGCAGCAGCCGCAGCAGCGGCGTTGCTGCCCGCCTCATTGCGCGGCTCACGCGGCGGCCGACCCGGTCGCTGGCCCATGCGGGGCGAGGTCGGCGGAATGCTAGCTTGCGAAGTAGCGATGCTGGCACTGTCCGACTTGTTGACAGCCAGCGGAGCTGTCGTCGAGGCAAAGCTAGCGCCTTGCGCGTGTCCGCCAGTCGAGAGCGCCACTGGCGTCGTCATGGCGCTGCCCTCGCGACTGCGCTCGCCGATGGAGTCGAGCGCACTGGGACGGATCGAGCTGGCCGAGGAGCTGGTAGCCTCGGTAGGCGCAGCACTGTCGCTGAAGTCGAGCGGTGGCAGACCGCCGTTGAAGGCAGGCAGTGTGGCAGGGCCAGTCGATTGACGACGATCTTGCTGCTGCTGCTGCTGCTGCTGAGCAGCAGGCGCAGAGCTATCTGCCAGCTTGCCCTTTGCGCCATCGAGGCTCTTTGTGCTCTCAGCATTAGGCTGCGGCAGCGGCGGCAGCACCGGCGTTCGCTCGCCGCGCATGCGAGCAGCCATGATGCCGTGCAAGTTGTTGCGGTTCGCCAAGTGGCGCTCCTCGCGAATGTCGAGGAACTCGGCCAGCTCACGGTCGAGGAAGAGCCGGTCCTTGAACGGGCCGATCGGGTAGGCAAAGAAGGCAGAGATGGGACTGCGAGCGTCCCACTCGAAGGCGTTGGGCCGGCCGTAGAGACGGAACACATCCATGAAGGCTGCAATGCGCATGGGACATCAGCCCACACTCGCCGAGTGACTGGCTACAAAGTACTCACCGATGACCCACTTCATCATCTCTGCATTGGCGCCCTTGCTCGCCGCGCCCTCTGCCAGCTCAGGCATGATGAGCACCCAGCCTGTCTGGCGAATCTTGCCCGTGGCGCTCGTCGCCGCGCTCTGCGCAAACGCGCCCTCGACCTTGAACAGGCTGCTGCCCTCGACGAGCTCTGGCCGGCTGGGGTACACGGCACACGCGTGTGCGGCGTACTGCAGCGTCGAGAAGGGCTTCTTTGCCTTTTTCGACTCGAAGAAACACGCCAGACCGGGCGCGCCGTTTGCGCCCGGCGGCGGCTCGATCTCGGGCGCGGCGAGCATGGGGCTTTGCGAGGGCATCGAGAGACCCATGATGCTGCTGCGATCGCCGGCCTTGAGCTTGCTCCACAGGCCGCCCTTGGATGCCGTCGACGCGCCGCCGTCCGCCAGCGGCGAGCCGATGGCCGAGCCGCCAGAGGGCGCCTCGGCAAGCACGAGCCAGCACTTCTTCCACTCGCGCGTGCCCATGAAGCGCGCCTTGACCCAGCCTTCCATGCGGCCCTTTGTGAGGGGACTCTTGATGCTCATCTCGAGGGCGCCGGGCGCGCCGCCGGGCCCGCTCGTGGCCGCGGCGGCCGCCTCGGCGTTGGCAGCGGGGTTGTTGGCGCCGAGGCGCGCGCGGATCAGCGCGCCAGTGTAGATCTCCTCGAGGCGCACCTTTTCCCACGACGCCAGGCGGATGGCGTTGATCCAGGCCTGCACGAGGCGGCGGCCCACGCTGCCCTCGACGCCGAAGAGAATGCGGTTCTGCCCGGCCGCATTCACGGCAAAGACGTTTTCGTAGCGGCCGCGCGAGCCGGGCACGTCGGCAGGCGACTCGGTCAGCGTGCCGATGAAGTCGACGAACTGCGCAGATCAAGCGTGAGCCACTGCAGGGGGCTGCGGGTTCATACATGGCGCCACTCACCGAATCGGTGATGTTGACGTACGCCGGCGGCACCTCGCGCCCCTCGCGCGCCGCCTCTTCCATCTGCTGCACGCTCCACACGCTGAGCACGGTGCCGGCGAGCTGCACAAAGCAGAGGTGCCAGCGCTTCTTTGCGTCGCCGACGTGCAGCGGCTTGCCGTCGGCGCCGAGGTCGTCGCGGCGCGAGAGGTAGCCCTCCATGTAGATTTTCTTCTGCTGCGCATCCTGCAGCGCCAGCGCACTGCGCAGCTCCGGACTGCGGAACGTCAGCGGCGCCGCGGCGGTGCGGATGGAGCGCGTCGTCGAGCCCGTCGGCGACGGCGGCCGTGCAGGCGAGCCGGGCGAGCTGTACGGGTCGGCCGCCTCGAGGGGCTGGTAGGCCGTCATGGGCCGCATGGAGAGGGTGCGCCGATGCGTGCTGCCCGAGTCCGTCGACGGCGCGATGCTGGTGGGCGACGAGGAGCGCTGCTGCGGCTGCGGCGCGCCGTTGCCCTGCGGCGGGCCGTACGAGCCCTTGCGCGGCAGGCCCGGCTGGCCCGAGGGGAAGGCCGTCGAGTTGCGCTGTGCGGGCGAGACGCCGCCGCGTGGGCTCATCTGCTGCTGCTGCTGCTGCTGCTGCTGCTGCTGCAGCAGGTACTGCTGGTACTGCTGCTGCTGCAGCGCCACGTCGTTGCTCTCGGCGCCTGCGGGCGAGCCGTAGCCGCCGGCCGAGTTCTGGCGGAAGGCGGCGGCGGGCATGCTGCCGCGCTGCTGGCCCTGCCACGAGGGAGACACGGCCATGGCGCGAGCGCGAGAGGCGGCCGGCGCAGGCGGGCTGGGTGGGATGGGTAGTGTGGGTGAGAGGCGGTGCAGCTGTCGAGTCGCTGCTGCGGTGGAGTGAGAGTGAGGAGGAGAGGCACGGCTGCGACGACGGCAGGCAGGGACGTGCAAGTGGAGAAGGACGACGACGCATGCAGCCCCGACAGCCCGGCGCAGAGTCGGCGGCCGAGCAAGCAGCATGCAGGCAGCGGCAGGCCGCGCGAACTTTGGCGCGGCATCGAGCAGCGCAGCAAGCGAGAGACGGCTTCGCGGCCGCCGGCCGACGGCGCCGCCGCTTGAGGGGCGCGCGCGCCGCGGCGAGAGCACAGCCGCACGCGCCCGCCGGCGCGGCTGCCGCTCTCCCTCTCTGCCGGCGTGCGAGCATCGAGCATGAGCTCTAAATCGCCGGCCCACGGCCCCGGCGCCATCACTCATAAGCCGCCGGATGTCCGCCGCATGCTGCAGAGGTGCGCAGCTTCAGTACCCTGAGGCAAGAGCGAAGCGTCGCGAGCCTTTCGCGCTTCAGCGTTCAGCTTCAGGCTTGCTTGGCCCCTCTCGGCGCCCGCGTGTCGGCGGCGCCACGCGGCCGGCTCAGGGTGCACGCCGCTGTCACGCGCCAACGCGGGCCTCTTGCAGCGCGCAGCTCGAGGCTTGGTTGGATGCGGCATGAGCGGATGCACGGCCGAGCCATCGCTCCTCCACACCACCACGCTCGCAGCTCTTCTCGCCGCATGGCAAGGCAACAACGCAAATGCATTCATCCTCTCGTCTGCTTCTTGAGCGCCGCATCCACCCACGCCGGCTGTCCAGCGGCGAGTCTGCCGAGGCTCGAGCGTGGGCACGCAAAGGCCTCGCCCAGCGGCGCATGCAGCTGGCCCAGCAGGCCGCCGACGCCGCCGAGCAGCGCACCCGTCGGGCCCAGGAGAGTGGAGGGCAGCGCCGAGACGAGGCCGTTGTACAGCGCACACGCGAGCACGGCGGGCGTGAGCGAGGCGAGCGTCGGCGAGGGCGAGGTGGGGAGATAGTTGCCGCTGCCCAGGCGCAGCGAGGTCAGCGTCAGCGGAGAGAGAGATGGGGTGGGGGAGGGGGGGTACGTACGCTCCGACGTTGAGGCCGGGAGGGACAAAGTGCGGCGCAAGCACCGTGAGCGTGTCGGCAAAGATCTCGGGGAACGTGTAGCCTCCTCGCTGTTTGGCCGGGGGGAAAGCACGAGAGGAAGAGAGGTAAGAGTGGGGTTAGTCTCCCTTCTGTGTGGCTCGGGGCGCAATACTCACGCGATACCAGTCCTCTGGGAAGCGGTTGCGTACGAAGAACGAGTCCAGGTCGGCCTCGGAGACACTTCCATCCTCGCCATCTTTGTGGTTCGCGAACAGGCGCAGCGTGAGTGCCGCTTCGCCGTAGGAGAAGAGGTAGCGCGGGAGGAGGAAGGTGAAGTCTGCGTTGGAGGCCACCGAGTCCTGGAAGCGCTGGAAGCGATACTCGGCGAGCGAGGCGAACGTGGCTCGCCCTTGGCTGATGCGCGCGTTGAAGGCCTTGAACTGCGCATACTGCTCGGCGTCGAAGGCGGAGCCAGAGAACTGCCCGTCGCCGAAAAAGGCGTCTTTGCGAGAGAGACTGGAGTCGAGTTTGCGAGCCGTCAGTTTCGGCAAGGGAGCCGCAGGGAAAGGATGTTGAAGGGGGGGGGGGGGGGGGGGGCTCACCTAGCGTCGCCCTCGAAGGCGCCGTGATTGGACAGGCCCAGGCCTGAAGACGTGCCAAGCGCACCAATCGAAAGCATGTTGCTTGTCGTATCTCCCTCGCTCAGGACGCCGTAGGCGGCCAGCACTGTGCCCACGTCGACCGACATGCCCAGGCCCGCCAGCGCACCCTCAACGATGTCCTGGGCATGCACGATGCCCGAACGCGGCAAGTAGCCATGGTTGCTGGGCACGCCGAGCCCGAGTTCGCGTCAGCCAGGTTGCACTCAGAGAGCGGAGCAGAGGAGGGGGCGCGCAGGGGTCACACGCACGCAAGGGTGTTGAGACCAGGACAAGGCCCTCGTTTGTCTCCCTCTGTGGGCGCCATGAAGGGGTGTGCGGCGTCGGGCACTGCTACAGGCGCAGCGAGAGGCGAGAGAGAGGCGCGCCGGATGCGCTCGGCCTGCGCTGTGCGAGCCGAGGAAGGCAAGGGGTCGGAGAGCATGGCTCGTGCTGACACGCTGCCGTCGCGCGCCACGCCGGCGTACGCAGGGAAAGCGCTGGCATAGCTCGCCAGTGTGGCGACGAGGAGGAGCGAGAGGCGCATGGCTTGGGCTCAGATGCGAGAGGGAAGGGGGGGGGGTAATAGGAACTGACGAAACGAGGGGGCGGAGGCTTGCTCTTGAAGGCAAGCGAAGATTGACTGCAACAGTCGCCACTCTGCAACCCCGACGCTGCTCTCTCGCGCACGTCAAAGCTCGCATGTGGGGGCCTTGACAGGGCCCGGATCTCATCCTTGCCGCTGCGGCTCTGCTGCTGTCGACACGCCTCTGTCGTCTCTCGAACACCTGAGGGAAGGAGCGCTCGTGGCGGCCGCGGGCCCTGACGTTAGCTTCGCATGGGTCGCCGTGACGAAGGAGCGCGTGCGGAGAAGCCGCGGGTGGCACCGCTCGACTTGTCGCATCCGATGTCGACCCGAGAAACACTCTCGACTCCAGCAGCACGGGCGCCTCCGGCGCTGGGCGGGGGTCTCTGCAGGGCAGGCGCAGAATGGCCTGAGCGTTGCCACGGCTGCGGCAACGGCAACGGCGGCCTGCGCCTGCACCGGCGCCGCCGGACAGCCTGCGCGTCATCTGAGCATCATCCATCGACCTCGACGTGCGTCTAGGTCTCCTCTTTCGATTCAAGCCAAGCACAGCGGCGCAAGGCGAATCGCCTCAGCGCCAGCATCAGTGCAGCGCCTCACAGAAGCCGACGGGCAGGCGGCAGCGAAGAGACCCTCGGAGCTCAAGCACGAGCTGGCGCGGCGCTAAGCACGACCACGCAGCCTCGGCGAGGCGCAAGCGCGCGCTGCAGGCTGGCGCAGCCCAGCCGCAGCAGCTGCAGATGTAGCGAGCCGCAGCTCGGTCTGGCTCCAACTTGTGCCACCCTGCGTCTGCCGTCTTTTCCTCTCTCTCGTTTCTGCAGCAGCAGGCGAAGAAGCCTTCCTCTTGGTGCTGTGCTGCTGCTCGGATGATGCTGCCTGCTGCTCCCTCCGAGGTCCGGGCCATCCGCACGCCGCTGCAGCTGCGCTAGCGTCGTGCGCGCGCTCCAACGTGTGCAGCCGAGTGTGGGGATGGCCGAGCACCGAGCGCCGAGGGTCTGCTCGCTGGCCGAGGTAGCACTGGCGTCATGCGCTCTGCATGCTGGGGCTGATGCTGCATCTATGCTGGTGGGGGGCCTCGCCCATGTAGACGCAGCATGCAGGACCTTGCCTTGCGACGGCCGAGGAGGGCTCGGGCCATCCTCGAGCGCGAGAGGGAGGCCCGTGGGTGGGTCTTTGTGTTGGGGCCAGCGAGCGGACGAGGCGCCCACCGAGCCTCTGAGGCTTGGTCACGTGCCAGCCCTCTCTGACTGCTGTCCCGACGCAGAGCTGCGGTGCACTCTTGGGCCCTCGCGAACAAAAGCGCAGGCAAAAGAGAGATCACGCATCGCATCTGCACGTCGGAGCGGCCGGCGAGAGCGCCGGGGGCCGGCGTGGCGCATGCGGAAGGCGCCACGCTTCGATGCGCTTTCACGCCTGTGCAGCGCGAGGCCCAGGTGGTGGCTTGCAACCACGAACGCATTTGATTCTTGTGATGAGCACAAACGAGGACGAAGGGGCACGGCAGGGCTTCTGCCATCGTGGCTGCTTCTGCGGCAGACCTCACCCTCCGCCGCCCCGAACGAGAGCGAGGCGCAAGTCTCAGTGAGAGCAGCGTGGCCCTCCACAGCGTGCGCGCAAGCTGGCCAGGCAAGCGAGCTTGATCTCGAGCGGTCCATTTGCGAACTTGCGCACGTCGAGATTGCGCCGGAGAGAGGGAGCACGCGAGATGCACTCCATCCAGAGACGTAGGCTTGAAAGCGTGCCCTGGACGGCAAGCACGAACATCCTTTCGCGACATGCAGCGGGCCAGGTGGAGGAGAGCCGCACCCTGCCGCCCGCCCGAGATACGATGATGATGCCGCTCTTGGGGGATCTGAGCGGCATGATCGACGGGCGAGGCAGATCTCAGCCCCGGGACTGGGCGACGGGTGCGGGTCCCTTGGGGGGCCCAGCTCGCTCGGCGCGCATGTGAGAGCCACACGCGCTCCCGGCGTCCAGCTCGGCAGCGAGAGCAGATGGACTCCGCCCACGCCAGCGCCAGGGTGCAGCCAGCCATGCCGGGCGTGGGGGGCTCTCAACTCGTCCTGCATCTGCATCATCCGGCTTCCATGCGAAGCGGCGGTGCCGTCGGGTGTGCGGCCAGACGGCAACGAGAGCTTCGGTACGCGCGAGCATCAGAGCAACGTGTGGGCATGGCGAGGCAGGTCGCAAGCGAGCGAGCGGCGCTATACACCGCATGCCGTCCATGTGGACCCTCGGCCTCCATCGTCGAGGATTCTGCCTCCGCACACGATGCTCGCCGCACTCCGCATCCTTTTGAGGCGACAAAGAGCGAGCTTGACGAAGCGCGAAGAGCGAGGAGCGAAAGGCCAGCCTGCAGCTCAGGGAGCGAGGGTCATTCTCCAAAGCACCAAGGTGGAGCGCTCGCTCCCCTTTGCGCCGCGGCACAGCGGGCAGGGCACCCGCAGACGCGCCGCGGCAATCTGTGCAGCTCGAGGCTAGCGTGGGAGGAGGGAAGCGGCGGGGAGCCGAAGGAGAAGCGCTCTCGCTCCCACTCGCCTCGCAAACACAAACGCGGGTCGCTTTCAAGTCCGGAGCAGCTCACCCTTGCTGCCGCACGCCTCTGCGCATCGTTGAGCTGTGCGAGACGGCGACGAGGAAGGCACGGAGGGGAGGACAAGGGCGGCGTGCTCAACGCTTGCAGCGTTCACGTGCGAGGCCGCTGCCGCAAGCGTTACGGCCGTGCCTTGATGCCGCCGCTGGCTGCGTGCCTGCGCGCGCTGCGGGCTGGCTGCTGCTGATGACGCGTGGGTGCGGCGCAGAGGCAGCGCGCAGCAGGCGCGGAGGTCCGAGCTCGGTGGCCGCGCCGCGGTGCTTTCAGCCGCTCGCGGTGCGGCGTGGGCGGTGGGCGGCAGCAGCACCAGCAGCACCAGCACAGCACCAGCAGCCACGCCCGCCGCATGCCCGCCGCACCGCACCGCACCGCCTGCGCCGCTCGCGCCTCTCGTCGCTGCGGCTGCGGCTGCGCTCCTCGTCTGCATGCGTGGGCGCTGCAGCCTGCTGTGCGACGCTGAGCTCCACCATCCCTACTCTCCTCTCGCACCTCGTTCCTACGCATCTCTCCACTCGGCAGCGACTCTGCTGCTGCACCCCCAACGCCTGAGCCGCTGCCTTCCTCGGCTCTCCCGCCGACGCGTCGGCCGCCGCGGCGCCAGATCTGAACTCCGGTTCGACGAGCGCAAGGGCCCTTTGCTCTTCGCCGCTCGCCTCGTGCTGCTGCTGCGCCGCCCTCGCTCCTCTCTTCGCACACCGCTCGCTGGCGCCTGCTCTGCCCGCCGCAGCTGCGTGCCCAGGCTCTCGCTTGAGACGCAGCGCAGCCTCTCCGCGGAAATCCAAGCGCCAGCGGGGGGCGTGGCCCAGCAGAGGCGCGCGGCCCTTCGCGCTTCTCACGTGTGCTGCCGCACGCGCGTGCGCCCAGCCGAGCCGCCTCATCCCTCGAGGCGCCAGCAGCACACCGTCTGCTCGTCACCACCACCTCCACCCACCTCATCTGCACACCTCCGCTGCGTGTGCCGAGAGCCTCTCTCTTCTCGCACCTTGCTCCGCCCCTCGCTGCCAAGGTGTGCCTTGCCGCTGCCGCGCGTCTGCCGTGCAGGGCAAATTGCCACCCCGCACCCGCACCGCCGCTGCGCCCCGCCCGCGGCGCGCGCGCCTCTGCCGCGGCCAAGCAGTCGAGTCGAGTTCGCTGAGTGCGTGCTGAGCCTGCAGCAGGCCGCCTGCGCCTCTCTGCCGCTGCTGCCGCCCGGCGACATCTTCCGCCGCACCTCGGCAGCGGGACACCTCTCTCTCCGCTGCTGCTCGACCCCTAGACGGCGTGGGCAACTTCCCAGCTCCTCTCTCTTCCACCCCAAGCGTAGCGCGTCGCCATGGCCACGCCTTCATCTTCGCGCCTGGCGCCAGACGCCATGGACCAAGACGAGTATCCGATCGCGTCTTCCTCGCGCGCCTCCTCTTCTGCTGCGGCACACGAGCGACGCAGCAGTGCCTCTTCCACCTCTGCGCCGCACGCCGACGCAGAAGAGGCACGCTGGCGCGCCATTCGCGATGCCGGCGATGCCGCTGGTCCCGCCGCGGCCGACACGCCAGGTCGCGAGGGTGCCGCCACGCCCAATGCCTCCTCGCACGGTGGCTATGATGATGAAGCCGCGACCGAGGAGGAGACGTATGAGGCCAGCACGCCCTCGCGCGCTTCGCTCAGCGTAGACGCCGAGGACGAGGACGTCAAGATTGCGATCATGGCACTGGGAGCCATGAAGCACTTGGATGGAAGATCGCACGCGGCGGAGACGGGAGAGGACGAGGGGAGCGCCGGGTCGGCGGCTGCGAGGATACGACGAGCGCCTTGTGAGTACGCATAGCCGACGCACGGCGATGCAGGAGGAAGTGGGCGTGCGGCCATGGCGCATCAGCTCTTTGCTGACGCTGGGCATTGCCGCAGCTCCAGCAAGAGGCTCTTCATCGTACCACTCCGCCTCTTCCGCACCCTCTACCAACTCGACGACGATTTCGTCTCCCATTTCGACGCCCGGCTCGGAGACGACCGGTCTTTCAGTGCCCTCGACCTCTTCTCCCAAGGTCCCACGCACGTTGGGCGATCTGCCGCCCGACTTTCCCTTCCCGGCAGTGGTGCAGGATGAGGACGGAAACGAGGTCACCGTCGATCCGGAGATGATGAAGGACGCAGACTTCCTGAGGAAGGTCTCCCACTTGCCGATTGTGCGAGGGACGCTGCGCGCCTACGAGCTCTCAAAGCAGCACAGCCGCGTCGTCAAGGTGAGTGCCCGTCTCTCCCGGCCCACGCCACCGCGCGGGACTGCGCTGACGCTGCGCCGTACTGCGCAGTACGGCTCGGATCTGGTGGAGAGCGGCGTCAAGGCCATCTCGCGTCCAGTAGTCAGCCGCGTCAGCGCCAGATTGGGGGAGAAGGGCGTGGAGCAGTTGGATGCCTTTGCTGCGCGGCAACTCGAGCGGGTGAGTGATCGCGACATGTCAAGGGGCCCACACTGGAGCACTGTGGCTCAGACGTGCACTGTGCCACACAGCTTTACCCGTCGGCGGAAGGCACGCAGTCGCGCAAGGAGCGCCAAGAGGTGCTGGATGAGCTCGACGAGCGCGAGAGGACGGAGTGGAAGGACATGAGCGTCGAGGAGAAGTCGAAGCGGCGCAAGGCCTACTTTGCGCTGCGCATGGAGGAACGAGAGCGCGAGATGGTCGTCAACGAGCTGCGCAACCGGAAAGGCAAGAACCGTGCTTCGCAGCAGCAGCAGCAGCAGCAAGAACAGGCTCGCGGATCAACGGCCTTGGTCGCCACGCGCAGCTCGGACGGTCACGATGGCAGACAGCCAGGCGCGAGAGCGTACACGGCGGAACAGAGCGCCGCGGCGGCGAGAAGCCAGGCGGCAACGACGTCGAGCGGAGGTGGCTGGGGATCCATGCTCGTCGAGGCTGGTGTCACGGCCGGCGGCCTGAGTGCTGCCGTGAGCGAAGAGAGCATGAAGAGCCTCAAGTACTGTCTGCAGTGGCTGCAGGTGAGCCTTGCGCACTTTGACTTGCGTGCGCTAGGGACGCCGCTGATGCCAACGCCTTCGCAGTACGCCACCGCCCACATCGAGCATCAAGTGACGATTCTGCGCGATCTCATCGTGAAGCTCAACCACGGCGAGCTGGAGATTTCGCATGCTGCACTGCAGCATCTCGGCAACATCAAGGGCGATGTGGTGCAGACGATCCGAGGCGTCGTGGATGTGGTGGGCAAGTACGCCGGCGGCGCGCTCCCCGAGCCCGCGCGAGGCAGCGTCAAGGCCTTCATCCTCAGTCTTCCCGCGCGCTGGGCCACGGTCAATCGCCCGACCGAGCTTGCGGCAGGCCCTTCCTCGCCGTCGTCCTTCGGCGGCTCGCCTGCCTCGCCCTCCTTCTCAGCCGCACACATCAGCGGCGGCGACTCGGCGACACAACAGCTCAACCTGCCTCCTCATCGCGCCACACAAGCTGCAGCTGCTCGGCAAGCTCAACAGATGCACATGGCTGCCACGACGCAGGCGGCGAACCGCGTGCTGACGCTCGCAGTCGAGTCGCTCGACGTGCTCCGAAGCGTCACGATCGTGTTTGGCGAGTCCCTGGACCGCGCAGATCTCTGGGTCGAACGTCTACGCGTACTGGGCCTGCAACGCAAGCGTGCTCACGAGCAGGCCGCTGCCGAAGAGGCGGCGGCACGCATCGATGATGGCATGCGGGGCGCCCTCTCCTCTCCGAGCCAGCGCAACTGGGAGTCTGCGCGCGGCATCTCTGGACGCCACACGAGTCCCGGAGGCGACAGCAACGTCTCGGCCACGACGTCTGGCTCGAAACGCCGACGCGTCAGAGACGACGGAGTGCCCATGTCTCGCAGTCCCAGCGTGAGCGGCACGCCTGCTCCTCGCATGTCGTCGCATGGCATTAGCGACGATGAAGGAGGCCGCACGGAGACAGAACGCCCGACTTCCACGCGCATGGCTTCCTTTACCGCCGGCGCGTCGAGCTCGGTCTCGCCCGCCGCCGAGACTTCGGCGGCGAGCCGCAGACGCAAGCAGCGCGCGGGCAGCAAGAGTCAGAGCGGAGCGAGAACGCCGAGCGCCCACAACACGCCGGCTTTCAAGCAGCTGCAGCTGCAAGACGAGAAGCGCTGATGCGCCCGCCAGATCCCTTGTGCAGCGCTGCAGGATCTCTGAGCGCGCACGCGCGAGCTACGTCTTGCACTCGACTCTTTCTCGGCCGATCGCTCCGAGCAGCCTCTTCCCCTGTCCTTCTTCGCTTCGCGGTGATCATGACTCCTTCTTCTCTTCATATTCTCCTTCCCGCATATCCCCACAGCATCCTTGCTTCTCTCTCGCCGTCATTCTGCCGCACCCTTTCTTCATCAAGCTTTCGCTCGCTCGCTCGCTTTCCTTTCGTCTTGCCTCTGGTCTCGTTCGTTCCTCGTCGTCTGTTCATCCTCTCCTTTTCTCCACCCGCATCTCCTTCCCTCTGCTTTCCTTCCCTCACTCGCCTCGCTGGTACGCAGCTGCAGCTCCAGCGCCTCAAATGTATGCTCACATTCTCATTGACGGGGCGGAGGGGTATGTCATGGGCGAGGAGAGAGCCGGAGAGAGGGAGACGTGTGGAGGGGAGAGAGCAGCAGGGGAAGCGAGGCGAGGCGAAGCGGCGTGCGCGGTGCGAAAAGGTGCAAGCGGCGCAGCCGCAGGCGAGGATGCCTGCGAGCCTCGCCCCAGCCACGCGCCGCTCCTGACTCCCCTCTCGCTTGCTCAGAGCGACGCGAGCGTGCGCAGGCCCACGATGAGCACCTCGGCATCGTCCTCGGTGTCAGTAAATGCCACGAGCGGCGAGCGATGCCGATCGTGCCAGACAATGCGGAAGCTGTTCGGCATGCGCCCCTCCTCGTCGAACTCTTCGACCGAAGCGATGTTGCCGCGCAGCTCGATGTGCTCTAGAGCCGGCTCCTGTGGGATGAAGAGGGCGCAATGGTGAGAGGATGAGGAGAGCGGAGAGGAGAAGCCACTCACGCCCTGCGCCTTGCCGAGGCTCAGCGAGTGGTCTCGCAGCGTGAACCAGCGGCGACGCCATGACTGCGCAGGGGAACGTCAATGCGCTGCAGGCAAGAGCAGCAGCTATGGCAACTCACCGGCACGACGCCGCCCGTCTGCACATTGATGGAGCCCTCAAGCGCCAGTTCGCCTTCCTCGTACAGCGCCCTAAAGTCCCCCTCGAGTGCCTCTCTTGCTCGTGTCTTCGCCTGCGCGCGCCGCTGTGCCTCTTCTTGGCGACGACGAGCAGCCTCGGCCTCCTCTCGCAGCTTGGCCTCTCGCAGTGCCCTCGAGCGAGCTTGCCGCTCGGCGGCCTGCACTGCGTCGCGTTCGTCCAGCTCTCGCTGCTCCTGCTCCCGTCGGGCGGCGGCAGCTCGCGCCTCCTCCTCCTCCTTCATCCGCTCAACGGCAGCTCGACGTCGTCGTTCCTGCGCGTCGAAGAGAGCGTCAGTCATGGCCGAGAGGCGTTCGAGAAACAGGCCACGTACGGCATCACCCACCTCAGACTCGAGCTGACTGCGCTCGTACGCGCCGAGCTGATCTCGCAGCGCCTGTTCTCTCGCCCACTTGGCGCGCGCCAAGAATTCCGCCTGCGCTCTCTCTCGGTTCCTGCGTTCCGCCTCTGACACTTCAAAGGCCAGCCGGCGCTGCTCCAGCCTCGCGACTTCGATCTGCGCTCTTGCCGCTCTGTCGGCAGCGTGCGCTCGTCGGCGCGCCTCGGCAACGCGCGTCATGTCGTCGTGGCTCTCGCCTGCCCAGCGTGCATCTTCTAGCTCTTCCTCCGAGAGCGGCGGCGGAGGTGGGAGCTGCTTGCTCCGCGGTCGTTCCTTCGCCGCGTACTGTGCCTCTCGATCAGCAGCGATGCGCGAGCGCATCTGACGTTCTAGCCAGCTTTCGCCCTCGAGGAAGAGACGCTCGGCTTTCGCCGCTGGTCGCAGCATCGCAGGTATTGCCGGCACGGGAGGCACCGAGCTGATGCCACTGTGGTGCGCCTGCGTCTTCTGATCGATCGTCGTCATGCTCCACTTGGACGTCTGAGGCGGCGCAGCTGGCATCCAGAGGCCAAGCGCAGGCGTGGGCCCGAGATCGATCTCTGGCTGTCGGAAACGCGCATCGACGAGCGTGGCGGCCGCTGCGGCACGGGCTGCCTCAATGGCCTCGTCCTTGGCCGACGGGCGGCCATCGAGCATAAGATTGCGCGTGCGAGGCGTCGTCGTCGCTGCAGCACGCGGCGAAGACCGAGGCGTCGCGCGTGGCGGCGACAGTGGCACTGCACGCAGCGGCGATGAAGGTGCGATGCGAGGCGGCGACAAGGGCGCCGCCGTACTGCCGCCCGTAGAGCGCGAGTTGGAAGCGGAATGCGAGGAGCGCGGGTGGACGATGGAGAAATGCGCCGGCTCGAGACAAGACGAAGGCACGGGCGAGAGACTGTTGCCCTTGCTTGCCTGCTCCGTCGAAGAGCGCAGGTCGTCGACGCTCGGGTTGCGAGGCAGCGGCGCATCGGGCGGAGAGGAGCTCGGCGGTCGTCTGATCGTCGAAATGCTGCTAGCCTTGCTCGACGGCGGCGCTGCCAGCGTACTCGCGAGTGTAGGCGCGAAGCGAGCATCAGTAGAGTGCAGCGTGGCGCTCTTCTTTGTGCTCTTGTCGCTGCGGAGCTGCTGCTCATCAACGGACTCTTCACTCATGCGCGACAGCTTGCCAGAGTTGCTGCGGCTTGCTGTGGTATCAACGGACGGTCGACCGTGCACCGAGTTCGACGTCGCAGCCGTACTGGTGGTCGTTCGGCTGTCCGTCGTCTCCATGCGCGCAGAGGTGCGAGAATCAATCGTGTCGTACTTGCTCGCCCGCGTATCCGACGACGCCGTGTCCTGGCTGAGAGTAGGCTTGTGGCGCGTGAACGGCTTGTGCTGTCTCTCGATGCGACTCGCCGCAGCCATAGGCATGCTGCCGCACCACTTGCGCTGTTCCTTCGAGAGCTTCTGCATCAGCTTGTCTCGCCGTTGCTCTTCTGAGCGGACGCGGGCCGCCTCTTTTCGCCGTGTGCGTTCGCGCTCAATCGCGGTCATCGAAGCAGCCTGCTCTTGCTGCCACTTGACGAACTCGTCTCGCTCGCGCTCGAGCCGCTGCGCTTCTTCGGGATCGACGTCGATGGGAGCGGCCAGCACGGCGTCGAGTTGCGCCTGCTCCGCCACGCTGCCTTCCTCTTCGCCATCGTCTAGCTCGTCAAGATCGAGCGCCGACGGCATAGGTGCGTGTCTGAACGCTCGTGCTGTAGCGATGCTGGTACGATGGCTCAGATAGCCTGCCGCGAGCGAGGAGAGGTTGAGGTTTAGCACCGCCGAAGAGTCCGTCGCGTTCGTGCCGTTCGTGACGGCGGTCCACTTGCTCCATCGTTCCGGCTTGATGACCACGCCGTCGGTCTTCTCCGGCTCGGCGGACATCATGACCCAGCCGTCGGGCGGCGAAATGAGCGGCTTGCTCGACGGATCGACTGAAGGCGTCGTCATGGGCGGAATGGTGGCGCTGAAGGTGCGCATCGAAGGCGTGTTCGGCATGGAGTACATGTCGTCGGAGCTGCCCCAGTCCGAGGCGCACGTAGGCACGCTGCGTCGAGAGTTGTCGTGCTGCAGCGAAGGCGCGAGCTCCTCGGCCACCTCTTCCTCTTCCTCCTCTTGCGGCTTCGGAGGCGGCGGTGGCGGCGGCGTCGGCGAACGTGGCGCGGCGCGTGGAAGTGTCGGCACGAGCGGAGTGCCGGGCGCGAGCTTGAGCGTGACGCGGATGAGCTGGTCTGTGAGCTCAGAGGGTCGAGAAATGACGGCCATGGCGATCAGTGCTGGATAGACGTCGACGAGCGCGCGTCCGTGGCCGAGTGCTCTTGCGCGGCGCACAGCGCTGCGAGGCGAGAGCGGCCGTCAGTGGTCGAGCGCGCACAAGGGAACAGCCAGCGACTCGCCGCTTCGCGCTCGATGACTCTGACTCACCTGACGCTTAGCCCAAAGAAGAGCACGAGCATGTACTGATCGCAGACGCGCAGCAGCAAAAAGCGCACCTCGTTCGCCAGCATGAGGCGTTTGGCGCCATTCCATCCTCCCTCCGCCTCATACGAGCCCTTGAGCAGCACCTCGAGACTCGGCGTCGCTCTGCTCGTCGTCTCTGCTACGCCATCGACGCCTTTGCGAGCGTAGGAAAGGAGTAGGAAGGAGATCGATGGCGACGCAGCTCGAAGCGAGGTCCATGCCGCGGTGACGGCGGGACTCTGACTGTCGAGCGCCATGGGCGCAGCTTGCAGGAGCAAGCTGGAGTCGAAGAGTGGCGGGTCGGGAAAGGCGTGAGAGTGATTGAGGGCGGAGAGGAGAGGAGAGGGCGCAGAAGGAGAGATGGGAGTGCGGAAGCGCCAGTATGGAGCTGCCCGTTCGTGAAGTGCCACCGAGCTCGAAGCGTGGCTGTCTGTGGAGCCAGAGCCGCGAGATGAGCGTGAGGCGCGAGCAGGCAGAAGAGAGGTGCGGTGCCAGCCTGCCGAGACTACAGAGCGCAGAGGGTGCAGCAGCGGCGACGCAGGCGGCATCTGCGTCGGCCGCTCGGCTGCTGAGGTGGCGAACGTCATGCTGGGCCCAAGCTGCTGCCGCCGGTGTGTTCAGGGTCCGGCTCGAGATGCGTAGCGGAGATCTGACGCGCCGAGACTGCGTGGAAAGGGAGAAGGAGGACCGAGCGAGCTGCGAGACGTGATGAGAAGATGCCCGAGCGTCCGGACCAGCCGGGATGCGGTTGCGAGCGAGTCCTCGGCACGAAGCGGTGGCGGTGGGATGAGCTCGCTCGCAAGTGAGAGGCCCGAGCGTGAGGAACTTCGAGCAGGAGAGCCACGCGCGCTTGCACGAGCCCGAGAGAGCTTGGGCCTCCTCTGTCCCTTGCCTCTCTCTCTCTCTGCCGTCGGGGATCAAGCCGCGTGCCGAGCGTAGCCGCAGAGGTGCGTGCGTGTCGGTGCTCGATGAGCCTCGCAGGAGAGGAGATGGTGGTGGGAGAAGCGAGAAGCGCTTCGTGGCGAGCTGCCAGAGGTGAGAGAGAGACGAGAGGGCGGGGCTCTCGCAGCCTGCTCGCACTCTGCTGCTCCACACACTTTCCTGCAGGCGCCGAGATCGGCCTCGTCGGGCTCCACTTGGGCCACTGCTCTGTGGTTGCTGACTCGCTGCTGCGTGCGCAGAGAGAGGGCTCGACCCAGTGCTGCCACGCTCGTGGCAAGCTCGGCGCCGGCGCGGCGTAGCTCTGCAACCAAGGCCGAGGCAGAAGGGCCCGGATGATCTTGCCGCTGTCTGCTGCTGATCTTGCGCCCTGCTGCTGCTGCTGCTCTGCTGAGGTGCCGCGCCGGCTGTCCTCGAGATGCTTGCTGTGCCTGCGCCGACCTCGGAGTCTTTCTGCTGTTGCCCTGGGCCGAGGACGAAGAGAAGAAAGGATCGCCGTGCTCCGGCGGCGCAAGGCGCTAGTGCTGCCGATGGGTGTCTGGCGTCGGTGCCTATCAACTCCGAGTCCGGGGTGCGGTGGCTGCCGCCGTGTGCCTGCCTGCTTCGGTCGTCGAGCAGCAGGACCGTGTGTTGTCGAGCGGTCACGAGTGGCGAGAGGCGACATGCAGTCTACTGTGGCCGCAGCGCTCGGTGGCGCCGATGCGCGGGAAGCACTCTATCCCAAGCCACTTCGTCTCACCCCTCTGAAGGTCCGGCTGCGGGCGCCCCTGAGCGAGCCTCGGCCTCGCGTGCGCTGCTGCGGCACCCGCGCTGCTGCTTTCAGCCCTACGACCGCGGTCGAAAGCAGCCGCAAGCAGAGCCGTATGGAGGCTGCCCCCACGAATAGATCGACGCTGCCCCTGCGCCCTCCTAGATGTTGCCTGGCTCGGAGCCGGGCTTATGCTCGTGGACCGCACGCGCCGAGTGTGTCATGGGACGTTTCTAGCTTGCCTCGCTTGCTTGCCTGAGCTGCCGTGTCTGGCATCTCACCTCTCTTGTTGCGCATCAAGACGTCGAGCGCTTGAGGAGTCAACGAGAGGAAGGCGACGCAGGAGGACAAGGCGAGGCTCGAGCGTGCATGCAGGACAAGAGGCAAGAGGCGCGAGGCGCGCACAAGGCGAAGAGCGTGGAGCGTTCGCCCGCCGCGCAACCGCGCCGCTGCGCCCGCGCACCGCCTTCGCGCCTCGCTGCCTGCCGCGGCGGCGGCAAGCGGCAGCGGCGCGCTGCACCTGAGCCGCCTCCGCTGCGCCCCTGACGCTGCGCCGGGATGAGGACGAGACACCTGCTGCTGCATGCTGATGCCGCCGCAGCTGCCCTTGCGGCTCGGGTCGGCTCCCGCTGCCGCTGCCGGCTTCGTAGAGCAGGCGACTGGAGGCGCGATCACGGCGCGACGGAGGGAGCCTGCCGCGCGCCGATGCCGCCGCCGCCGCCGCCGCCGCCGCCGCCGCCTCGGCTCCGCTGCCGCATCCGCGCTCCGTGATGAGCCCTATTGGCTCGCAGCCGTTGAGCGTGCTCTCACCACCACCACCATCTCCTTCTCTCGGCTGGCTGCGCCATCGGGCGTGGCCGGTCCGCGACACGACATCCCGCTTGAGCGACGACCAAGTCCATGAGCGAGTAGAGTCCAGCGCCGATGAGGCTGTCCTGCGTGTGCCTGTCAGGCATGCGTGAGGCTCCCTCATCTTCGCGGGCCTCGACTTCGCTTGATAGCTTCGGGCGTCGCTTCACGCGGCGAAAGTCGCTTCTTCTTCTTCGTCCACCACCCTCTCTTTCTTCGCGTCGAGGTCTTCCATCTGGCCAGATCGCGGCCCGTTCACGGAGAAGGTCGCCTTACTGCTGGACCTAGAGACACAGATCTGTGCAGTCTATCGCTTCTGAGACCGTCTATGCGTGCCTGTCAGGCCTGCATGGATCGTCTCAGCAGCTGCCGTTAGGCTGCACAGATCTACGCTTCTTCGTCTTGAGCGGCGAGAGTCGCCTTCTCCTCTCGGCCCATCGCCTCGCTGCCTTTCTCTCTTCTTCGCACCAAGGTCCTCACCGCCTTCTGAGCGCGGGCGCTCCACCGACAAGGCGAGCTCACTGCTCAGCGATGCGCTTTGGCATGTAGATCTCGGCCGGCCCTCGACGAGCCTCTTCTGCGCAACCTGCGCGCAAGAGTCTCATCAAGGCGCTCGTCGCTCTGCACATGCTAAGCTCGTCACTTGCGCCGCAACGATCGTAGCTTCTTCGTCCACCATCTCTCTCTTCGCGTCAAGCTCTCTACGACGACCGTCTCGGCGACGTCTCGCTCCACGATGACCATCTCGGCATCGGTCTCTCGACGAAACGAGTAGCCCTCTCCGCCGAGCCGACTAGCATTGCAAGTGTTATGTAGACGGTACGGGCCAGGCTTTTGCACGTGTGTCTACCAGACACGCTTGGAACGGCCTGTCCCGTCGTTCTGCTTCACACATGCCTTGCTAGTCAACGAAGCAACGACATCGCCTCGTATTTGTCGGCGCAACACGCTCGCCTCCGTCTGCGCATCAAGGTCGCACCGACGCTCGGCCGCAATCCTCTTCCGTGCGGCCGGGCCAAGTCGATCGGCATCGCGTGTGCTCTTTGACGTCCATTAGTGAAGCAGTCGGACGTGTTTCTGTCAGACATGCGTCCAACTGCTTCACTAATGATGGCAGGGTCTCACGCCATGCTGGTCGACTTAGCCGCGACGGTGGTCTTCTGCGTTCGGCGCTCCATCATCGTCTCTGCTTTGGCATCAAGGACCTCGTCATCGTCATCGAGCGGAGCCGTTCTGCGCACGAAGCAACCTCGACGCTCATGGGATCATCCTTGCGAGTGTAGGTGCTTTGCGGTGCCTTGACGCTGTCGTACATGTGTCTGTCAGACACGCGTCCGATCGCCTCAAGCGCTCGTGACTGCATTTACACACGCCATCATCGTCCTTCGCGCGGCGAGCATCGCTTCTTCTGCTTGCCTCACGACCAGCCTCTCTCTTTTCGCTTGCGTCAAGATCCTCGCCGTTGGACGTCGCCGGTTCACCGACGTGGAGATTTCGCTGCACAGCGCGACGAGGGAAACAGGGCTCACGGCTCGTTTCGCCTTCGACTCTCCTTCATCGGCGCACCGATCAGTTTTTCTCGCGCGGACACCAACGCTCAGCTCCAGCTCGCGATGCGTATGGCCGATGAAGTCCATCCGAGGAGGCCCTCGTGTGTCTATCAGGCCTACGCAGGACCGCCTCAGATGTATCTGCTCGACCACACGCATTTCGTGCTGAAGCGCAGCCATCTGCAAGGTCGTCGTCTTCTTCAGCTCTGCGGATCGCACGCGTCGGACCATCGTCTCCGTCGCCCGTGCGTGCGTCGAGACACAAACGAGGCGAGCTCGCCGCTCGTGTCATGATGTCGGCAGGTGCAGATGCGGCATTTGTCTCCGAGGCCGTCTACGCGTGCCTGTCAGGCCTGCTTGTCCGATCTCAGAGGCATGATGCCGCATCGTGCTCCCATGCCTACATCGTCGCAGGAGTTCCGACTTCGCCTCCCCGATCTTCTCGACTACACTCGACTCGACTCGACCGACTCGACGACCCGACGAAAGCGCGCTCGTTACGTCTCGTGTGCGCTGCAGTGCTTAGGCAGAACAACCTTCCTGAGGCTGCCTATGTGTGTCTATCAGGCCCGCATAGGAGCATCAGGGAGGTCGTCTGCCCGCACATCCAGCGTAAGCGCACGTGTGACTGGGCTCTTGAAGCGTTCCTCGAGTCGGCTCGACGTCCCTCATCTCACGTGCAGCACTGGCGCCCTGAAGGACGGTGAGTCGAGTCAAGGAGTCGTCGACGACGGGTGGAGGGGAATGGGCGTCGAACGCCCTGATCGCTCACTGACACTTCGTCATACTCCTCACGCAGTCCTTCCTGCTCGAGATCTTCGCGTCGTCTCGAGTCAGGCATCGTGTTGCACGTACAGGGCGTCGTCGTCGGATAGAGTGCCGTACTCGATGCTAGTGGCGATACTCGCGCGATATGCGAAATGAAGAGAAGCCTCTCTGGGACTGCCTATGGATGCCTGTCAGGCAGCCATATACGGCCCCAGAGAGTCCTCTCTTCGCTCGCTGTCTCGTATGAGTCCGGCAACTAGCAGCGAGGCCGCATACTCCTCCTCGCTCTTCCGCCCGAATGCGTCGACGCGAGTCACGTGCGCAGCCGACGCATGGTGACCAAGTGAGTGCTTCGAGAAGCTCGTCAGTGCACGGCCGCCTCATCGTCGCCGCGGGAGAGGCGGGAGGAAAGCACGTCGAGAGGACTCAGCGTCGCCCGGCGGCGAGCGTGTTCGCTGTCGGATGCCCGGAAAAGCACGACGGCACATGGCCTCGTCGCTCACTAACACATTGTCTCTTCACCCCGCGCAGTCCTTTCCGCTGCAGCCATCTACTGTCGCGTCGCGCATCGCATCGTCTCCTTGAGCAAGACGTCAACCTCTCGAACGAGTTCAGCCTGGCCGCTTGAGTGTTGTGCGTGGCTTTGCGCCGGTCGGTCGCCTGATTTGATGCTGTCTATGTGTGCCTGTCAGGCACGCATAGACGGTGTGAGACCAGGTGGAACATCTTGCGCAAAGCAGACGTCAACTCGAGAGCAGCTAGGGTGGCATTCCTCTTCGGCTGCGTCGAGCGAAGGAGGTCAGAGTTCTGTCGTTCGAGACATTGGCTGTGAGCATAGCGGCAAGATGCAGAAGAAGTGCAAGGGGGCCGCAACTGACGCTCTCACCGCTCTCTGACCTCCAGCCCCTCAGTCACTTTGTCAGTCGCTCTTTCCCATCGTCCTCACGCTTCGCTCATCATCATCAAGGTATGTCATTCGCCTCTCGCCTCTCTAATGCTTCGCGCTCAACGCCCTAATCTTCTCCTCCTCTTCCCTCCTCTTCTTCTGCCTGATCAGCGTCTCCCTCTTCCTCTCATACATGCCCTTCCTCTCCTTTTCCCTCTCATCATCCCAGCTATCCATCACCTCATCCAACCACGGTCGCACCTCTACCACTTTCGCGCGCAGGTGCAGCGCGTGTAGCTGTTCCTCGTTGTACGAAACAATGACGTGATACGCCTCCGGGCCGACCTGCGGTGCTGCCGCTTGAGCGAGTGCCGTCTCCTCGCCTGCCTCGCGGGCGCGCGCCCAGTCATCGCGCATCGCCGCGTCCAGAGCGGCCACTTCTGCGCGGCGAGCGATCAAGCGTGCGACGCGCTGCGTCTCGTCGAGTTGCCGCGCGGAGCGAGAGGAGGGCAGGAGGATGCTGCGCTCGTAGATGCAGCGGATGTAGCGCGCGTGCAGGTCGGCGAGCACGAATGGCTAGGAGAGGCGCGAGCGTCAGTGCAGGCGAGGCGAGGCGCAGGCAGTAGATGGCTCCCAGCAAGGATCGGCGAGGCTGCAACACGAAGCGCGCCACGAAGCGAGTTGCAACACGAAGCGCGCCACGAAGCGAGTCTGATGGGAGGCAGGGCAAGCAGCAACTCACCGTGTTCGTGACAGGCAAGCCGACAAACGACAGGCTCGGATTGATGGCGTGCACGCAGTGCATGTGCAAGTTGGGCAGCCGGAAGGGCCAGGCGTCGACGATGTCTGCGTCGGCAGTCGTCGGTGAGGCGCCTGGTGTCGCACGCGCTTCGGCGAGCCGCGGCGGAGGCGTCAGGGGCGCGTAGAGCGCGGCGGCGGCGGGCGAGCGCGCATCGAAAGCGGCGTCGAGAGCAGAGGGAGAGGCGGAGGCATTGCGAAGAAGATGAACCCAGGGAATAGTGCCTGCTTCATACCTGCTTCAGGCGTCAGTCTCGGCTCACGAACGAGGAGCGAAGAGGGGAAAGGACGTACCCGACGCCGAGCAGTACCACCGTATTCGCAATCACTGTTCCGTCGACGAGCTCCAGATCCAGCGTCTGTTCTCCGCCCTCTTCTTTCAGGACGTATCGCTTCACCGCGGGCACGTCCCTGATGCGCTCGTCGGGCAGCGACACGAACACGGGGCGTGCCGCCTCGATGACGGAGCGCAGCACGGGGCGCTCCTTCGTTGTCGTCTGCGCGAGGTGTGCCGCCGCGTCGTTCGCGGAGTTGCCGTTGCCGACGACGACGATCTGGCGCGCGGCGTAGCGCGGCAGCGCGTAGGTGGAGGCAGTGCGATACCATTTGGCGTGGTGCACGAGTCCGGAGGCGACGGCAGACGCGAGACCCGGCACCGGAGGGTAGATGGGCGCGTCGTACCAGCCTGTTGCGACGACGAGCTGCGAGGGATGAGCGAGCGAAGGGAAAGAGGAAAGGGGAAGGACGCACCGCGTCCCAGTACTCTATCCTCTCGGCACCGCCCTCGTTCCAGTCGCGCACGCGCACCGCCCACCCGTCGTTGTCGCCCAGCTCCCAAGCGCCAAGCACCTCCATGCCACACCTGACGTTGGCCCTCGCTCGCTGTGCCGCGTTGCGCAGGTACGCGTGCGTCTCGTCGAGCGTCGGGAACGTCTCGCCCTCGCTGGGCGCCGGAAAGGGCGCCGCGGAGAAGGAGAGGAAGCGCGGCAGGACGTTGCCGCGCAGGGCGGGGTAGGCGGGCGAGGGCCACGCGGGGGTGGACGAAGAGGGAGGATGCAGGGGCCACTGGCCCTGCGCCGTGCCCGCGGGCAGCGAGGCTTCGTAGCGCGCGATGTCCTGCTCGAGATACCTGCGCGCTCCCAGTCAGCCCGCCTCTCGCCTCGTCCCACTGCGCTGCACGCACCATACGCCGCCGACGTCGGCGCGGCGCTCGTACAGCGCCACGTCGCGCCTCCGCCACGGCAGCGCCTCGGCGCCGGCATGGTCGTCGAGCAGCGCACGCAGCGCGGCAATGCCAGAGGGCCCGCCGCCGACGATGAGGATGCGCGCGGGCACGCGCTGTGGCAGCGCGGTGCGCGAGGAGAACTTGGACGCCATGTCGCCTTGTGACGAGGCCAGCAAGAGCGGCGAGAGGAGCACGAGAGGCGAGGCGCGTGAGGCGAGGTAACGGCAACGCCTCGGCGCCAGCGAGGTCGAGCGCGGGCGCGGGCAGATGTGGCGCTGCCTTGGATGAGTCGAGCGCGGCGACAGGGGTGGTGGTGGTGGCAAGCAGCGCCGTGCGAGATGCACAGAGCACGTTTGCTCCAGGCGCACTTCTTCCAGCGCCAGCCGGATGAACTCGAGCAGGCGCGAAGCTCGTCAAGCAGGGCCGTGCGCACGCAACGCTCGCACGTGACGTCTCCAATGCCGCGGCTTGACTGCCGCCGCTCTCGCACCCGCTCACTCCTCCACCACCAACCCCCTCTCACCCTCACCAGCCATGCCAGCGCCCAGCCCCGCCGCGCACATCGCGCCCGCCATGGCGCCGAGTGCATCGAGCGCCTCGACGTCGGCCGCGCGCGGCGGCAGTGCCGATGCCGTCGTCGTGCCGCCGCTGCCGCCGCACACCAATGTGCGGCGCCTCCCGCCGACTCAGCAGCTGAGTGCGTGCCTGCCGGCCTGCTGCGCGGTGCTGTCGTCTGCGATGCGCTGCACTGTGCTGTCGTCTGCGATGCGCTGC